TGAATCCCCCCCAGATCGCCTCACCCCACTATCGCAGCCGATGATCACATGGGTCTAATGTCATACATATGACCTCGACCGCAAAATACGGTACTGTACACGACTGATGGAGGCGTGCAATAAGCGATCGGGTGTGGGTTGGACAGGCGTGGAGAAAGAGAGGGGGAGGATCTCGAGGCCCGACGGGGCGATTGAAGTTGTCTGCGTGGGGATCCTGGAGCCTGGGGTAGTATTTTTGGGGGAGGATGTGGGTGGGAAGGGAGTGGAAGATGCAGGGGTTGTTTGTTACGGTGATGGTGGTGGAGATGCTGGATCGGGGTTTGAAGGTCGTTACCGCAGGGTATGAGGTTGAAAGGAGATGATGGCCAGGGGATTTAATTAGCATAAGCCGCCAAGTCATATCTTATCGTCTGATGAGGGTTATACATGCACAGAATATTCTGCTCCATTGACCTGCCTACACTCTCTGATCCTGTGTGAGCTTGGTAAGGTGGGCAGAATGTTGCGTAGTGTCTGTGGATGCGGAGGTAGTTTTGAGTCAGACGAAATAGACGGTCTGTATATCTATTTCCCTCCTGAGCTATCGATGATACCGTCTTGCAGTTGAGCCCACCATCATAGACAGTAGATGACAAGTAACAGCTTCGCTTGTCTCACCTGATCTGACGAGCTGCTTGGTGGAGAGGCGTCCGTTCGATAAGCATCCTTGTCCATGGAACCTGTGACATGTAGTAGGATATAGTCTGACATGTAGACTGCTAAAATCTCCGACGACTACTTACTCGGACTAGCCAAACCCAGGTAAGGTTATGTATATGGCGTTCATGAAGAAATGTCGCCAAAGATTGGGAGATTCGTCTTCCCGTTGTGCAAAAGATGTTCCTTATATTAGACAAACACTGGCGTAGACCCGTGGCGGGGCCTGGTCTGGAGTAGTAAACGCCCTCTCTTTCAGCATGGCTAATTAGGGGAAAGAAGACTTGCTTTGGTCATAACGGCGTGTAAAGACATAACGGACGCTGAGAACGGCGCCGATTCTGGGGGCGGCTGCTTCCCTATGCGGATCTAACTGTTGATGCTTGCTTACCTGACTCGCTGGAGTCAAGGAAGCAGGTGTCTATCTCTGCCTCGGACTTTAAGAAGGGATTCTCTACGTGCTTACTCTCTCCATCTTCCCCATCCGCCACTCACCAAATCTCTGCCCTTCGTGGGTCATTTCCCCCTGTCTATTCGTACACCAACGGTGCTGCCAGCACCTAACCGCCGTGTCTCGAGCTTGGCGTGGACTTCAGTACGTTGCCTTGATGTTCTCACGCCCAGAGAGATGCGTTCAAGGCAGAAGAAGACCCTAGGCCTTTGGCATGCAGCCAATCACACAATCGCGGCCTTCCTCCTGCGTAAACAGTACTAACAGCTTTTTCACAGTCACTCTTCGCTCTTGTTCTCGACACAATCTGCAGGGACTCAGAGCTTGTACCACGACATCCAAGACATGATGACATATGAAATGGCACACAGCGATGTCAGCCGGTCAACATTAGGTATGCAACGTCTTTGCTTGTTATCATCGTCCCCTAATGTTCTTTCTGCTTGCTGACAATGGCTTTCCACAGGACCGACAGTCGATACCAACATCCGCTCCATGGTAGAAGAGGGAGGCTCAAAGCGAAGTGAAGAATTCAGGGGGGCAACCAAAGCGAGTAGTAACTGCGCCCTGCTCCCTCTGATGACAGTTCTCGCGTGCCTGCTTCTGATGTTATCACGAAGAAAAGCGACCGTCTGATGGGGTTAGGGAAGATTTTTTTCTTCTTCTAGCGTCCTCCGACTCGGCGCCGCCCTATAAAATCCCAGGAGTCAGCCCATTGGGACGCCCGAGAAAATGTCTTCTGCCTCATACTGCCTCTGTTACCTTCGCCTCGCCACCGCTCTCCTCCACTTGTATACCACTGCAACATGAAGGATTGTTTCAACACTGGCCTTATCAACCAAGCGGAACAGCATGACGAGCTAGCAAGTGAGACTCCCATCAAACCTTCAGTTTCCCCTGCTGACGTACCTTCAAGAGCAGCGTTCCCGACAATGAACATGAACCGCGCAGACAAGCAGAACGCGATCGATAGCCTTCGTCCTCAAACCCTCTCAACTCAGACGCTCTACCACATATCATTGGCTCATATCCAGTAGCTCGCCCTGAGGAGTGTCCTTGCTGCAACACTATGTGGTCTATTGGACAGGGTATAGCCATTCCAACGTTCTTGAGACCATAGATTTGGCTGAATCATTCTTTCAGTTCCCTATCGATGCCACTCGTTGCGGAGACTGGATGGTACATCTCAATGGGCTGGTGAAGCGAATGAGAAATAATGAGTAAGTCCTTCTGGCTGACTTAGGCACAGCCCTCGACCGAAAGCTGACTTGCAATGTAGCTTTTCTCGACGATGGCACTCGGTGACTCGACAAACTATTTGACCTTTCCCCCGATTCAACCACATGGACGGCCTTCTTTCATCTGATCAGGGTTCGAAGATGACATGAGTCAGCCATGTCAAGAGAAAGCCAGACAATCCAATCATCCGTAGCGACATCATCTTTGCCGGGTATGTCGGGTACAATCCTTGTGGAATCCCGCTCAAGCTAACAATTCATGCCCTAGTCCGTGTCCAAACCGGCACAACATGGTGGTGCAAGGGAATAGAGGAAGCTGGTGAATGCGCTCTACGTGAATTGATTTAATTGAATTGTTTGGGGGCGTTGTGCAAGGTCGTGGACAGGACTAGGCATCTGACGAAAACTCGGAACTCATGAGGAAACGGATACTGCTGTTCATCCAAATCACAAGCATAGAATGCAAGTTGTAAGAAAGTGAGAGGCCAGGAGACGGTCCGCTGGGTTTCTGTTCCATGTCGAAACTTCTGGCTACTGCAGCAACGGACGTCGATCGTACAGTAGGATTTAAAATGAGCGAATTAGCAATCTAATGATGGAATATTAGTCTTGTTTCAGGCTTGAAGATTGATGGCACGAAATCGCGTAGAGTACTGGGATTGAGGATTCCTTACCTTACTCTTCCCGTCTGAGGGCAAGGCTAACCGGATCGAGCACAGAGATCGCCGTCATAACAAGCGCAGGCCAGAAGGTCGGGATGTCTTTGGATCAAAATGTTCTGCAAGATCATTAAGGCAGTATGCATACTAATAACACTCGCTCTTGTTCACGTTCTCATTCTATCATCCCCAAATGCACACAAACCTCCCAAAATGCAAGTCCCTTGATCGCCCCGACTCGCATCAGAGACCATCTTGCCAACGCCGACATCCGCTAGTAAAATTCTCTCGTGGAAGGCCTACCAAAGCTGATAGCTCCCCTCCGTCCTCTGCGCATTCCTTCGTCCTCGGAGTCATCAAGATCATCATCCTCGGATAGATGTCCACGACAACCAGGATGCATCCCACCTCGAGCGTCCCCAATATTACCCCGACGAGATCCATACTGCTCAGAGTCGGACTCATCGTCCGTGGTGCTGGCACGAGCTGCACCACGGCCCGCGGAGCCCCCGCCATTGAAGCGCACGTCTGGGCGAAGTGGCTGCGCTCGGCGAATTCCAGGTCCGCGGTGTCCTTCGCGCGTCGCACGAGAATCCAAGTCTGATTCATCCTCGGAGGACTCGCCGCGGAAGCGAGGGTCTGGGCGACGTGTTTCGCCTCGGCGTCCCAAGCCCCGACTTCGGATGTCACGATCTCCACGTTCGACTTCGGAGTAGTCGCTGTCGGAGTCATCGGGAGTACCGGTGGGATAGCCACGGCGATGAGGCCCGTCTCCGCGCACTACATCTGCACTGCTACGATAGCGGTCGCTTGATGAGGCGTCTGGACGATGGGTGGGGCGGCCGTGTCTCCCATGGTCGGTATCTTCATCATCGGAGAACTCCGATCTATGGCCAAGCCCGCTTCGCTCGCCATGGAATGTCTCTCGCTCATGCATCAGGTCAGCGCGACCGTAGCCACGGTCATAGTCATCGTCACGGTCGAGTGGAGCACCACGACGGGTATATTCGTAGTCGTCATCGGACTCGAAATCGCGAGTAGAAGCGCCATAACGGTCCATCTTAATCTTCTGGGTTTGGGTTTGTGGTGACGTTTGAGATCCCTTCTGTTTTGAGTGTGGTTCGGTTCTGGAGTGCGTTTGTGGATGCGTGTTGATGAGAGGGATGTAGAGAAGAAGAGAAAAGAAAGAGGCAGGAATGGCATTAAGTACCTGCGACCATGAGCTATGAAAATTATGTTTGACACAATGGTCTCTTTCTCTTTGACAATCGCATTCTCAAGAACCCTCCTCTGTCATTGTGTAGACAGTAAAGATACCTCTTTGTTGTAGATTTCTTTAAGACAGTGAAACAATTTCATTGTCAAACGCCTAGCTGGCGTTGTAGAGAAGGTAGTGAAAGCAGCGTTCATTAGGTCAACCAAAATCGTCTTTGTTATTGATGCGCAATATCGCCGAGGATACTCTTGCTTTGAGAAAAAAAGGGCAAGAACAAGGTCATTCTTCCTTGACTATTCAGGTCAGGAACCCTCTAAGCAAGTATCTTCCACCGTAAGTCACGTCCGGCTTTCCTGCCCGTTGCCTCGAAGTGCAAAGCTGGATAAGGCATGTCACACCCTTTTCTGCCCCCCACCCAGACCCAAAGGCTGAACCTTTGCAGATCACTGACTTGTGCTTGGTTAAGCTCATGCCTTGCGTTTACTCCTTTGCTCGCAATCCCGGAGCGTACGAGGATATCTTTCGTTTGCTTTGTAGACTCGTAGCAAAACCCCTGAGGTTCTGGAGGAAGGAGAGAAGAAAGGCAGCTAGAGGCAGAAGAGGGCAAAATCAGTTCCCCTGATCCACGAGGCACACCAGGGCACTTTCTTCAGGTGGTTTGGTAGCAATTCTTCATGGCAGTCCCTGGTAAATTAAATCTATCTTCTGAAAGAACGGATGCCAGATCAGCTAGTATTGTTTTAGGCCAACAAAGCAAAGAGCAGACTCGTCCGCTTCCAATACTCTGCAGCATCCTTCTTCATCCTCTCCATTGCCTTCGGCTCGAATGCAAGATCTTGAATTAGTGAAACCTGTAGGCTAACCAGCTGATTGTCCCCAGCTTCAGTCTCTTTAACGACACTAGCGTTTGTTAGATAGGCAACGTCGAAGAATCGTTGTATCTTCCCGTCTTCTGGCTCCTCTTCTGGCTTGAACTCGATGTGTCCGTTGCTCATAGCTCCATTCAGGGGCTTTTCCGGATACTTTTCTGGCTCCTTGCTATTTCGCTCCTCATTTTCCTCACTTTTTCCCGCTTCTTCGCCATTTACCTCTCCATTCTCCTCTCTGAATCTTTCCTCTATCTCCTCCTCGTCTTTCTTGACTTCTTCCTCGAGTTCTTCTTCCTCCTTGTCTTCGCCATCAAGAAGATCTCTATCCCGATGCCCATTGACTTGAACAGCCTGACGTCCTTCAAGCATTGGCGCTATACTCAGTATAAGTTCCTTTTTCAGCGTATCGACTGCTTGCGGACTCCACACGTCGCTGCCACAAGCACTCATTGATGACGCAAGTTCAAGCAGAAATCTGTATGTCCATGCAGACGGCAAGACGGGTAGTTCGGGGTCGCCTTCCCAAAGCGGTCTCGCCTGTAGTAGCTTAGCTTGCGACATCTTGGCAATACGCTTCGAGCATCGCTCCAGAGGCACCCGAAGTGCTTCAATTGCGATGGTATGCTGCAGGGTAGGTATGGAACCAATTCCAAGTTGAGCATTTTGGTAGCTCTTTGGTAGATATTGCCGTAGTTCCCTCCATACACGGATCAAGTACGCTGCTTGTTGGCCGCTGCTAGTCGTCTCAGACTTGTCAAAAAGCTTGTGAAGCATGACTTGTAAATCAGTATAAGCCTCTTGGAGGGCGCTGTTGAGCTCTTCTTGCAATAGTCTTGGATCGTCCTCACTGAGCAGGACTTGTTTGTTGTCCAGCAAATAATTCTCATTGTCAACGTCATCCATATCGTCTGCCCATCTAGCCTCTCGCAGCTTCTTGATCATTTCTTCCAGACTTTCGATTCTTTCAAGAAAGGACACATACTCTAGAGAAACTTTGTTGAGGGGCTCATTCTTGCCTGTGAATCGAGACGCAAGCCTCTCTCGGAACGATTTGCCTCCGTTTTCAAACTCCATTGAAGTCATTGAAGAATCCCATAATGACGGAGTAAGGTCAGATACGCCAGCTTGCCAGTTCTGCAAAACATTTTTGACAATCAAGCCCACTCGGTCCAGCTTAGACGCTCGACTTTGTATGAGACGCGTGGATTGAAGGTTGAAAACATGGCGGAGACCATCAAGCGTCTCAGCCGAATCGACCCCGGTCGAATGCTGATGATTCGACAACCAAAGCTCCAAGACTTGTCTCCGTAAGTCTACCAGTCTTTCGGGATCCTCGACATCTTCTATCCTGTTTCGTAGTCCAGCGAGGAAAGACCCAAATGCGGACTTTGCCCACTGTTTGAGTGATCGTTCTGCTTCGGCTTTGGTCAAATCATCATGCCTTATATAGGGTGTAAAAGTCCTGATATCGTCACCTATCCATCGCTCGTGAACATCCAGGTTGAGCTCGATCAAGGAGTATACATCCTGACTTTTGAATAACGGAACCAGCTTCAATCTCTCCAGTGCGCGTGCCAGTTGCGTAGGTATGACTGCCTGGGTGTCCTTCAACGTCTTTACGTATAGTCGTAATGCCAATAGCACGTTGTCATGACCATCACCATCCTGGCCCATATTCTCGGAAATAGCCTCCAGCCTCATGTGATGATAATGACGTATAACATCCTTAGGTGACGAACTTGTAGCCAGCGAGAAAGCGCACATTGCCTCCACCAGTACATCTCTCGATATTTCCAAGCTTTTGAGCCGTCGGTCAATCCTGCCCAGCAGTCTTCGACGTAGACTTGCCAATCGGTTCCTCAAATCGTCTAAGAATGGCGGCGGATTCCGGCGCTGGGAGAGCTTCGTATGCAGCAGCCTCGAGATCACCAGAACTTTGGCGGCCAGCAGCACCGATCCTCCGCTCTTGAAAAGCCTGGAAATGACATCTGGACAACTGCGGAGGACGGCCAATTGGGATGCGAAAGAGTAGGGTTCAGTGTCTGCCACAGAAGCCATAAGCATCGTCTCCAGATGTCTGTAGATTTTTACGAGACATTCGTACTTGGAGCCCCAACCTCTTCAGTCCATGTCCGTAGATTTGAAGCCTTCTTGTCCAAGATCCTAGTATTACACCTCTTGCCAATCTCGCCCATGTAGGTCTCCAAGTCGTGCATCTGGCCACCCATCTCGATGATCGATTCCGCAGTGCCTAGGAGGTCACGATAGCTTGCGCTGCATGATCACGCCGGTGTCAGCAGTTGTGACTGTTCATAGAAACACGGTGGAAGCCAAAGTGCTTGAAGTGGTCCCATACCCAACGAGTGTCCTCAGCTTTTCACGGTTCGAATCAATGTCCCTGCGCAGCTGTCTCTCCATACCGCGCACTGCGGGAACAGGATACTGGAAGGCTTCTTCCCATGACCCGAAGGTCTTTGGATCTGGGGCTTCCGCTGCCATTGTTTGTGTATAAGGTAACGACTGTGGGTGGTGCAACACCGATGATCTCCGGCGGCAGAGAGCGTGAACTACGAGGTCTCGCTTACACCTACTCTACCGATAATTGACTTTCTACAACATTGATTCAAAACTAGCTCTTTACGGCCTGGACTCGATAGACAAGACCAGGCTTCAAATGCAGTTGAAGGCTTGCACGAGGTTACCGGTACGCTTAGCAATGGTAGGATAGAGCAAGCAAATGGGTATTTCTGTACAGTCGAAGTCATACGGAGAAGGTATTATACATCAGAAGCAGAAGAATGCTTTTCAACTCCATCCAAACACCTCCGCAATGCTTGCAAAGTTCCACCTCAAACTCCCAATAGCAACAAGAATGCCGACCAAATCGACCGTTATAAGTACCGCCGCCGCGGTCATGAACCGCGGACTAAATATTCTATACAGCATTAGATGTCTCCTCAACCAGCCAGCCCACATAGTCGTCGCCAGGTTGATAACGGCGTAGTATAAAAGCAAAGTAGCTAGTGCTTTGGCCACATCGCTAAGCAGCCTCGGCTTCTTTGGAGGCTGCTTCCATAGTGCTATCAAGGGCACTGCCACGGTAGTAAGTATTTGAGCGCCGAAGGTGTTGAGCACAACCAACAGTGGCGACCAAGGATAGGTTACTGTCCTCAAAGCGACGAATGCTGACTCCCACTGGATACTTGAGAGTGTTGCTTGATGGCCTGTCTTGAAGAAGTGAAAGCTGCCGAGTAGACCTAAGACAACGGGACCTATGGCGGTTTGGGAAAGATCGTTTGTGTCAATAATTTCAAGGAGAGCGAGGATCTGGACGGCCAAAATGCCAATTGCACCTCCTCCCATAGGCTTTTGAAGTAAAAAGATGGCCAAAAGCCAGTTGGTGACCAGCAGAAAGTACCGCGTTCCGTGCACGTTGGCGTACCCAAATACTTTTACCGACTTTGGCTTTGTGACTACGCCATCGTTGGTGTCGGCATTGGCTTCGGGTGTCACCTCAACATTGATGCAAGGGTTCCCATACACAAAGGTTGTAGTACCGACTACGAAGGCCGAGCCGAGTAGCAATCGAGCTAGGACGATCTTTATCATCTTAAGGCTACCCTGACTCATTTTCAGCCATTCATTGTCGTCTGCTGCGTCAAGTACCCAGAAAATAGCAGATCCAAGTAGGCCCATCCTCAAGGCAAAGCCCACCCACAGTGTTGCGGATCCTTGGTACGACCGTGTCCCCTGGTAGTATGTCTTGATAACAACGGGCAACAGAATCGCTGTGATGAGTGGTATGAGCAGTTGCCACGGAGCCGATGTGGATGAGTTGGTCGACGCGTAGTATGTGGACCTACAGTACGGCATTTGCTCTTCGCGACAGAGTCTGGAGAGCGAAGCCAAACGACTCAGCACGAAGAATGCGGCGGCTTGGGACATGCCAAGGATGCGCTCAATGAAGAATTCCTGGCGTATCGAAGCAGCAAAAGCGACAAATGCGAAAGTGCCGAGAAAGCAAAGCATAATCTCGTCTTCCCAAATGGTGTACGAATTTGAAGCGAAGCCGATGGACTGACTCAACGTAAAGACGACTGCAAGCCAACCCCACAAGGACCGCGGGAAAGGGAGAGAAAACCCTTTCTGTAGCTCAAGGAAGACCCAGCCGAAGCCGCCGATACCGCCAGCTGCAAGGCCAAGAAGAGAAGTATCCTTCGCAACCATGCCAGGCAAAATCGTTGCAATCAATAAAACGCTCGCACCGCCGATAGCTCCAAGGACCGTCATATGCGACAAATAAACTGGCACCACTTCAGCGGTCGATGGTCCTGATGACCGTGCGAAGACCGCCACAACGCCCACAGCGCTTGCCAGAATAAAGATTCCTTCTAGCATACTCGGGATATTGAATGTAGCCCAAAGACCTCGACATATGCGTAAAGTCTCCTGCTGGTACTGGGAGAACTTCTCGAATGCTGTAGCATACAAGTCACCCCTTTCTTTATGCTGAACGGCCTCTTTCCAAGATTGGAGTCCGTCCGCCCAGTAACCTTGGGGCAAAGAAAAGATACTTTCTGCCAATCCTCTGGAACGCGAGTACTCATGCTGATATCTGCTAATCTGAGCACCCGCGAGTGCGTTCACAGATGCTAGTCTTTGCCAATCAGGCTTTCCGGGGCCGACAAAAGCCTCCGCGATGGGAGCTCCGAGGTTATTGAAAGGTATTGGCATGCCGAGAAGTAGGGAGAGTGTTGGCACGAGGTCAATCTGTCCCACAGGACGTTCTTTGGCAGTGGGTGGTGGCTCCATCTTCCCGTTATGACCCCTACCAAAAACGCCTTTCTTCGAGTACAGCCACAGTGCCGCTTCTACCTCGTCGTCAGATTCTCCGCCATGGTCTCCCTTGACATCCATGCCATGGTCACCCATCACCACCAGCAAGGTCTTGTCGTCCATAAGAGTAATGACTTTTCTTAGCACGTCATCCATTTCTCTCAACTTAGAGTTCGTCGCTGGATGATCGGGGCCATATCGATGTCCGGCGTGGTCGACACCAAGATAATGACCAAATAGTACATCCCACTTTCCCGTGTTCTCAGTGCTCAACAGAGGTATCAGATGCTCAGTCACCCCATTATCGACGGTAAACAAATCCCAAACATTGAAAGAATCGTACGCGTGCGTAAGATTGGCGTCGAAGTATCCTGGGAATAGCGAGTGCCAGGTATCATCACCTAAATGAACCAACGTCTTCCCTGCGTTCCGCAGCTGTCCAAGCAAATTATCTTCCTCAATGGCTGTCCCAGCAAAGTTGGACCCTATGTCAATGAATGTAGGCAGAGTCCCCGTTGTTAAGCCTTTCAATCTTTGAAGTGTCGAAGTTGGAGGATCCGCTATGAATGGTAGGAGGAAGGCATTTCCAGGGCTCTGTCGTGCTGTCTCGTCCAAGACTGTAAGAGCATTATGGAAGTGGTGCGGAATACCAGAAAAGGGAACAGTAAAGTCGTAGCGTAGAGCATCAATGATTATTATTACCGCCTTGTCGAAGGTCTTCGGATGCCAGCATCCATCTGTATAGGTTCTCGGACTTTGTTTCCCCAGGTCGAACGGAGGAGCAGTGCATTCTGATTTGTAGTCAAGCACAAGGCGTGTAAGAAGGAAGCCTTTGGTGAAGAAATATATTCCAATGGCATGAAGTAGACTAGAAATGTTAGAAAGGATCAACCCACGCGCTGGAAAGAACATACAATATCCACAGAAAGAAGCCTATTAACAGAAAATGAGAAGCTTTGAATTGAATCTCCTTCCTTCTATTTATCGTCTGAATATCGCTGTCGGGCCGACCCCGGTCTTTGCTATCATTGAACTGACTCGTGATATCCTTGTACTTTGAGGAGGCAGTAGCTGGGCCATTCTGTGCTATCGGGGTAAAGACGGGCTCCCTGTTTTCAGGGCTCGTTCGGGCCATGCTCCAATGCGAGTACCAAGCAATTTCTCCACTCTGCCATCACACTGCAAATCGCACTCAAGATGTGACTTGGACAGGCTTGATGCTAGAGGAAGCAAAGACATGGAAGTCACAGAGAGCCTCGCGCTGGCCTAGATTTTGCGGCTTTCTTGTAGGGCTGATGTCACTTTAGCCTTCGAGCACAAACAACTACACATCTAAAACATTGACGGTTGCTCTTACTGGGATCTAGAACACTGTAGGCAAGAACATACGGTTCCAAGCTTGAAAAGTTCAAAATTCAAACCGAATTGAAGAGTGTAGCAGTCCTTCCAAAAAATTTCCACGAGTCTTACTCTAATGCCTTTCGGCATATCACATTTTACTTATTCGGTGGCTCATGTAGTATTTACAGTGAGAAAGTTTGGCAGTGCATTGAATTTACAAGATTAACATTCATTTACGATACTAGATTCCATCTACAATCCCATTATCCTTTTCTTCTCGATCTTCTTTCTCCTGTCTCGCCACAATCTCCCTCCACGTTCCCATAAACTCCCTCAACCCAGCTTCTCCGTCCGTACTTGCGTCCACCACATCCTTCGGTAGCTTGTGTGCGCTGTACTGCGGTGTGTTGAAATTGTACGCTTCTGGATCATCCCGATTGACCAGACGGAACTCTGGCGTAAAAACCTCTTCCTCATCTTCTGATGCCTCTTCCACTTCCTCCTCTTGCTCATCGTCTAGGTCTGACCCACGATCCACGGAACCATTCCCGTTAAGCGAGAGTCTGACGACACCGTCTTGTAAGTTATCTGCGCCGCCTTGCTCTTCGCCCCTCATATTAAGGACCTCCAACCACGAGAAAAGCAAAGGATCGGTGCGCGGAGCCCACGGATTGACATCGATTAGCCAGACTCGGTCGTGCGGTGGTGGAATGTAAACGTCAAACACGAAACTCTCATCCGGAAAAGTCCTCTTCAGGTTTTTGTCAAAAGCATCTTGGATCAGTGAGCGCAGCTTGGGTATCAAGCGCGGCAGGAAGTCGAAATGATTGAGATCCCGTTGGCACATGCAGAGCAGATGTCTCGACCGCACAAAGCACCTAATTTCCAACGCAGGGTTGAATGCTGGTATCGTCTTTCGCAGAATGAGGTGGTACGGTATTTTCGAGAGATGTTCGCTGGCGGATCTCTCCTCGTCCTGGTTTTCAACCTCACTCTCATCATCGCTTTCATCCTCGCAATCATCAAGGACCTGCTCTAGATCATGGGTAATGAAATCCGAGCTCTTCAACAGCAGGTAAATGTCATTCGGCGTTGTGCAGGTCATACTATTCGTTGCGGATATCCAAGTCGCATCCTTAGGAGCAGACCAGTTGAGCTTGGGCATTACAGAGCCACCGAGTTCTGAGATAGTGGATTTGATCTTTTGGTGCATGTCGAGCCAAGCCTGTGAAGGGTCTGTGGTTTGGTCTTCTTCCTCTTCTTCATTGTCTGTATCAGAACCGGTGCTTGAGGGGATATCTTCTGGAGGAAGAATGATACCATCGGCGCGGAGGTAGGACAGGAAGGAGGCGGAGAGAGGAATAAGGCGGGCTTTGGGGGTTAGGGAGCGGTATCTACCGTGGTCAGCGCGTGACACTTTGAGCAGGTAGCTGAATCTATACCGTGGGTACCACGAATGGTATGAACAATTAAGGATATGTGACTTGGTAACTACTGGGAAGGGTAGCTCCATCAGAGGTTCACTTGTTGGTTCTAGAGAGGGAGATCTTTCCATAAGATCCGCATTTGCAATAGGCATGGCTGAGGTCCGCGATTCGATAATTCTGGGAAGATCAGACGTACATAGTTGTTTTATCGCAGCATACGAGGGTTTCTTGAGCCGCCCACGATCTTAGCTCCGCCGATCTCCCGCTATGACAGCGCCAAGCCTGCAAGGGTCTTTCTCAGCCATGGGAAACTCGACTTATTAACGCTACACTCCACCACATTTAGCGATTCCCTCCTTCTATACCTTCCAGTTGCCAAATCCTCATCATGTCCTCCAACGTCGGTCTCACAACTCCAAGAGGCTCTGGTACCTCAGGCTACGTCCAACGCAATCTCTCCCATCTCAAACCCCGTGACAATTTTGCGCCATATCCCAAGGACTACGACTTGCTGAAGCACCGACAGCGCAAGCCTGACAAGGAGATATTGGATCATGATAGGTTGCGGGAGGTGGAGGTCAAGGTGTATGATCTAAGGGATAAGCTTGAGGATGAGGGGTATGTCTGCCCTCATACTGTCAACATGTACCTACCATCGCTTGGGTGTGGCTATATCGTTGCCATTGAGGGGTCTCCGCTGATCAAGGTTCTACTCTGCAGTGTTGACGAAGAAGAAATTGAGTTCCAAACCTCCGCCCTACGCCAGAAACTTAGCTCCTTAGCCCCCTCTGACTCGAGATCGGATCGCAAAGGACAATTCAAACCACATCAGGTACACGAGCTGGCGCAGGCGAAGATAGAAGAGAGCGAGAAGCTAAGGAAGGCGTTGGGGATAAGTGCGAACTATGAAGAAGGATCGCATTGGAAGAAACAAGAGGAGAGACTAAGGGACGGCTTGGGCGAGAAAGAGCGGGATAGGTGACATCGACAAATGCTTGGGAAGTCTAAAGCGAGCATAGACGAGTCAGGCGTCGAGAAGCTGTGGGAAAGGCGAACGGTATTGGGGCGCTCGGTATCATGATGAAAGGGAAAGAGTCATGTCTCCTACCAAGACATTTTGGGCTCCTGTGGACATGCTGTGTTTCCGCTACCACAAGAAACGCCAGTCTTTGGCTTGCCTAAAAAGGTAGTCAAAGAATTTCTGTAGAGATGAGGTATCTCACATCTCAAGCCAAATAGCGCCATATGCTATGCCATCAGAAACGAATCAATGCACCCCATCTTCCATCACTCGTGCCATTCCCACGCTCAATCCCTCCACCTCCCCCTCGCCCACCTCTCAATCGACCCAACCCCAAATGTCCCACTCGACTCCCCAACCAGCGTCCTCTGCTCCACCACCGCCGCCTGCTCTCCCCGCTGCTCCTCTGCCCCACCCTGTACCTCCCCCTCAGTCCCAATCTTCTTCTCCCTCTCCAACCTCCGCCTCCTCTTCTCCAACCTCTCCGCCTTCAATCTCTCCGACAGCTGCTTCAATTCCTCCCTCTCAAAGGGTATCTTATGTGTCGTTTCCGGCGCGGGCCAGAAGTCGGGCACCGAGAAGCGCGTGTCGAGGTTGACGCCAAAGTAGTACATCCAGCCGATGGGGAACGCAATGTACATGCCGAACTGCGCGAACAGAGTTAGCATGAAGGGAAAGGGAAACCAGGGTGGCGGAGGTACGTACTTTGAAGACCTCTAGATTGGCACCACCGGAGATGTGGGTTGCGAGGGTCGGTGGAAGTCTCCATTTTGGAGACCTCGCGGCTTGCGAGAGCCGTTGTATGTGTCTTGTAACCATCGTGCTGGATGATCAAAAGGCTTCGTTGAAAGCTCGTCTCCCTCGGTCGCAAGGCTGGACCTCGGCAAACAGCTTCTCCAGATTTGTCAACAACGACCCACTTCATACCCCGCGTGCTTTACTACGCAACTCCACAGCTGTCATTGCGATGAGCGGCAATGTTCATCTATACATCCATGGGTCTCTAACACTTCCTCCTTGACTAGATCCACACTCTCGCCACCCCAGCCCTCCAACCCTTGTGGACGTCTAGAGTACAATATCCACCCTTCCGCATAACAGCCATGCCTCTCCCATCAGACCCTCGCGTCGCCTTGCACACCGAAGGTAAGATCGCCTACATCAGAATCAACATCCCCGAGAAGCTCGGCGCCCTGACTCAAGATCTCTGCTACCGTCTCGCATGTCTCATGCGCGAGGTAGCAAAGCGCGACGACATATTCATCACAATCTTGACGGGCACAGGCCGCTACTTCTCCGCCGGCGCCGACGTCTCAGTCGGCCGATCCCTCTCCGAGCACGCCGACGTACGCCGCGAGAGCTTGCGCAGTTTCGTGTCCAACAACCTAGAGGTCGCGAACGCATTCTACACCCATCCGAAAATCCTCGTCACCGCGCTCAATGGGCCCGTCATAGGTATCTCCGCCGCCCTTGTCGCGCACTCTGATTTCATATATTGCACGAGGTCTACCTTTCTCCTCACGCCCTTTACTTCGCTCGGGCTGGTAGCAGAAGGTGGAGCCAGCCATGCGTTTGTGCAGCGCTTGGGTATCAGTAAAGCGAACGAGGCCCTGATCATGAGCAAGCGCATCACCGCTGAGGAATTGTTGCACACTGGCTTTGTCAACAAGATCTTCGACACGGGCAAGGATGACCATGAGAAGTTCTTTGCCGAAGTAATGAAAGAGGTGCATGATCGCCTTGGAAGCCATCTTAACAGCGAGTGCTTGGTGAAGGTGAAAGAGCTGATTCGCAGACCGGAGCGCCAGACTTTGGATTCGCAGAACGTTGCAGAGGTTTTCGGAGGATTGGAGCGTTTTGCCGCTGGAATCCCGCAAGAGGAGTTTCGCAAAATTGCCAGTGGGGAGAAGCGTCACAAGTTGTGATGTGTAGGAAACTAGCTGGTCTCGGGGCGTGTTATTGATGAGTTCGGATATGAGAGGTGGATTTTGGATTGATGCTGAATATGGTAAGATGAGAAAATTGCCATGAGTGTGTGTTTGGAACCTTTAGCGTGCATTGCACTCGTACCTGTCCGAAGGCAAAAGCCGCACGTACCGTAGAATCTTGGGATCAATTTTCTCTATATAAAATTATCGGCTTGAAAGCAGCCTGAATCATCCAATCACCTTCTCGACGACCCACTCCCCTTTCCCGTCTTTTTTCTGAACCACCTTCTGCGCGGGCAACGGCCAACCTATACTTCCCTTCTCGCCGACAAGCGAAGGTATCACCCAGCACGTCCTCGTCTTGCTATCTCCTTCCTCAATCTTCCCAATCGGCTTCCCATATACCAACAACGGCGTCCCCTTTGCCAATCCCGCAATCTGCATGGCTGTCACAGCGGTAAGGGCATGCATCCGTGTCCTTGGCTTCTTGGCTCCTTCAATCGTGGCGGGTGTGCCGCGCTGGAGGTGGCTGTAGATGATATAGGTTGGCAGATCTTTGGTCGCGAGGTGGGCGAGGACAGAGGAGGGGTGTACGAAGACTGCTATGTCGATTATATCGATATCTGCTCTCCGCTTTACGTTGATGGGAAAGAGTGGGAGATAAGGAACATCGATGGCTCTGGTTGGATTCCGAGGGAGGTCGGGTGGTGAGACTGATGCGGAAGCGAGGATGGCAATCTGATCAATGAATGCTGCGGCGGTGAATTGCTGGAGAGCTGCAACTTGAGTCTTTGATGGGGATGGGAGCTTGAGAGAGACGTTGGGCGCAAGTAGGGTGGGGTTGTTGCTGCGGACGATGCTCATGAGTTGGGAACAGAGGTTGCTGGCTTCGCTGAGGGCTTTGGGGGAGAGGAACATGTCTTTGCAGAAGGCCTCTCTCAATGGAGCGTAGGCGTAGGCACATAGAGCAGTGAGCCCTTTGAGAGCATCAGAAGTCGGCGAGTGACGGCTGAAGAGGTGGTGTGCGTGGTTGTAGTGGCTTTTGAGCTGGGAACGGGCTTCATCTGCCGAGCGGTCTTCGTTGGTATAGACCTCAGACTGAACGTTCACGGAAAGGTCCAGCTGGTTCTTGGGGATAAAGAGATCTAGGCTTGCCAAAGAGGCGACGAGAGCGATCGTGTAGGGCATGCAGCCATGCTGGTGGCCAATCATAAGCATCTTGGAAAAGCGTGGAGAAAGCGGATAGTTGGATATTTCTCGCCCAACAGAAGTAATTTTGCCTTCATTCGAGACCGCTCCAAGGTAGATGAGCAACTTCTCGGCCTTTGCTAGACTTTGCCGATCTGGAGGCGTAGGGAAGGGGAAATTCACAACATGCTGCAAGTCCATGCTCTTCAACTGCAGCACCACACCTTCCACAGGCATTCGGAGTATCTCCGGCTCTGCATACTCCTCGAAGTCCCGCTCATAGACGGCTGAAGAGTAGAGTCTGTAGCAATGTCCTGGGCCAGTTCGTCCGGCACGACCAGCACGCTGACTTGCACTCGCTTTGCTGATCCAGCCGACGTCAAAATTTTGGACACCCGTCATGCGGTCGTACTTCTTCTCCTTTGCGCGACCGCAGTCGAAGACGTAGCGTATGCCGGGAATGGTCAAACTCGTCTCTGCCACGTTGGTGGCTAGCACAATCAGCCTGGAGTTTTCAGGCGGAGGCTCGAAGACACGAAGTTGATCCTTAGTTTGAAGCTGGGAGTAGAGAGGGAGAATATGGACCGTTGAAGATGCTGGGGTGGAGTCTTCAACGTCGAAATCTCGATCGTCTCCACGGCCAGAAGAATCTCCGTCACTCTCTGCGTCGTCCTCAAAATCATCGAACCCAGGAGCAATGTTCCCTAGCTCAAGATCTTCCGTCTCGAGAGGTGCTTCACTTGCAGAGATCCGAACCTTGTGACCATTAGATTGACTTTGGAAGTTCGCAAGGGTCTCGTTGAGCCGTTTGGCCAAGGCAGTTATCTCATTCTGACCCGTCAGAAAGACAAGCATCCCCCCTGGCGGAAGTTTCCTGTGGCCTTTGCATACTTTTTCAAATGCTTCTTCAGTATAGTCTCTCCGCGTCCTACGCACAAAGTGAGTAGTGACAGGGTACTGTCGTCCTTCCGCTTGTATCAAGGGGGGAGTGCCGTTGCGGAAGAGGTTCGGATTTTCCAAGAAGTCTGTGATTCGCAAAGTAGCAGACATGATTACAAGCTTCAAAGGCTTGATTTTCTCATCCTCCCTGCTCATAGTAGCCCGTAGATCAACAATCCTACTCACCATACCAATCAAGATATCTGTGTTGGCGCTGCGCTCATGTGCTTCGTCAATGATGATGACTGAATACTTAAGCAAGGCAAAATCATTAGCGATTTCCCTGATCAGGATACCATCCGTCATGAACTTGATGGCCGTCTTGCTGCTGACCGAGCTGTCGAAGCGAATCTGGTAGGAGACTCTTTCTCCCACTCCACCAAGTTCATCGCCGACGCGCTTTGCCATGCTCACAGCAGCTACCCTCCGAGGCTGTGTAACCCCTATCATCCCAGGATTTAGGCTTTCAGGGCTACCAAAGCCAGCTTCATACAAAAATTGAGGTACTTGAGTAGTTTTCCCAGATCCTGTTGCTCCCCAAATGACGACCGTGGGATTGTTGTAGATGGCTTCCATAATCTTCTGTTCCTCTCCGACCACAGGTAGACCCAAACGACCTTCTTGTACGTCAAGTGGCCGCTCTACCTTCACGCTAAATGCTTTGCGCTCTGGTGCACTGCTTCTTATTTCCAGTTCTGGCGGCAAAGGGTCCTGTTCTGGGCCTCTAGGGGTATGAGTTGGTTGCCCAGCGGGAAGACCACTTTGGAGCGTAGCAAAATTATATGCAGTAGGTTTGAAGCCCAAAGCCTCGTTGACTTGACTCGTAGCCCATGCTTTGAATGCAGAAGAGCGTTCTTTGCGCTCCTCGGGGTCATAGTAATTGCTCCCGCTTTCGTCCATAGAATCTTCGGAATCATCAGTCCTGGGTAAATCGTCGGAGAATTCAGAAAGCTGGTCTTCAGAATCCGCCGGCCCATCCATCGACGCTGTGGGAGAGGGCAGACTGTGACAAGAGGCGTCCGAATCATTGCCCGAGCTAAAACCATCCCAAGGAATCTCGGTCGCTGCAATAGTCAGAGGTTTAGCCATCTTCAGACGCCGACGCTTTTTGATGATTGGCTTGCCATCGCTACCGCTTTCCAATGGTCGTTTCAGACCACTGCCAAATGCTGGCTTTGCTGGAGCATCAAGGGCAGAGAGATGGTTGTCTGTAGGCTCTAGATTCTCGGATACCTCAGAGCTATCGCCTTCATCATCATCATCATCATCATGTTCGAACAACAACTCGCTATTCTTTTCGAGGTTCACGCCAGCTTGACTCTCCTTCAAAGCTTGCGAGAGAACCTCACGCTTGGCTGGCTTTCTACCCAGACTTCGAGAGCTGCGTAGCAACGAAGTATCGACCTTTGCGCTTGCTAATTTTTTGATCAGATCGAGGTTCTCCTCTTTTCTCAATTTTATGTCCTGTGGGTGTTAGTTTTGGCTTTATCAGAGACAGACAAACAGAGAGAGGGCCTACATACGATATATTTATCAAGTCTCTTCTGCTTCTTGCTGGATGTTTTTGGATGTTGAGCTCGTAAAATATTTCTCATATCCTGCCTTTTCTTCTCCGTTTCTGCGACAGGGCCAGGAAAGATCTCCGCTGCATTGCTGTCATTGCCATTTGGAAGACCTACGTTGCCGCTGTCTTGCTCAAGCCTCTTCCTTACTTTGTGCTTACGCTGTCTTGGAACAAATCTAGGCATCGCGACTGTATAATAAAGTAAGGTACTCGAACACCTTTGAGATTTTTCTGAATAATCTTCAACGTCAGACCTACAGTTTGGTACTCTATGGCCACACACACTAGTACGACTTAGTCAAGATATCTCAAATCCTCCAGTGCTGGAGTCACATTGACTAGCTGTTAAAGGGTCTATTATGGACGAATGACGGCTGGGAAGTTCTGGTGTAGATAGCAGAAGGTCGCCATCATCTGGTTGTCAAAAGGTTGGTGGTGGGAGAGCAATGCGCTAGTTCTCTCCAGAGGTCTAATATGGCAATCGCATGGGCTAATGTAGGTAGGTAGGTATTGCCTTTGTCTTCACCTGAACCAGCGAGCATCGTATGATCGTGTAGTGTCTATCTAGTCGATCTCGAGACTGAGAGATGATGTTCTATGCCGACTGGGCTATTGAGAGATCCATTGTCCTCACGATTCTCAAGGCTCAGCCGCAGGATGCTTTTTCCTTCTACTCAAATTGAATACCCTTACACAGACATGCATTGTCATAAGCATCATGTTCACCTTGTGTATAAGACAATACAGAGAGAGATGGTAGGCGGGACTCCAGCGACTGCCAAGAAAAGAATTTAAGATTTAGAAAACTATCGACCTTCTTTCTACGTCCTCCATTTCACATCACATCTCCTGCAATCGAACATCCAATACAAGCCAAGTTGACACTATCTGCATTCTCCAAAAGCGATTGGACATTGCTAGAACCGTAATGCCGCTTCCAATGGCACCAGACTCGCCCCAGGTCCTCAGCATTTCCCCGTCCTACCCAGCCATCACCAAGCAAGCAGCCGGCACCATAAATGGCATACAGACCAATATCACGTCTACAGCCTTCTCCGACAAGATCATGATCACGATCACGCAAGGTGGAAGGCTTGCACAGTGGGTATGGCCGTACCCGTGTCTCAGCAGCGATTCGTACCTCTGACTTTTCTCCAGATCCACGTACCTCTAAGTTCCCCCAACCCCATTTTCGCAGATCAATATATGTCCTCCGGCAATGACGAGGATAATCTCTTGCCAATGGCTCACCTCTCGCCAAAGACACTGCTAGGAGGATCTACATCTGAGAGGGAGACTGTGGGTCAGCTGTATGCTACGCAAATTGCAAGTGCAATCGTCACGAGGAATCCGGAAGAAAAGAGGACTGTTTTAGTTGGATTGGGCTTGAGCAAGTTTGAAGCTAGACGAGAAGTGTTCTATGATACAGTGGATCTTGTGATGAAATGCCTGTGACCGCCTGTCACGCAATGGAACGCCGAAACATTAGTGTGGCCAATATCATGGCTAACATCGCGCATGGAGCACTGGAACATGAGTGTGGCCAAAGTTCTGGCTAGTATCCTTGGAAACCACGACATTGACCGGGAAGATAGTCTTGCAAGCCCCAACACCTTCGACCGAAGCTTTCGGAAACAGCTCAACTATCCATCATTTTGCGCATCGAATGCCTTTGCTATCTCCGAGAGGTATTTCGAATCGACGACGACATGTGTATGCTGAGTATCAGCGTTCGTGCCGACGCGCCTTTTTGGCACGTACTGATGGAGAAACCACCCAGGCGAATATTGGATGTTTGGATTGTAAGCCTGTAAATGCGTGTACACTGGTGATACATCCATGCCAAGATTGCTGGGGAGGTCTCCGAAGCTCATGTCTAGATACGTCTCGTCGCCAATAATAGTGAGTTTGTCTTGGACCTTGATCTTACTCAAAGCGGTAGCAAACCAAGAAAGCCCGGTGCTGTTGTTAAATGTATGATAGGCAAGGCGGATGTGCAGAGAGCTAATAGTGATATTAGAACGGAGATATCGAAGGGCGCATCCAAAGGCGTGGACTGTGTCATTTGCATAACTAGGCAACTGCTCATCTCCCAAGTCGAATGTGACCTTCGCAAGCACTGAATGGAGAGCACCGTGTCCGCAGTTTCCAGAGCGACATTTGAAAGGCCCAATGCTCGATGCCATTGATTTTATGTCAGAGCCGAAATTGCTAAAGATAAAGGTGTTCTGCTTGCGGACTTGATAATGTGCTTCGTGGTAAATGCGGTGACTGGAAATTGCTTATCAGTGGGATCTCAGACGCTTGAACAGTCTTTTGACTTACTTGACAAGCAATAGACCGACAGTGATATTGGGTCTATAGCTGAGATTGGTAAGGCACGGAAATCTGATCTCATTGTCTGTTGCCATCATAGCATATCCGATGATCTTGTTCTGAAGCTCAACCGGAAGGTTGGTGAAGCGAAAGATGTCATTGGTCTGGATATTTTCAATGGTAAGTATTCCGGAATTGAGGATATGACAGTGTTATTCGAAGAGATACGAACATTGAAGTGAGTCGTATCAACGGTATTGATGTTTCCCGAGCCCTGCGTAGCAACCACAGCAAGGGGAGTTTTCTCGTCGTCGCGAGTGTCAACCGCAGCACTGGCGTGATTGCAAGCCATTGCTATGTCTGTTCTCCTTATTTAGCAGCCATTGCAGCGCGCCAGAATAGGATAGAGGGGCACAGAGAATGGTGACATATAGACTTACCAGATGAGGTACAGAGCTTTGTTTATGTTGATGCTAAGGCTATGAGGCAAGGACCAAAGCTGTGAATCGGGCACAGAGCTTTGCCGATGGTGCAAAAATGGTGCAAGAACAGTGCAAAGATAGAGTGGACGTGAGGGTAGCAAGCAATCAAAAAGCAGAAAGAAAGAAATAGCAGTCCATTAAATACCTGCGTGTACATACGCTAAGGATACTATGACAGGGGTACATGGTCAGTGACTGCAGTCTGGCAGGGGTACAAGCGTGCCGACTGCAGCCGAATACGAACTTACAAACCGAGTGAAGTCGGGCTGCAGGATATTGAGGAAATGCTGGCGGGCAATGCTATACAAACTTCCCTCACTGTCTTGGACCAAAGCTCACTTCACACGACAGCCTTGCGAACATCTAATTCTAATTTCCGGCAAGCTAGTGCTTCGCGTCTTGATTGGCCGGACCTGCAGCTTGCAGGCATCCGGTAAAGGAGTTTATAGAGGCTAAAGGGCAGGATGACTCCACCTTAAGTATTCTAGTGTTGATATCTTGCACGGCTTGGTTTTTGTTCCTTTTCCCAATTCCAAATGCCCATGTTTATATGAACTACCCCGCGTAGCAATTGAAGAGCATACAGAGACTGGTCAAATTTCCTGTAGGACAAAGACACAGAGACTAGAGAACAAGGCCATGGTTTGAGTATCGTTTGAGTCCATAGACAACTACGCTCTGAATGGACACAAGCACGCGGAACTACATATAATGAGGATAACACATGAGCCATTTGCATTCAGATGCTGACCTCCATATTCATACATTGCCTTCAGCTTCCTCTCCTTCCTCACCCTCCTCCTCATCCTCAGCTTCACCCGTATCTTCAGCAACAACCGTACAAGGCTGCTCGCCATACCACACCCGCCTCCCTCCATCCTCGAGCACCCTTTCTCCCGTAGCAGCTCTCCCCCTCTCCCCGCTCCCCTTAGCATCACCCTTGCCAGCCATGCTCTGACTCCTCACCTCCTCCACCGTAGCTCCCCACTCGTATCTCCCCTTACTCAGCACCACAAACCCCGTTTCAATCTTCACCTCCTCCCCAGGTGGGATCACATCCACGACGCGCTGCAAGACACCGTTCACAAGCAACCTCTTGCCCAAATCCAGCGCGATGCCGGGAGGTTGGTTCGCTAAGCTGGGTTGGAGGCGGAGGAGTGGGTGGATGGGGGTTGTGGAGCGGTTGCGGAGGGTGGTGGCTATGGAGAGGAAAGTCTGCGTAGGGACGGTGAAAGTAGTCGGGTTGAGCTGCTTGACTGGAGCGGATGCAGAGCCAGGGTGAGGTTCAGCGAGTAAAACAGCCATGCTTATTTCCAAGTCGTCCAGCTTCAGCGCAGAGATCATCCTTGGCGTCAATCTCAACCCTCTAAGCTCCACCTCCCCACTCCTGCCGGTACTTTCTTGCTTCCAAGTCGCATGAAGTCGTGAAAGAAGTACTTCGCGATACCAGAAAGCTTCACGCATAGCTCGCTCGGCTTCGGGCGTGCTCTTCGTGGAGGAGACGACGAATTGGCGTGCATTGTGGGGGTTTATGGAGGGGATTGGGTCGTGGGCGTTGGGGAGGTGGAGGCGTGGAACGAAGACGGGGATGCGGTGGGTTGTGCCGGGGTGGAATATGCGCGACTGAGTCTTCGTAGGGGTGTTGGAAGATCGGAGTTCAATGGATATGGTAAGTGTGCTTGGCCAAGAGTTGCGGAGGTCGAGAAGGAGCAGGCATTCTAGAGATGACGGCGAGTGGGGATTGTCGTTGGGTGGGTGGAGTCGGCTGGGGTTGGCGTTTGGATAGTTGGTTTCGAATGGAGCGCCGCCCAGGTCAGTTGTAGCTTGCTCGTCTCTCCGTCCAGAATCACTGGGTAAAGAGACGACATCATTGCGCAAGAAACTGATGCTAGCATTGACTGTGATGGTAAGAGGAATGACAAGCTGTCGAGTGTAAAAATGATCTTTAATATCTGTCTTAGGAATGCCAAGATAGCCATAGTCGACTTGGATCGCGCCATGTGACAATTGAGGTTTTCCCAGTACCTCTATCTCAAAGGTAGCTTCCCCACCCGGCTCGATCATAAGATCTCGATCTTTGTCTTTGCGGTGCCTTCGGAAAGACTGCTTGCGTGCAGAGGCAAACTCGAGCTCATAGAGCTCGACGGGCGAAAGGTCTTTGTTGGCCAAGGCGGACTGGAGCTGTGAGGCGGTTGAGTCGGTGAAGGAGAGGAGGACCAAATCCATAGGTATGGTTCGAGATGTGTTTTGGAAGGAGACAGTGAAGGTTCTCGTCTCCCCATCAAGGAGCATAATGGCCGATTGAGGCAGTGAGATGGATTTCAAGCTGATGTTAGGCTGTGCCCCCGTGACTTTTAAAGCAAGTTTGGTGGCAGTAGGCCCTTTTGGAGGAGGAATCTTACTCTTGACAGGATCTGAAGCAGTTGAGATCGGACGAGACTTCTGTGCCAGACCAACATGCCGGCCTTTGATGTCTGGCTTCAAGGCCCACGGCTCGGAAAAGATAGGGAACATCCGCTCTCTGCAGCCTTTCACCTTGACAGCGCATCCAGTGATAGACAGGGAGCCGGCTGCTTGCGGTGTGCCACTCAGGAGCAACGTCTGCGTCCTGTATGGCCCTATCAATGTAGTTTCAGGCGAACCTTCGAAGGGTATACTATCGGATAACAGCTCGATGTGTTCTATCACGACGTCAAAGTCATAAAGATTTTGCAGGGTCACTCGGAAGAAAGCTTCTTCCTGCGCTACCAGTAGTGGCTCTGCTGCAGCTGACGACTTTTTCAAAAAGGGGTTGTATATAAAAGGATTCTTCTCCTTCTTAGCTTCGATCGTTTCGACAACTTCCAGCTCTGGTTTGGCATGTGACACCAGGGCCCTTGATTGATTGGTCTCCACGACCTCAATGCCTCGTACCAGGAAGTCGTCCCAATAATCTGCTTCTAGGTGCTGGACGCCAAGATGTCGTGCCGCGCTCAGAGTCCGAGAGATGTTGTTGGCAAGCCGCATCTGTTCTTCGATGGGCAAGTCGGGCGAGCCATCACTGCTATCCGGTCCAGGCGCCATGCTACTGCCCCCAGCTCGAAGTAGTTCTGCAGAGTATTGCAGAGCGCCACCAAGGTCTGGCAAGGCCTCACATACGTTGATGCAGGATCTCAGGACTTCTAGTTTCAGATACTTGGAGCCACTAGCATTGATTGATGCTTGCTGAATTGCACGTGCAACAGTTGCTTCGTTCGCTCGAGTCTGCCTTGACTTTGGCGTAACCGATTGCTTATCGCGTCCCTTTTGCTTGATACTACCAATGGGCTCAAGAGGCAGTATGCCATAAGCTTGGCAAACAAGGGAGAGAAAATGCCGCATGCCTTGTTCGGAGTCATCGCTGGCACTACTACTGTTCTGTGAGGGCATAGCTCTAGCGGATGCATTGAGAGAGGCGAGGCTCGCGGCAGGATGAACGCCCATCTCAGCAGCACCATCTTTTCTAGCTTGCACAAGCGCGGGCAGAAGAGTGGACATGAGTCCTTTCAGTATGATGGCTTTCTTGCGATGGTAGCCCAGCTCTGATAGAACCGAAGCAATGCCAGCGAGAATCATGGTATGATCTGCAATTGATAGCGATGAATCTGGGAGAGGCGATGGGTATGCTCGAAACGCCAGTGCGGCGAGCTCTGGCTTCGTTGAAAGGGTTGCAGCATCTGGCCCCTCAATTACTGGCTTCGACAACTTCGTATTGAGCACTAAGTGTCGTAGAACACTGTCATCTAGCTTGCCCGAGATGTGAAGAACACTGAGTAGCTTCGCAAAGCGGATAGCAGACTGGGAGAAGGCGAGTGGGGGAAGTTTGTCGTCTGTGAATGTCCACGCCCGAGAGTAGAGATTTAAGATGTTGTTCGTCAGGTCAGGCAGGAGGCTTGCGAGGGATTGGAGAGATGCAGCACGATTTTCTGGGTCTAAAGACTTTCTCCCGCCTATCTCAGCAAGGCTCTCAGACTGCTTGTTTTTGGATGATTTGGATGAGCTTGAGCCTGGTTTCTCAGAGCCTGGATAGAAGGTGTCGGGAATCTGGACACCTCAGCTTCACATTCCAACGAGCGGTCACGTTTACAGAGATTGCTTTCATCTATTTGGTGGAAGCTTACACGAAAATCCATCTCTGCCCAAGCAAACATTAAAAGACAGACCAAGATGTAATCCAAAGCCTTTGCATGCCACAGGTAATCACTGCTGGCTCTCGCGATTGTTGCACTCTGTACCAGTTCCTTCACTGCATCAGGCCAACGCCCGGCCAGTAAGTACATAGCACCGATGACGATGCCTACACGTCCTTTGCCTTTGTTTTTCTCCCTTTCTCCAAGACTGCCGGCGCCGAAACCGCTTGTAGAGGTTCTGTCTCGACTTTCCGCCCTTGCTTTTTCGTTGCCCGACTCCCTTGGTGGTGACTTGGTCGCAGAAGCCCCAGTCAATCCATTGGTCGTTGGTGGCGGTGTGTTTCTCCCGCTGGGAGGAGAAGTAGCTCGACTGTCTGGAGTAGAAGATCGCGAATCGATCTCTGAGGTAACACGAGCAGGCATTGACACACGATGAGTCAAGTCCGAGCGCTCACCAGCAGGGGACGATGACCTTGAGTTAACGCCGGAGCTGACTCTGGACAAATGGCCCATGTGTGATGGCAAGGCAGACGCTACTTCATTGAAGGTTGGCGCTGAAGAGACCCTTGGGGAGTCTAGGGAAGTTAACCCTTGCAGTGACTTTGCATACGGTGCCATTGCACCTAGGAGGCGAGATGTCATATCGCACATGACTGTTTTGACTGTTGTGGTTCGCGATTTTGCCGGCGACGGCACTGGGTAGACTCCTTGTGGTAGTGGAAATTCTTCATGGTCGAATACAAGGACTTGATGTACCAGTGCCTTGGGATGTTGGCGACTAAGATCGTCGAGGCCACGGGAAATCGACTCAATACCAGGCAGCTCTCTGTGCTCCCCTCCAAACCTTGGTTCTGCTCCGTTCCTTTGTACCTGGCCATCCCTTTGCGCGTGTTCTAATCCAAAGTCAGTTCCGTCTGTTATTCCCAACACAATCAAAGGCTCTCTGTAGACTTCGAATGGGGTCAAGGCCAAGTGAGCAGGCGGAGGAAGGGAAGTCGACAGGTCGTAGAGAACACGTCCTTCTGGGAAGGCTAGGGGGGAAAACATGGCTGGTGAAAGGTCTGGTCAGCAAGGTCTGGCGCAAAATAGCCATAAATGGTTCTCCCACTTCTATGCGGCCTGCTGTCAGGACTAACGTCTCCCAGTCGCACAACATTGACTTGCTGCAGCCTCTCCACGAAGCTGGTAAACCTTGATTGCCTGACATTACCGACAGGGACTAACAAGACTCTTAAGCGCGCCGGGGTAACAATAGACAAAGGATCCAGGCTCATGTTGCATTAGGTCGTGTGCGGGTTTTCGAGGAGCCTGCGAGACAAGCAGGAAGTGTAGCCTAGTCAAGTGAGAGTCCATGACCTCTGCTGTGTCAGAGGGGCAAACGCCTCTACCATCGAGTTTTTTCAAAAGCCAGCACCGTAGGCTTTGCACACTATGAAGGGGAGCCTGCGATGGAAGACAGCCAACATATTGTAGAGAAATGTTTCGAGGCAGGGACAGATGATGGGGATACATGTCATTTGATATAACAACGACACCGGAATTAAGCAGTAGCTCCGCCTACATGACAGCTGGGCACTTCTGATACATATGATTCACTTCTTGCCTTCTGAGCCTTGTCGCTTTTGCATTGCCCTGGCGTTCGTGTTGTAGTACCTGTTACAATACTTGAGAGCTCTTTGTTTGATCTATAGCTTCGACACGGAACAACACCCTTTCCGGAGTACACTGCAAGACAGACCCGCGTTCCAGGAGATGAGCGAATCTTGAAGGAACACTCTCGTACAAGCTTGTCTACGATGGCGAAGCTCGACTACGATGCGCTGAGGGCGCAGACCATGGGCGCGGGCAACGATGAAGCTGTTACAGTCAACACTCGCGCTCTCATAGACAAAGTCCTAGCACGATACTCGGGAGAATGGACTACGCTCAGAGAACTCCTCCAGAACGCTGCCGACGCGTCAGCCTCGAAAGTTATTATCAAATTTGAGACTTCGCCCTCACCGACAGTGCCGGTTCCGCAAAGCTCGGATCCATCGGCCCAACTGAAGCATGTACTGTTACATCATACGCTGAAGTCCACGATAGTCGAGAACAACGGCGAAGTGTTCAAAGGTACGGACTGGTCCAGGCTGAAAAAGATCGCTGAAGGTAACCCAGATGAGACAAAAATTGGTGCTTTTGGTGTGGGCTTCTACAGTGTCTTTGCGGACTGCGAGGAGCCATTTGTTTCCTCGGGGAAAGAAGCTTTGGCGTTTTACTGGCAAAAGGATGCCCTGTTTACGAAGAGCTTGGCTTTGCCGAACGGCCAGACTAGCAACACCACATTTGTTCTTCCTATGCGCAACCGTACCTCTCCGATCCCGTCTTTGCTATCGCTGTGTCAATTTCTCTCGAGCAGCCTTACATTTGTTGGGCTCGAATCTATCGAGATGTGGCTAGATGAATGGAGGATAATCACATTGAACAAGAAGGTTGCTCCGAGCGTTGGTCTACAGATACCGAAAGAGGTGGAGAGGAAAACACGAGAAGGCTTGATGCATGTGGCTGATATCACTAAAGAAGCTGCCCAGCTGGATGCACATTGGTTGAAAGTCGTGGAGTGGAAGCCGAAAGCCGCCTTGAATAGTCTAAGCGTTGGGTCGGGTTCGACCGTCAAGGGAGCTCAGTCGAGTCAGTCCCTGCGTGGGTTCTTCTCCAGGCTGGCTCCTGGTGCCTCGAACAGCGCAGCTCTCGAGAGAGCGGCGACAGAAGAGAAGCAAATCCAGGAGAGTCTAGAGGAAGATCTTATGGGTGATTCTAATGCTACGATATTTCTGCATGTCAATAAGGCCACAGTCCGGACTCTCGTCAGCCAAAGCTTCAGCTCGGAGCTCGAGAGAGCCACAAAGAAGCCTCCTCCCAAGACTACAACAGTCTCCCTTCTCAGTGCATCATACGATGAGCAAATAGCTTCGACCTCCTCCGGTAAAGCTTCCATGGCACCCAGAATCTTTGGGACATTCATCCCCACTGACGGCAAGGGACGCGTGTTCATTGGCTTCACAACAAATCAAACCACCGGTCTAAACGTTCATATTAGCACACCGTCGATCATCCCTACCGTCGAGCGGGAGTCTATTGACTTGAATAACCGATTCATCAGAGTATGGAACGTCGAGCTTTTGCGTGTCGCTGGCATTGTCGCGCGGGTATCCTGGGGCAATGAAGCTTTGGAGTTGAAGGAGAAGCTTTCTCGAGCATTAAAGGTCGCGGAAAGGAATCACGTGGTCAAAGATGACATCGTTGCATTGCTCCCCGAAACGCTGTATCTCCACAAAACTTTTACGTGGAATGAGTCAACACCATCCTCCGAGGTTGGGACACTGATGGAGGAAGCGTTCTGGACCTGCAACCAAAAGACAACGATAGCTACATTATCAACTCAAGGAGTTCTGCCATCATCCCAAGTACGCATTGCACATGAGGAACTCGGATTTGTCGAAGGCATACCCCTGCTGCCTGAAGCTTTGGCAGGCGTTGGAGTCATCAAAAAGCTGATAGATTATGGCGTCATTACCGAGGTCACGATATCGGACATCAAGTCAGAATTGGAAGGAAAAGCTTTGGACGCGGCACAGCTCCGGCGGTTCTTAGAATGGCTTGGGCATAAAGCAAAAATCAATGAGATCGACGGGGTAGTGATTCGGTCTCTGCTTGATGTTGCTGTTGCAAACGACGATGAAGATGGCAGTGGGAGGGTTATCGTCTTGGCAGAAATGAAGCACTTTCTCAATGTTTCGAGGATCCCACCAGAGATGCCTGTTCCACCAAACACGCTGCCTTTCAAATTCACCAAGAAGATTAGTAAATCTGAATTGGAAATGCTGGATTTTGAGGATTTGCAGCTAGTTCCATGGCTCCGATGGCTCATCGAGAATACTGGTGGCCGTGGTGTCCTCTCGTCCGACCAGGATATCACCACGTCACCTGCTTTCGCCAGCAGCGTCCTACCCATAATATCCAAACAGTGGGAGGGATTAAGCCAGTCATCCAAGTCAACTGTCATTGATTTACTGGCACCGCGGACCGTGATACCGACTAAGATGGGCATGAAGAAGCCAGCTGAGGCCTACTTCCCCTCGGTAAAGCTATTTGATGACCTCCCCGTGGTCACTGGCCTTCATTCAGTGAAAGACAAGTTATTGACGGCGTTGCAAGTACGCGTTCCTATGGCTCCAATTCCTTAGACTGCACACCTCCATTTAATCTCTTCCATTCTTGCTAGCTCGCGCTACTTTGATGAGCTGTCACCCTTTTCACTGCGTCAAATATGCGTTGTTTCCTTGCTAATGAACTCTTCAGGTACGAAAAACAATAGACATCGGGGTCGTTTTTGATCGATTGATGGACCTAACCCCGTCGACCACCTCAAACAAGACGCAGATTCCCGCTTCTTCGAGGAAATGGAGCCATGTGGATCTTATCAAATACCTGGCATCGGTCCAAAATGACATTCCAGCTGCCGATATCAAGCGATTGAGGACAATGAAAATATGTCCAGCGGAAACAGAAGCTCTCCAGCCTTCCGCCGAACGTTACCAGGCCTCGGAGCTTTTTGAGCCCGACCAGGCGCTCAGACGGCTCAAGCTGCGTACTATGCATTGGCCAGGTATCTATCGTCCTGAAAGCCAGGAGGGCAAGTTTCTTAAAGTTCTTGGATTACGCCCGTATCCAGGCTACCCAGACCTCATTCATATTATGTCAACTGCAGCTGCAAGTGGAGATCTGCCCCTCCGGGATCAGGCTTTGAGATATTTCATTGATTACCACCAAACGAAAGGCTATTCCCAGTACGATCACACAAGCGTGACGTCTGGATATCTACCCATCGAAGGCTCGGAAAAGAAGGTGGCAAGTCCGAACGACTGTTTCTCGAACGAGCGCGCAGCTATCATGGGCTTTGATGTTTTGCGACACGACCTGCACGTCCACGCTTTGAAGTTTGGCGTCAAGCCTGACCCACCGATTGCAGAATGTGTCAGCCGCTTAATCAGCAATCCACCACAATCTAAACGCAATGCCCGCGAAGTCTTCGCCTATTTTGCGAGTCGGCTGTCAGAGATGCACGACCGATATGCAGAGACACTCAGTGGGGCTTCCATAGTCCCTGTGGTGTCCAAGTCGAGCAGTATCGCCAGCCCAAAGTCCGAAAATTCTGACCGAATCGTACATATACCGCCTCGCATCTGCTTTCTTGGCGATGGCGAGAAGTACGCAGATGTCTTTGATTATGTCGATTTCGGTCAGGAAGCCAATACCTTTCTCTTAAGGGTCGGTTCCAAGCACGAACCTAGCACGACTGAGTTGACAAAGCTTTTGGTTCGCGAGCCAGCGAGAATCTTTTCGGTGCTCGGCGACACCAGGTATTTGGAGTTGCTACGGAGTGTGGCAGCTTCTTGGCGCACTTTGAAGAAAGACAAAGCCTTGGTCAAGGAGATGAAGGCGGCTAAATGCCTGCTCGCATATAGAGAGATCAGCTCGAAGTTATCGAAAGGCGAATACGAAGAGGAGGAAGAGTCCGGGATTAAGTCCTGGGAACTTGCAAACGCCAGCCAGGTGGTCATTGTAGATGACATCATCACCTATAACCTGTTTAAATCGAGTCTTCTGGCGGCTCCTATGGAGGAGACTCTTGAGGAGTTCTACCACAGTCTCGGCGCTCCTGAAGTCGCCAGTCTCCTCGAGGAACAACAAAGCATCGGCATGGTCTCGAAGGACCAAACGTCAGCGTTGAAACTACAACAATTACTTCACGAGCGATCGCGGCTCTTCCTACACGACTACTCCTCTGAAATGATTAAGCACAATGCAAAATGGATAGAGCAGAATCTCAAGGTGAAATGCGTGCAGACAATTGCTCTTAGGAGGTCGCTGCGGGGGTACAACTTGAGTCACCGAGAGTCTAGGAGCGCTGTGGTCCACAGCGACAAGCCAATACTGTATATCATTTCCAAAGGCTACGATATGCTCGAGGTCAGTCAGGCCCTGGTGCCTGTTTTACTGCAGCGCTCGAAGCCCCAATACATCTTTATGCTGGAGATGATATTGGAATCCAGTCTGCAGAAGCTACGCTCGAGAGGTTACAATGTAGGCCGAATCATGCAACAGAAGGAAACGGAAGCTCGCATCGCCGATGAGGCTCTCAAGCAGCAACAAGAGGAGCAACAACGGGAGATCAAAGAGCGCGAAGCAGCTTGGAAAGAAGCACACGCCGCGAGCGCCGCAAAGGCCCAACAGAACGCAATGCCGGGGATCTTCCCCAACTCGCCCGATCGTCCAAGCTTGACTAATTCAGTTGAGGAAGAGCCTATTATGGACAGACCCCGAGGCTTGTTCTCTGGCATACGTAAGCAATTCGGATTCGACAATCAGCGGCCGTCCGTCCAAAACAATCTTGCAAGCAGAGGCAAAAATCGTGTCATTGAGGCTCCTCAGGATGATGCACCGCCGCCATATTCACAGAATGAAGGACATATTTCACAAACGCAGATGCCACAGCCAGAGACTGTAACGGCACCGCATCACCTCCAGCAAAATCTAGTCAACGCCATTCAAGCTTCCCGAGCGCACAACACAGCAAGCGTGATCAGCCAGCCAGCTGTGAACGACGTTAAAGAGGCAGGTGGATCATATTGTGACGCAAGACCAGGCCAAGATATATCACTTATTGGGGAGACCTCTAAGGTCCGGATCTTTCTATCTAACACCGTCGCCGCAAATGGCCTGAATGCCACCAAATTCATGGAAGCCAATGTCTCCGCCTTGAAACTCTTCGCTACAGTTCTGTTGGACTGCGCCGATGTCTTCGCTCTCAATCGCTCTACGGTGCACATCTTCTACGATGACGCTGGTAGCACCATTGCTTTCAATCAAAGCAAAGCTCTCTTCTTCAATTACAGATACTTCGAAAACTTGCACTTGCCATTAGTGCAACAGGGAAACAAGACCGATGCTATTGTGTACTGGTGTGTCGTTATGGCACACGAGTTGTCGCATAATCTAGTCTCCGATCACTCCGCGCAGCACAGCTACTACACCGAAGCCATGGTCATCCAATACTTCGGTAAGATTGCCTCCAAGATCGGCGCGCAACAATGGTCAAATTCTACTGGAGGACCGACTCTACCTCCGGATCCAATCCGACCTACCCATCTGCAGAATCGATTGGTGGATATAGACTGATTTCAGCATGAATGGTATGATGTACGAAGAGGCTTCTGCCGGACGAGTATCAGGGCGATACGAAGGGTCTAGAAGGATATAGGAATGGATAGGCCTAGCATACGGTAACAGGCGTTGTCGAGCCGGCCCTTAACCCGGTCATGGATAGGCTGAAGTTACCCTGACCATGTCAGCGCAGGATTGTTTCCTCATCATTCGTGTACAATCTTCCCCTGAGGTGATATCTATTCCATGGGAATCTTATCATGCCTTACCAAGCTGGCTCTCATGCTAATGCGCATCGTCGTCACGCATCACATCTTTTCCTTTCTTTGACTATGACTTTGACAAATGTTGGGTTAAGCTAAGATCGGGATAGGTAAGTGTCGGAATGTTTAGATCGGATGAACGGGCCCATGAGGGTCTTTGACGGTCTTTGAGGGTCTTTGGGCGCTTTTTGGCGTGGGAGCTTCACCCCGCACTCGCATGTCGGCTCTTCGGGAGGTTTGGTGTCTATTGACATCACTTTCAACCGCCTACCGAATTCCTTGCTTCATACCTTACTATAAGATGTCTACCTATCTATCGCCTCTTCCTTTCTTGAGTCCCATCATTGCCTTCCAACTCTCTATCTTGAACCAATTGACCAAGACTATACCACAACACCATCAACAAGTCCCCCTATCACTTCGCCCACAATGACAAAAGGCTCCTGCATGTGCTCCGCCGTTGAGTACGAATACACCGGCGAACCCATGGTGACAGCCCTCTGCCACTGCACCGACTGCCAGAAATGGTCCGGTGGCGCCTACACCTCCAACGTCGTCGTCCCGCGCAAAGACTTCAAAGTCATCAAAGGCAGCCCCAAAAGCTACAAGATCAAAGGCGATTCCGGCAAGATCAATGACCATTGGTTCTGCGGCGGTATGCCATCCCCCCCCCCCAACGGTCAGCATAGGGAGCCAAGTACGCTGACGGCGAAGCGCGGCCGCAGATTGCGGAAGCAGTCTCTACACGGAACTCGAAGTCATGCCCGACGCCGTGTGCATCAAGGCGGGCGGCATCGACGATAAGGCGGTGCGGGATTTCAAAAAGACCGCGGTGGAGTTTTACTGCAAGGACCGGATGGCGTATTCGAAGGCGGTCGAGGGGGCGGAGCAGAAGCCTGTGAGTAACCCCCTTGTGCGGGAATCTTTTGCTTTGGAGGGAGACTTGTCTGCTCACGGAGGGGATGGGGGTTAAGCTGACTGTGTTTAGGTGTTTGGGTAGGAAGGAGTAGGGCTGAGGGAGTGAGTGTGGGATTGCTGACTGGAAGGCCAGAGGTCCTAGCCCGGGTAGAGATCATCAGGCCTGTGATTTGTTCATGTTGCGAGAACGGGCGTGGAAAGGGGAATTGGCGCTTCGGATTTAGGTGGATCCTGGCCTCTCTCTGTATGAAATTTGTTTTGATATCCAATGATGAAGTCACCCAGACGGGAAATTTACCTCTTCCGTCTAACCCAACCCTGGTGATACACCCACCCCAGCCGAACCGAAGGGTAGTGCACACCACGAACGCCCGCATTCCTCGCTTCCAGCAATCAGTCTTACCTATCCCTGTACTAGTACCGTAGGTGCTACTACCACTCCCCCCCTTAACAAGGCACCGACCCAAACCGCCCACCACCCCGAAGATACCAAACCCCCTGCACACCCAGTCCAAAAACCCCCCACCCAAATCCCAACCACGTCCAAACCCTCGGACCCCGTTCGCACCGATCCTCAGCACGTTACCCAAAAAAAAGTGCCCCCGCGGACCGCGGCAAGGTACGCGAGGGTTGACGGGTGAGGGGCGATGCGCGGGCTCGGATGCGCCACGTGGCAGGAAGGCGGGCGGGGGCCGGGAGGTGTGGGAAAGGGGGGGCGTGAGGTGGTGGGTTGCTGCGGTCGGGGAAGTTTGAGGCTGGGGATGAAGGGGCAGGGGGTAGGGGTTGTGCTGATGGCTTTGTGTTGTTGTTGTTGTTGATGTTGTTGTTGGTGTTGATGTTGGGTTTGGGCTTCGTTGGTATTGTAGTCTTGGACGGGGGAAGGCGTAGATGAGGCTCTGGGTTTCCGCCGTTGGTGCGGATGGTTACGGAGAGGGCTGTTTGAGGTGAGGGGTTGAAGGCGATGTCTTGGCCGAAGGTGATGTCTTGAGGAAGCCGGGGGGGGGGTGGAAGGAGGTCTCTTCGTCCTCGGTCTGGGGGAATACGGGGCCGCGAGGCCCCTTTTCGGGGTCGACGGGGTAACAGGGGACGCCCGCGACGGCGACGGCGTTGGGGACACGGGCTGGGGGGAAAGGTCGGTCGGTGAATGAGGCTGGAGCTTGCAGATGGAGCCGGGCGTTTTCGGTGTTACCTACCGGTGTTTAGCAAAGGTGGGTAGGCTACCGATACAGGCGTTTCGCCGAGCGTAAGGGGCTGGCGTTCCGATGAGGGAAGGGTGCTCGGGGGTTTTGGGACCGATAAGGAACAGGGACAGGGTGTTGTCGCCTGGGTTTGTATGACTCAAAAGTCAGCGGAGCGAAGAATGAGTACGAAATCCGAGCCTCACGTTTTCCGATCCCACCACAGAAGTTTTGGGACACAGCAAGGGTGCTCGGAATTCCCGTGCCGCCGGTTGAAGTGCGCACGGGGTTTGACAGAGTTCCCCTCTACGTCGGAGATCTTGCCAGGTTACGATTTCGCCGTCGGTGTTGCCTGTGTGAGGAGGTATATCGAGTCTTGGAACATGTTTCGAGAGTCAATACTGCCGAGACATTTCTCAAGACTCAAGATATGCTTCACAAGGGAAACATGGGCTCTGAAAATACGTACAGAGCGATAATGGAACATCCATTGGGGTCGGTGCCTTGAAAAATATGCAGTTCGATACGTCGAGTTCCAACTATGATGGCAGAGGGGGGGAGGAGACAAAGCCAACATGGAAGGCAACAAGGCCTAGAAGATGGGACGACAGCATATAGCAAGGTACCGCTTGTGAGACTTGGTACTGACTCGGGTGATGTCATTGAGCAATGCTCTGGACAGGAGATGGACAAGGACATGATATACAAACTGATATGATGGAATGCTAGAGTGTTCTGAGGCGCGCGGAGCCTGTGTCACTCCGAGGCTTATGGGGGATATGTGGTGACGACCTTTGTATAGTCAATCTGTGACCGCTAGGTCTCCACAGATTCCTAATCGTTGAGGAGAAATGCACGTTAGCAATACGGCCGGACGGTCAGCGGCGTCGTCTCCTTGAGGGTTTTGCAGGTGAAATAAACGTTCCTGACCCAAGTATGACATTCTATGACGGGGAAGGTGATCCCAAATGCGGCCAAAGCCGATCATGTAAAACAATACCATCCAGACATCCATACAAAGACACCCGTGCGCCCGCGAGTTATCACTTCCGGCCTTCGCAATATTGACTCGTCAAATCCTGTAAAATCATCAGGCCTCGACCCATGCCAAAGCTCAATGCATCTCCAAAGATTTGAAGGCCTTTGCGATTTTCGGTCATAGGAACCTCTGAATGAAGACCGCTGCTGCGTGCTCTGTCATCACCATCTTACAAATGCTTCACCGTGGTCCACAAGAAAACGAGGCGATCTACCAACTCCATATCCGCCACCCCCGGATCGTCTTGTTCGCTTCCGCGCTGCCACCTCTCAGAGCTCCCTCTTTCCAGCACGCTATCCACTGAATCCAAGTCAATGCCTGGATCCTGGATTCTAGTTCGCGCCGCTGCCGTATCTTGCGTCTCTGGAAACTTGAACTCCGTGGGTGCTGAAAAAGACCAGGTATAACGAGGAGAAGTTGGACCTGAGGGTTCTTCCATGAGAGCTGATGCGTCGAGTGCACTTCGATGCTGTTGCATGCGTGCCTGCTGGTGAAAGTCTTGACCAAGGACATTCTCGTCCATTAACTCTTTGTACTCGTCTGTCGTCTCCATAAATCTGTTTTTCTGCTCTTCGTCACCTTCAGTCAAGTAGGCGTTGTCGATGGATGAAGGGGCGGCCGCATCATACGATGTGCCGACAGGAATTATGATGTCCGGAGAGTCGTCCCCCAACTCCGGCCAAATGAATTTCCGGTCTTTTTCTTGGGGACGCGTATGTGTTGAACTCTCTTCTCCTCTCTTCATCGATGTCTGTGAATCGACGTCGCTACCAGGATCGCGCTCGTCGGAATGAGATTCCTCTCCGCTGTGCAGCGCCGCATGTCTTTTGAGATCGAACAGGCGCGCGAAAGATTCGCCACAGACTGTGCATAGAAAAGGTCGCTCCCCAGTATGGGTCCGGAGGTGACGAGTGAACTTCTTCGGGCATAATGTGCACTGAAAAGTATCGGCTTGCTTTTGAATGCGCTTCTCTGCGTCAGAGGCGGGAGGCCGTAGGGGATCGGCACGCTCGAGAATCCGGTCACTGTTGGGGACGTCGTCGCTGAAAGAGAGTAGGTAATGTCTACTTGAGATTGCAGATTTCGGTTCATTGAAAAACTTGCGGTCGGCTTCCATCTTCGCTTCTGCAGCCGAGTCTGAGAAGCTGTCATCTCGCTGGAACGTTGGGCGATCTGCACCGGGTCTGACATTAGAAGATAGGTCTGGACCAGCGCCTTGGCTTAGATTTGTATTATTGTTGTAGATGCATTTTACCCCGTATTGTTCGCAATGGACACACATTGGCTCGGCCCTGTTGCATTTGACCCTCTGTTCTCTACAGGCTGTGCATGCTGCAACTGCACGACGCATGGGTGGCCTGTACCCTGATCCCGTGACGTGCGAATTGATCACCTCTTCATCGATTTTGAATCGAGTGACGGGCTCTATTGCTTCATCCACAGCACTTTCGACGAGGTCCCCTCCCATGGAAGACAGTTCTGCCATTTCTTCTTGGGGTTCCTCATACAGCTCGGCATGACCTTTGACGTCACCATATTTGCCAATGATATCTCCGTCTTCATCAACAGCACGGCCAATAAGTCGCGTCGCATCGCCCTCGACAACGACTCCAACTCTACGTTTATTTTCGTCTTCAATCATGCCATCCTTGACAACGACACAGCCCTCCAGCCCAGCGAAAGAACCTTCAGCTTTAGCCTCGCGCTCATTCTCAGGGATAAGCTCGCACCGTCCGATGACCTTGCCGAGATCATTCCAGAGCTGACCGTCCTCGTCACATATCTTGCCGACAAGCTCGTTTGCCTTGCCTTCCACGAGACGAGCGATCGGAACGCCTTCAGGACCGATAACAATGCCTTGCTTGTTGGTCTGAAGTCCCTTAAGAATCGATGTATCCGCTTGCTCTGCGTGGCCAATGTTGTTGCCATGCTTGTTGACAGAATTCGGTTTCAATTCCCGATAGTCCGCCAACGACAATAAGCCATTTTGCCAAAAGTATTCAATGAGGGCAAAGTCATATCGAGCGGCCGCCAGACGATGGCCCAAATAATGATGATGATTCTTGACGTGGTCCATGCGGTCGCGCCAACTGACAACACCAATGGGTGCTTGAAACCTTTGGAAGCAAAAGCAGCACGAGTTGATCTTCGGCGGATCGACCTTTCTCGGCCGTTTTTCGTTGGTCCGAAAATGTTCCAGACTGTGCTGAATCCATTCTCGTTCGTTTAAGACGGTAAATTGTCTGAAGCACTTAAGGAAGGTGAATGGACATTCGAGGACAGGACCTTGGTCTGGCCTTCGAAGGGGAGGGAGAGTGGTAGGCTTCAATACACCATCAGGATCTGGAATCATGATTCTCAAAGCCCGATCCATCTGTCTTTCTCCCATACCATCAAAAACAGATCGAGAAGGCCTTGAATTTCTGGCGCCGGCGAGACTTTCAAGTGCATCATTCTGAGAACAGTCACTGCGCGCAGAGAGTCCTGGAATTCCAATGTCACCGGGTGAAGCATCTTGATACTCTTGGGAACCCACCAATGTGAAACGCTGCGCTATGGCTTGAGGCATCTTTGAACCTTCATGGTCTCGGAAATAGGAAGCGATGGCACGCGGGAATTTTGCATCCAAGGCGGCGTTGTCCTCCGGAAGAGGTACTGTATTCTGACTAGCGCGAGCGGTGACTTCTGTCTCACTCGTTCGGTTCCCGTAAACTGTCTCTTGATGCTCTTGCTCGAGGTTCCGTTTCAATCCACGGAACTGCTCGATCAGCACTGTACCATCTGGTGTTACTCCAGCGTCCTTGGTTCCGCAAAGATGATCAAGTAAGGAAGATGGTTTCGATTGAGGCATATCATCCCCCATCCGAAGGTTGAACGGCGCTACAGCCTGTGGGTCTTGCGTAGCCGTGACTTTGTCCAGGTATGGGGCATCCCTGCCGTCATCGGTGTAATTTTTCATATTCTGGTAGTCAGCAAATGAATATAGTTTTAATTTCAAACTTTCGGATTCATGACAGCGATCTTCCCTTTCATGTTCCTGCTCTAGCCATTTGTCCGTATTAGGATCTCGATCGGAGTATTCAGCAACCGTGGGTTTCGAGTCTCGAAACTGCACAGGCCCGTTTTCACTTGATTGGCCCGATAGGTGGTGTGAGGTGAAAGCGCCTGCGCCAGCCGCTGCTCCAACAATGCTTGCTTCCCACAGATTAGGATAATGCTCCACCCCCACTTCATCCCTCGCTGTGCCAGTCGCTGACGGAGCAGGGACCGCCTTTGGTGCGGCGCTCAACGCAAGACCCTTGACGTTCTTGCGGCCTAAGGTTCGGGTCTTCATGTCACTCGACGTACTAGCATGATCTGCTTTTTTTCTGGTCTGCTCCCCTGCCGGCTTGATATCCGTGTCGGCGATTGGCGCGCATGACTCCTCAATTCTCGGATTGTCTCTCGAGGCTCTTGGGACGGAGTCCGAAAGCTTGATGTATTTCTTATCTGAAAGGTGATATTCCGACTCTGGTACGGAATCGTTCCTTGTGTAGACCCCAGCCAGCCTATCAATAGGATTTCGATTGTTCTCAGACATACCGATGATCCTGCTCCGTTTTGCGGCAGCCTCGTTGACCGAAATTGACATTTTGGAAGGGTTTTCCATCGTGGATGTCCCAGTGATTGAATTCAAATAGACCAAACGTCCATCCGGTGTGGCTTGTGGTAACCAGAAGGAAGCCTCCTCTTGCTCTCCGCTGTCGGGCCCACGGTTTGCCGCCATCGACAGGGGTGTTCTCTTGAGCCTCAGCTTGCTAGGGGAGAACATCTTGACAGGGTCTCTCGCCACGAATCTATTCATCCTAGGCAGTTCTTCCAGTCCCTCCGTGAGAGAATCAAGTCTTTCTTCCGCACTTTGCAGCGCCGTGCACCCCCAAATCTTCTCAAGCTCCTGCCTTTCACCCTCATGGAGACCTGCTATACCGCCCTTCACTCGCAATCGGCTCTTGTATGTGACCTTATATTGTGCTTCATCCACCTCTTTCAGTAAATTTCTGATGAGCATCGAATAATGTTCAAGCTGCTTGAAGAGCACTTCTTGGTCCAACCCCATCGACGCCTCTGTTGTTGGTATTCCTCGCTCTCCTACTGGTGGCATTGCCTTTTTAGTCTGTACGTTTGTATTGATGAACACGTTTTCGATGTTTGCGTTTGGCGGCGTGGCCAGCGATCTTGTCACATTGCTTGGTGCTTTTGGCGACGAATTTATCGCAGTGGTGGGCCCCCTGGATCCAAGGCCCCAAGGATTCTTTCTGTCCTGTAGCGGTATCCCTCCAATAGAAAGCTTCATCCTCTCAAATGTGCGGGTAGATGCTCCTGGCTGTGACCCTGTTGTAGTGCTCGGTTCCCTTTCGAATGCTCCAATGCTTGAAGCATCATCCACCTGCTCTACTGCAGGTCCCCCAACTCCAAGCTTCAATCCTTCAAATTTGCGAATGTATTCGCGGTTCGAATGCGCCAGATCCTCGATGAGAGACCTCTGCTCAGCGATCAGAGATGGCGACTCGGTTCTGCCCATGATCAGCCTTCCTTGCCACCAGCGTAGTACCCCACAAGTAACCGAGACATACTTCCCAGACACCTGCCTTGCGTAAGTGATAACATTTAACATCAACAAGAGCGTCGATTTCAGTCTGTCCAGATTGCTTCGCAGCAGTTGTAGCTTCGGCTGCAAATACCCCCACTTGAGCCTCTCCAACATGATCGTCGCCCTCTTCGCCCTCTCTCCTCCCTTCCCTTCCCTACGTCCACGTCCCAGACTGGGCAATTTCTTCACCAATATGTTCTCCATCTCCTGAAACACCTCCAGACACTCCTTGACAACGCCATCTGCGGTTTGGACGGCATTCTCCGAGAATGTCCCAGTTTCCTTGTCCTTATCAAGTATGCGCCCAAGCTCTTTCAACACCCCAGACGTAAGGGAGACATCCTTTGAGATGGAGATGACGGAACGGTCTGCGCTGGCGACTATTTCGCCAAAGGTGTAGAGTTTGATGCTGAGGCGAAGGCCGACGTCTGCGATCTGGACGACGGAAGCTATGATGCCTAATTCTGCCATAGTCGATGGGTCTCATCAGATGATCAACTGTACGAAAACACAAAATCGATCGATCCACGAGGCCTCCAGTATCTTCCTCATGGCAAGTACACGAGGAGACGTCGAAGAGAACACAGGGACATAGGTTCACGAGGTCATATTGTAGACCTTGAGAGTGATTGTAAGACTGGAGTGTGTCTCCAAATTGGCAGAAGGAATGTCAAGAGCAATTGCATAGCCTTGCCCGCGCAGTACTCGCGCAGCATCGAGGCTCAGCCGCAAGCATCATCGTCGGCGATCATACTCTCGCCGTTAGCTTGCATTGTGCCAATTGCTCACAAGAACGCCCTACCATTTACTCGGGAGAACTGATTCGTCACCTTCGCCTTGTGAGCGCGCGATAAAGAAAGACGTCGGAAGGGCGAGCGATGGAACTCCAACTCAGCCTTGCCCGCGAATGTCGGCGCTAGCGGTGGCCATATCAATCAGATATTCTGGATCCGTGGCGGATTTTGAAGGGAAAGATGCCTTCTAGACGGCGCATTCGCTACTTTAGATATTGTATAGGTTTCATGCTTGTAAGTTTTCAAGCCATGACACGAACGAATTTGGAAAGACAGAGTACTCGTTGCTTCTGCTTGGCTACGAGACGGCACACTGTCGAACAACGGCTTCGCTGCGATGTACTATTGGAACTTCCGAATTGTGAGGCCACACGCGAGAATTGTTGCACTTCCTCTTCAAACCTTGACATTTGCAGTTCCGCGGCTCCTCGCCCTGCGAAACCCTTGTTCGTGAGGGGGTGCCTTTCTTCACCTCTCCCCTCTAGTCCAGGTCTGAGCCAGTGCTGCCAGTGCTGCCATCAGCTTGCTTCATTGCAAGTAGCCATTCTGGTCAAAACATTTTCAGGCTTGAACTCCGCGAAGACTCGTTACCCGATCACGACTTCTTGCTCAGTATCCTCACAATATCCTTCCCCCACAAATAACTCCCCCCACTCCACAACGTTGTCGTCCCAACCACCCACCAACTGATTTCCAACGCGGTCTGCGCCGTCTCCCCCAATCCTCCCATGGCCAGCCCAGACATCGTAGCTCCGATCAACCCTAGCTGTAGAAACGTGTTGATTTTAGAAATCGTAGTGGGCCGCACTTCTGCGCTGGGGAGCGAGAAATCCCAGTAGCGGGTAAAGGTGCGCGGAAGAGGGAGGGAAATGTAGCGGTAGTATAAGGCAGAGAGACCGAGGAGTATGTCGCGGCCTAGGATGAGGACGGCGAGCGGCACTGTTGAAGCATTAGGATCATTCGATGTCGCACCGATCGACCTCGTTGCTATACAGCAAAACGTATGGGCGAACGAGTATTGCTGGGTGTAACCACTCACCAGGCAGCGCCCCCTTCATAGCCAATGTGACCGTCACAACCGTCATCAACGCCTTGTCCGCCATCGGATCAATCACAGTGCCCACCACGGTCTGCAGACCCCACTTCCGCGCGATCCAGCCATCAACCAAATCCGTGACGCCTGCGTACACAAACAAGCCCAGAGCCGGCATGTGCATATCATGGACGATCAGATAGCCGACTACCGGGGCCGCGACAAGGCGCGAGAAGGTCAGGATGTTGGGCAGGGTGTAGATGTTTTCGTGGACGGGTAGGAGGATGGAGAGAGGGGAAGGTCTGTGAAGCCCGTTAGCGGAGAGCAAGTGGGAGGAGAAGAAAGCAGCTTGGTGGAACATGAGGCCCAGGGAAGTTGGTAGGGCGCGCCGTGAGTTTTCATGCAATCGAAGGTCCAAACGCAGGCAGAGCAGCACAAGGCGCAGAGAAGTGGTCAACAAGTCCGAGAGCGGAATGTTATTCCAACATACCTCTTCTCCGTTTCCTTGTCTCCATCCTTCCTCCCGCCATCAGCCAGATACCTTCGCTGCTCCCTCTGGAACCTCTCAGCCCATTGTATCCTGCATTACCCAACCCGTCAGTCCTCGTCCCTGGAGCTCATCAAACGACTCTCAGGCCAAGCCCCCTACCTCTCCAGGCCGCCATCCACCCCACCTATCCTCTCACGGCTCGCCCAGGTCCACATCTGACTTTTCTCATTGACCGCTCTCAGCCGCAACGGTGTGCGCAGGCCTGCACGCAATCGCGGTGCCGTCAAGCGCAAATTACGGCATGCAAGACCACAAGCCGCTGATGCCATTGCATGGTGCACCGCTTGAATGTTATGTAATGATGCTATGACAAGGGTCGTTGCTCGGTGTAGGATTCCTCCACTCATGTCTGTTTCAATTGCCCAAGTGGTGATGTTTCAAAAGAATTTTAGTGTGCATGGTAGGGCTGAAAGAAGTGACCGGACCTGCCTGTTCCGGGTCCTGAGGAGGTACATATTTTCGAGCTCCCCTGAGCTTGACAGGCTCACCCCAGTCGTAACGGAATGGTCATCTCGACGGTTCAAAGCTTGTAAAAGGATCAGTCGTGTCAAATGTCTGGGTCGGACGACGATCGTTTGTTGATCTTTGAAGATGCTGCGGTTGTTTTCCGCTCTATTGCTACCTTTTCAATATTTCCCTATGTGCCTATCAAGCAGCAGAGCGAAAAGGTCTCCGCATTATAGTACAGCCTGACGCAAATCTGCTTCTGCCAGTCTCGCTTCATCTGCCTTGGCTACCTGTTTATCTTCCAAGCAAAGAAGCCGATTGCTTTCCCTCCATCAAGCCTGTTTGAAACACGGAGCACTCTCCGAATGCTCTCCGTACACCTCGGCTGCCGAGTCTCAACAGCCAGTCGATCCAAATATCGATCAGCGCACGCTAAGGCAGGATGTCCTTGTGCGCAGGTGTCATGCATTGCAACAGTGCGAGACTAACTTCCACTTGAGGGGGCTTTCGGTAGTCGGCACAACGCATGATGTGCTGTTAAGGATCAATGGGGAATTTCGGTCAAATTCCTGTAGGGATCGCCGTTTCCATCGCATGAAGTCGGTCGAGGAGGGGAAGATGATGACCAGACTTTGCGGCGTCTGGTTACATCTGGGGCCAGTTTTGGAAACGGGTCCGTAGCTGGCGGATATCGCTGTGTCGATGTGGAGCGCACAGCGGAACGTGTGAGAGCTCAGGAGGCTTCGAGTTCATGCTGGAGTATTCGAATGCGATCAAGCGGCAGAGATGCCATGTGGTGTATGTGCAATTATCAGCAAACATTAACAGTGACTCCACATTAAACGCCCGTTGGGTTTATAAGTCCCAGCCACGTACGCAACAACTTTCGTAGAAGACCATGCTGAGATTTTGACAAGAAGCCGCCCCTGGTGTATATTTTGTAGCAGACGCAAATGCAGAAATGATAACGCCATTGTAGATGACTGCTTTCCGTTGCAAGCCTTCCAGATCGTCGCGCAGTCCAAGGTTATCAAACGACAATCGCACTCCGCCCGCATTTTGAAAGAATGCCGTGTAGCCAATGATTAGGATTGTGCGCGGTAAGAAGAAGTGTATGACTGCCCATCTGGACGGGCACCCCATGACTGCGAATAGGCAGGTGGCCAGGCCTGTCCTTGTTGGGGATGAGATGTTGGCACCATCCCTTCCGCCTTGATACCAGGAGATCCGTACAGCTCATGACTCATGCCATTGTCTGCTGTGTTCGCGTGAAGATAGTCTACCATTGCTTGCGGACGGGGTAAGGCATTCTGGCCTGCCTGCTGCTGGTAGTTTGGATGCTGTTGTACCTGGTGATCTTGAGGATGGCCACCATAATGCTGTGGTTGATACTGAGGGTGTTGCGGCGGCTGGCCCTGGTATTGTGGGACCCCCTCTTGCTTGAAGTGAGGCGTGTATTGACCGTGAGGTTGATGTTGCGGGTACGACACGGGCCCAAGCGTCAAGGATGCGTAGGCCGGTGTGGATGGTGCTATCGATGCATAGCCCGGGCCTGTAGAAGGTGGATGTGACGGAGCATACGCAGGGTGGAAAGCTATTGGGGATGAAACTTGGGGAGCTTGAAGTGCGGGATTTGGAGGGTACATCCTTGCGTCGTACCCGTTCGGCTGGTAATATTGAGAATAGGCATTCTGCGACCCTTCCATTTGCTCGTAGCTTCCGTCTCCAGCGTCGTCAAGGTTGGGAAATTTGAACTTCGGCTGGTTCAACAAAGCTTCCCTTATCGGGAGATCCTTGAGACGAGGATCATCCCTAGGTGTCCTGAGGTTGTGCTTCGCATCCTCGAGAGAGTAGTAGGATACCAGGTGATGCTGTACATTGTGGACAGTGACCGTCATCGTCTTCTTTAGCAGCCCATTCTCCTTGAACTCGTAGGAGTCTACTAGCGAGCCGACCAGGCCGCGGTTGGCATCCTTGTCCGGGCTATCATCTTGTTTATTTTGCGAGGGGTTCGGTGATTCCGGCCCCGGGAACGATCTGCCTTCGTCGGTCGTGGGTGTGGTGGTTGCACTCGTTGCGTACGGCTCACCCGGCTTGAGCGCCCTCTGACTCCGCTTGGTCGCTCTCTTCTTCTCGCCAGGCGGAAAAGGACTGTTGAGTTGGCGGTAGATGAGGAAATTGGTCAGAATGCGACTCGGACTCCAGGGGATGCCATCGGTCCATCTCTTGATGCCCGAGGTAGCCTCTTCGTACACGAAGACGTTGCCGCTCACAATGAGCTGATTGCGCTCTCGGTCGTGAGGACGGCGGAAACAGTGTGCCAAAGTGCCACTGAAGCAAGCCTCGAAGATGATCAACGCGTCTTTGGTGGTCTCGATGTGGCCCCGCCATGTGGGCACGCACGCAGGGGCCTTGCCAACACTCATGACGCAGACGCTCGTCTGCTTTTTATTTGATTTTTATGAATTGAGGAAGAGAATGACGTGAAAGGTGTCAAAGAAAGCGATGATGGGAATTTTTGACTGAGGAGCCTCAGACGGGCAACGCTGTTGGAGCGCGCAGTCGAGGAAAGTACATAAAGATCGACGGCAAGAGGCAGCAGCGCAGAAGTAATTGAAGCTTGAATGACACTACCGGGCAAGATTGAGTTTCGGTAATGTTTAAGTCGGCAAGAACTCTTTCACACGAAAAAGTGGCCTACGAATCTCTCTAATGGATTCGGACCTGCATCCCCCAAAATCTTGATGGTGTAGGTTGAATTATATTATCAAAGTGTGTGAGATAGACGCGCTTTCTTAACGTTTATTGTGGAATATGTGGTCCAAGCTTTTTGGTCTTATAATAAATAAATTAGTGGGAGGATGCCCGTTGTGTTTGGCCTGGAGCAATAATGACGCGTGTGATTGAAATTTACCCGGGGTCCAACAGTAAGGCGCATCGACAGCTGGGCAACCGTCAACCCGTCAATCCGTCAAATGCTGTTAGAGTGAACAGGATTGGAGAAGGAATGAGAGACTGGGGCAAACGGGTGCATGTTAACAACGACGTCCAAATCAAAATTCAAAAAATTTCCAAAATTTATATTGGACCTAAGACCAAGTTATCGGGATATGTACCTACGTTTTGAAAATATGCTAGTCATTACACTTGTGTGCTAACCGTCGTGGTATCTTCCGGTCGACTAAATCTCCCCACTACTATTTTTTTGGTGGGGATACGGTAGAATGGGTATGTGAACTATCTGAGTAGAGTCTGACACCCTGAGTAATGCAAAGTCTGTGCGGCTATTACGGTGGAGGCTAGTTCCAATGTCCCTGAACATCTACCGCTCATAGGAACCGGCTGTTGGTTTGATCGACCGCTGCCCTCTTTTTTTGAATTCTCCAAATTTATTTTTGCCTCTTCTCTTCCCTTCCTTGGCTACGAATCATTACATTGGACAACAGCGGAATGTTAAAACTCCTTCTCCAAGGTTGTTGGCGGAGCCGACCATGATATCTCTCTGCAAGTCCTCTCAAGCTGGCATAGCGTGTGGAAGGCAGCCATGCGTCTGCAGGGTTTTACAGACCGTGTACCAGAGTACAGAATTCGCCATGGCGTCAGTCGAGGAAAATGATGCGTAAATCGGTAAGTGCGTATGACGCCTGGACTTGCCCTACCAGAAGCACAGAAGACGAGTACTACTGCCAAGTGCTACTAGGTACCTACTCGGACTACTTCATCCCCTACGCCCCCTGTTGGAAAGCAGGGAATAACCCTCGCGGATAGACTTATCTTAGCTTTAGGCATTTCTGGATTCAATTTGTAGCTCACATCCCAGCATCCTCCATCCATCCGCCTACCGCCTACCTTTTGACCTGTGAGCCTGTCTTTGCTCTAGAGGCCCGCATAATTGTGATTATGCACAAAGCACTCTTGCCGACCCTCCGGAATCGATGATCGACGCCTCCAAGAACCCCTATCCTTCCGTGAGGCTGCTTTGTGAAGCCTTGTTGCATTTCCCTTGCAGCTCCCTTGGATGTGGCGGCGGCCTTGCCATTCCTCATGATAGTCTCAGCGGCTTCTCCGACGCAACAGAAAAGGGAGAACACAAACATCAACATCGTACGGCAAAATTGACAGATCAGGCGAAGGCGAAGGCATACTGCGGTACTCGCTACTCCCTTGCAGTCCGGAGGGGGCCTGGAACAGCCACCACTAAGCCCAATGACCCCATTTTTGCCCCTACGCCGCTCCCCCGCTCAGGCGCATTTGGCGAATCAGTGGCTGCATCCACGATGGCGGGTGCCACCATTGCCTTCCTAATGAATCTCTCCGCCGTCTCCGGGCCTTGTTCTTTCCAGCCTCAGAATCAGCAATGTCAAACAAGCTTCTCGAAACGCCATTCACCAACTGGCTAATAAACAACATCTCTTTCCACTCTGCGCATGCGTACCACACTACCACCTATCACTTTCCCCTCCTTGGAAATGCGGGGGCAGAAAACGGTTTTGTCCGCTCTAGCGTCCAAGTACGCCCCGTACCTAACGGTCCCGCAGGTTACTCGTTTACTGAACTTCAGAGCTGCAGTATGGAGTGCATATGGAGAGCACTAGCCGCGTCATTCTATCATGTACATTCCATGAGCATGGATGTTCACAGTGCGTTGAAAATCCTTTGAGGACGCATCAACGCATCTAAAGGCCAAGCAAGGCCTTGGCAATTTTCTTTTCTCCCAATTCGTCCTCTGCAACGGGCAACTTTCATATACACCGCCGGTATTCACGTACTCGTGTCACTTTACATTGCACGAACCTTAGGGAGGACAGAACTCAAACGTGCAAACTTCCCGGAACTCTCACGGGAGATGGCGAACCTCAACCCAATCTGATGTGGGGCCAAAGCTTTCATCGATCAAATCTCCTGGGCTATCAGGGTGGCGATACCCAGAATAATCGGCAGGAAAAAGATCAGGATGGCTACGTCCTCGAGCCTCTTTGCCTCTTCGAATTTGCCTCAACCCAGAATCAATCAGTACGGATCCTTCCTTCCCAAGCTGCCTGAATTTTGCGCTGAGCTTCAGTACGTCTACCGTGAAAGTGGAGTAAGACCAAACAGACGCGTCACCGTATCAACGAGGATGGATCTACAAACGAGCTTGAATATTTCACATTTCACCTTCATCGCTACGACCCAGGGATTACAAAGGCAATGTCCGACTCTTCGCATCATTCCTTCCTCGAGTCTTGCAGACACGTCAAATATGCATACGGGTAGTGGGGGCAAACCCCCACGGCGAACAACGTTCCTGCAGTCAACCAGCCATTGGATTTCCAGTGACCAGATTGTGTGCGAGCTCAACTTGGAGATGGCTGACGGCTTTTTCACCTATTGGTTACCAAAATTTTCGCAAGCGTGACCAGGTGCCAAGCATTGCAGTACCAGCTAGAAGGATTCTCAAGTATTGCCAGCTTTCGATTTCGATAGGCTGCGTGCATGAAGATGGCGGCGATTTGCCAACGTGAATCACTAGAAAAATAAATCCTTTGAAGTGACGTTGGGCTCCAATACAGCACGCACTTATGCATGAAGCCGTCACGAGGCCTCGATGATCATCACCCCACATAATTATGCCATTACCCTTTTTGTCTTGTTCTTCGGCTCTGGACGCTGCCGCTTAATTGACATCAACTTTGTTTCGTTATCTCAGCACTTCTGACAAGGTACCATATCTTGTCTCGCCAAGAATTCCATTGCGGGAGGAATCCCATTCCGAATATCACTTTGCAGAGCTCATTGCAGAACAATGAACAGCCAGGGACAGGCCAACGAGTCAGCACAAATGGCTTCAGAGCACTCATGAATGTTTCTGACGGGACGTGGCGGAGGTCCAACTTCAGCAAATGGAGATTCATGATGAGATTCAAACTCAGTTCTCCACTCTGTAAGACGCGCAACCAGTCGCACGCAAGGTTTCGTAACCGACCTTCTCTTTGCTCCAGCTGATCGCCTGTTTTGAGCACTGAGTGAAGTCGGCTTTCCTCGTCACATGCGCTGCGCTTTCAGTGGGCAGAACCGCAGAGCAAGCTCCTTCCCTTAGGTTTGACAGTGTAAGACCCTAGCTCCAATTCGATGGCAGTATGAGGCAGACCTTACCAAAATTAGCACGTAACTTCAACAATGATCGCAGCGTAAAGGCCCACTGCCTTCTGGTTCTAGCATCACTCATGCTTCTGCTTCATAGTGTGAACAAAAGGGTCAACTAGCGGCACTAGTGAGTGTCTATGCTTCGCAAAGGGCGGTCCAGTAATGCTCACACATAGTCTCGGCTTTTAGAATGTCTGCCGTTATGATTTCAGACAATCTTTAGCGTGCTTTGTATAGTAATCTGCCATCTATGCTTCTCATTTCGACTAATTACTGCTACAGATAGCTATTTCCCATGTCGACAAAGGATCCGCGTCAGGTTAATCCAATCTCGCGCTCTCTTCGTTGGGAGATTCTAAGCGAGCTCTCTCGTTGGCCGTCCCTCAACCTAAGCCGGATGAGAAGGACGGCAGTGAAAGGGGCACCAAACAAAAACCAAGTAACGGGAGTTTTACAGACGGCGGGAGAACACGAGGTTGCAAACTGCGGATGTTTTACAATTCATTTCAGCTAGATGAGATTTGGGGAAATTGATGAAGTTGCGGAGCCAAGTCCGGCACGAAACAGAGCCCCACCTTAAAACAGCCTCACGAGCAACCAACAAACACTAAAACATCGTTGCTAGTAGCAACGCTAAAACTCTGACTTCAAGGCTTGATCAGGCAGACCAGCATCGCGCTGCTCATAGACATCCATGGTTGGTCATGTGCCGAGTTCGACATCGATCACGATAGCCACCTACATTTCCCTGGGCGTTATCGAAATGCTTTTGAGTTGTGGAGCTGGGTGAGCGGTCATATAACAAGGCATCACATAGAGGTAACCAGAATGGTCTGAATTCTCTGTTTCCGCCCGACCTGTCAAATGCATCTTACTTATCAATGCTCCTTCGTTGTCAATGCTAAGATCCAAGTTTGGCATCGAGCCATGATCATGATCTTCGTCATCCCCGAGGAAAGCGCAATCTCTCTGACTATCTGCTCATGGATTCCCCGAAGCTGGAGGCGCTGAGGTACCTCATCTCACATTACTGACATGAACAATATCCAGCAAAAGCTACCCAGTTTTCGCAGCAACGATGTCATGTATCTCATCATCGATCAGGTAAGCGTATGTTGCGGAGACGATCTCCTCGAACAAAATAATCGCTGTTCAGTCTCTTACAATCTTGTCTCTTTTGAGCTTCAAACCCCTCCGATGGCTTCATGTGCAGCGATTTCATATAATTGTGTCACAGATCGTCCTTCAAAGTCATCTTTAGGTTTTCCACGATGAAGCACACTACCCGCAGAGGACCTATGCTCGTGGGCCTACTTGGGCAACTCGTGCACCGACCAAAGACATAGATGCCGCTCTCATCCGAGCTGAAGCTATTGTCTGACCTGCTGACTTGGAAAACAGCTGGTGCGGGCAAGACTATCCGAGCGTATGTGCACGGACCTGTTGTAAAGTCGTTGCTGACACTATGCTTCTTGGATTGTCGACGACCCATCACGGCAAGGCGCTGACATTGGCTTGAACTGCGGGACGTGTGTCACGTTTCAGGTTTCGAATCATGGAAAGGCGAACTATTATGGACGTATCCTAGAAGTAGCTGCTGGATGAAATGACTTGACCTCAGGTACTAGTACAAGCGCATCATGGACCGGCTTCCCGATACATTCATCCATTCTATGCTCCTCGTGCCCAACGAAATGTCAAGTGATGGCTTTGAATCCTACCGTACCGGGTCTCCCAAAGACGAGTACTTAGCTTGGATAGCCGGTTTATCAGGGCAATGGGCCGTTGTGCTGCGAGATGTTTTTGAACACGAGCCCGTAGTATTATGCGTGTTACGTGAATGTTTTTTGACTCGCTAAGCTCAGTGAAGTCGCAGCTCGGCACACGAGTTTGGGCATCGAGTCTGGATTTGCCTCGCACAGAAGTGCAAACCGTACGTCTTCCTCCCCAAGCTTGTTCCTGATTTCTGATATGAGCAAAATTCTGTCTTTGCCATTGGGGGAAAGGGGCGGTTCGAACAAAATTTGGCCAATAGAACTTTGGGACCATCGAATGTCGTACAACGGTTCGAGCCAGTAACGTGTTTCGAAAAGAAGTTTTGGAACGATGCCATAGCGAGAACGTGTTTGGTCCATCATCTGTAGTGGACTGTCAACTCTGTCAACGTAAATCTATATGTGGTCACGATTGCTTCCATACCCATTTGGGTCGCTTCCGAAGTGTCATTTTAGGGGCTCACCTTGATCTTGACCGCTCTCCTCTTTCGAATATCTATACACGGGAGAAAGTAACATCCTCTCTAGGGAATGAATGCAGATTTGTAGATTGGCGATCACGACATGAATTGCTTTCTCATCGAATCTTTGATTTATCGAGCCAATGGAGTTAACGTGTGAGCCTGCATCCACTCCATGCGGATCAATGCTTGGTCGTACCTATACCTTCTTGGAAAGGAAACCATAATCAATGCCCAGCCAAACCCCTGTGGTATGGATTGGTTCGGTCTTTTTGAGAGCAGGCGCAGGAACCATGCAAAACTGCAAACACTTGATGATACTGGGAAGCTTCAAAGGTTTTGATAAATTTTGGAATTCCCGATACTCCCAGAGCATCAGTATTCTCCGCGTTTGCTTAAGCGCGATGCTTAAGTCCGACCGCAGATCTCCTTATGGACTTGAGAAGGAAAGTAAATTAATGTAGATTAAGTGGTCCTCGTTGAATTGCGCCAGTCAAACGGCTGCGGGAGGGATGCAAGGACGCGGAGACCTTGGACAATTGGATGGGCAGCATTGGCAGTTTCGAGAATGGCGTCCCGCCTCAGTAGTACCATGGGTACAGATTGGATATCCTGTACCGACGGTGGAGAGTGGCATAGACGCCATCGAACGCCATGGCGGAAAGGCTTCTGCTCTTGTATACCGTGGGTTTCTCGGAAGCCAGAGTGCGGGCCCAACCTAAGAAATCACGATCAATGCGAAATATGTACCAATATCGGTACTGGCAATGAAACCCATAGACAAGTCGGGTAGGGAAAGCACTCCAAGGACGCCTCTTGAGCTTTGCGATGAAGAGCCTGGCGACTGTGTACAGCCAGGCCATACGACCGATGACGTAGCGACCAATGTTGTAGTGATTGAATGGAGATTCATTCAGCGGGCTTTTCGAACTCTTTCGCGGTGACCATTTGATAACAGGAGTCAATCTTCCAGCAGGTTTTCTCGATTTCTTCACATGCTTGCCAAGATATATCTCGGCTCGGAAGCGTCGATCTGCAGATCAATCCGAGGACGCAGGTCCAGGCCTGACAGGATTCGTCCATCCAGCCCTCCAGCCCAAGCAAAACCTGCCAATGCACCTGCTGTTCTTGTATACATGGCCTCATCCTCATCATTTGTAAGAGTCGGCGTGCTCTGTTTTGCCTTCTAAATCCTGGACTAGGCTTATGTATATGTCAACTCAATTGACTCCCGCCTTCTAGGACGATGCACGCTCGGCCCCGATCGCCGACTCGCAGCATTCGCCGCGCGTAGGATGTGGCTATAACGCTGAACCGGCAAGCAAAGCTAATCCTGTGGAGGGAGTGCCACATACCGTCATCGAAGCAGCCATGGAGTCGATGCGTCAACTCAAACCCCATTGGAATGCTGGCATGATAGCCGCGTCCATTGCCATTTCATTCCTCGGGGCATTCACGTCTACGCAACTGTTTGTTTTCACATTAGTGCTCTAGCCTCTTTACTCCAAGGCTGACAATATCTTGCAGCATGTGCCAAGCGAGAATGTCCCTTCACTTCTCAAGCGTACTCATCTGGACTATACTAGGGAGCCTCACCTTTGGCTTCTGCTCGATCTGGAGCCTCCACTTCGTTGCAATGTTGGCATGCGAGCTAGATCTGCCAATTGGAATCAACGTTCCCCTCACACTCCTCAGCGCTCTGCTCGCCGTCTTGTTCACCTTTACAGCATTGGCATCTGATCTGCTATGGGATACATACATGAGAAGCAGACGGAGAAATTTCCGAGCATTGAGGAGAGAAAGAACTAAAAGTTCCGCCATTAAACGTTCGAAGTTGAATGCGCGTGACCCCTCATCCGAAGGTCTTTTGCACCCTATCGAGGAGGAAGAGGAGGAGGAGGAGGAGGAGGTAGGAGAAGAATATGAAGAGGAACGCTACAATCAGGATTCAGAGGATTCAGAATCGCCACCACTATCGACACATCCCTTCGAACAAGACAGAAATGGGACATTCGTTCCCGACACACCGCCCGAGACTCCACCTCTTTCTCCCCAACCGGTCCTCCATCGTGACCCAGGATACAAGTTTTTGGATCTACACCTCAACGGCTCAGCCGGAGGAACACCAACGAAACTTCCGGCGCAAAGCCCAGAAAGGATAACTCCAACACGCGTGGAGAGTTCTGAAAGTTCGATTGGATTTCCGGGGTTCCCAAGGTTTCAAAGAGAGCCAAGCGATCAGTCAATATCACGACGATCCGATTCGTTCATGGGATCAACCTATAGCTCCTATGGACTCAGCAGCATTATGAATCTTGCCTACCGAGGCACATCGCCTGCGAAGAATGCGTTCATTGCAACTGGTGAAGTACTCTACGCAGGTTGTACGCGCAGGAATATCATTAAAGGTTTTCTATGGAGCTTGGCCATCACAAGCATGCACTATGTGGGAATTTCTGCGCTGCGTATTCCACAGGGAGACTTCACCCTTGAACCGCCGCTCGTCATTTTGTCGGGCCTGATCAGCTGGGTCGTCTGTCTCGTCGGATGCATCTTGATGTCCCAGATCGAGACTCACTTGACACAGCAATTCCTCTTCGCAATCGTAGCATGCACCGGCGTCGCTGCCATGCACTTTACTGGTACGTGTATTTAGACCCGCATCCAAAGCCAATATGTTGACACGTTTAAAGGAATGCGAGCTGCAACGTACGTACATTTTGGAGTAAACCCTTCTCAATTAACATTAGGAACGAGCCACGAACCATGTTCTGGGAGTGACGCGTTGTTTCTGATCTTGAAACTTGCCCTTTTAAGCAGGCCACAAGCCATGATAACAGGAGCAAGGGGCTTTTTCTAGACTTGTCGCGCTAGTCGGGTCACACAGGTTATCTTTGAAGAGTGACCGGCTCCTCAACTCTTTAGACCTGGCCTGTGATTTGGGTCATCAAGCCATGTTTTGGGAGGATATGGCTCTTCCTCCTCTGGAGACTTATCTTGTTGCTTTGGTTTTTGCCTTGGAAAAGCAATGCTAACTCCGACTTCTGCGTAGATTTTGGTCAAATGCCGAACCATCTCCCAAAAGAGGCTACCCGCCTGCGCTAGCTGTTGCCATTGGTAGTATCGCCATCACGACGTGTATCGCAGCCAACTTCCTCTTAGCACATGTGGCAACGATCTCACGCAACAAATTGGCAGAGATTGTAATGACACGGAAGCAACTATGGAGGACTATCGCGCAGAAGGAGAATGCAGAAGCTGCCGCCGCCGCTAGAAGTGACTTCATAGCGTCGGCTTCCCACGAGATCAGGACCCCTCTCCATCACCTCCAAGGTACGAGAGACTCGTTTCACACTCAAAAGCTGTCCTCCAACCTAATCAAGAAATTTTTGCTGACTCCGAAATTTGCAGGTTACGGTGACTTGTTATCCCGAACTGAGTTGACCGAAGAGGGCCGTATACTTCTTTACGCGATTCAGCACGCCACAAAGACGCTTTCTTTAAGTGCGTGGGAAGCAAGTCCCTGTTGTTCGTTTCATACTGATCATTTCACAGTCACGAACAACGTACTGGATTGGTCAAAGTTAGAAAAGGATGCCGAGGCCGTCTGCCACCCTGTTGCTCTGGACATGAGAACCGTTTGCGAATCAATCCTAATGCTTCTGCCCAACAAAGATGACGAAGCAGATGTAAGCCTTATGGTTGTTGTGTCTCCGAACGTACCACATTCACTCTTCCTGGACGAAACTTATATTCAGCGGATCCTCATGAATCTTCTTTCCAACGCTTTGAAGTTCACGAGGTCAGGCTATATCATGTTGTTGATAGGAATGGAGAACGGTAAGCTCGTTGCCACGATCAAAGACACTGGGACTGGCATTCCCCCATGCTTTTTGCCCCAATTATTTGAGCCTTTCAAACAAGCAACGACCAGAGGATCGCAAAGAGGAACCGGACTAGGAATGAGCATTATCAAACAGCTGCTGCACAAAATGCATGGGACGATCGAAGTAGAAAGCAGACATCCAGATACAGCGTCAGTGGGGCCGGGACAGACTGGAAGTACTTTCACCGTCACAATACCCGCGCCGTTGTCTAGTACGCCAGATCCAGAGCCCTATCTTACTGAAGTACTTCCTTGTATCGCAATGTTCCATGGGGATAACGAGCGATCATTTGAAGGGCTGCGTACCGCTTGGGAGAGTTTTGGGTTTGAGGTTGTGAGGGTCAGCGATTCCTCCGATCTCTCTGGCTCGGAGTGGAAGTACGTTTGGGCGGACTTACCATTCTTGAAAGGAAACCCGCGTTGTCTTCAGCAGCTGCTTGAGCAGGATCAGTGGCAGGTCCTTGTGCCATACGATACTCAAGAGGCGCTCCAGCAGACCCCTAGCGTACTATCTAGGCCACATCTCGTCCGTTTGCAGAAGCCATTGCTATGGCACACTTTCGCTGATCAGATCCCCGCTCCCGGCGAGTCCGCTAATAATGCCGCTCTTGCCAGAACGGTCAGATTTGCACCGCAGGTCGACATCGTGGATGGCAACGACAAGGAACAGCCTCAGGAAGCTACAGCAAAGGATTTAGTAATACTTTTAGTCGAAGACAACCCGGTATGACGATCCTCGCCATGTCGCCGTTGGTAGATTTCACTGACGCACCTCTTTAGATCAACCAGAAGCTCGGCAAAAAGATGTTGACAGCCTTGAAGTATCAAGTCTTGCTCGCAGATGATGGCGAGGAAGCTATCGAGCAAATGATGAAGCACGATGCCACCATAGACGCAATACTGATGGACCAGTCTATGCCCGTCAAGGATGGCATCACAGCAACAAAGGAGATACGTGCAATGGAAGCAGCTGGAACACTTTCCCGGAGAAGACCTATCATTGCTGTGACCGCCGTTGTCAGTGCTCAAGCTCAGGCCTTGTTTAAAGCAGCCGGCGCGGAGGACTTCCTTACAAAACCATTGTCTCTGTCGAAGCTCGAACAGACTTTGGCGTTGTATCTGCCTCAACAGTAAAGATGGCAAGAAACATGTGAGCTTGTCCAGATACCAGAAGACGAGGGGTCCAATGCGCCTTCGACTTCTGCGACTCTGCTCTACCCTCCCCATTGCATGCGTCCTCCTCCGCTAGCAACAGACTCAAGAGGAGAATATCGACTGCGAAGCACAGTCCGAAGACCGTGGCAGACGATGAGCGCCGAAGCAACACGAGTAAACCAAACACCAGACTCGTTGATTCGTTTGGTGTACATGACTTTACAAGGGTAATTGAAATACTTGCCATCCTAATTGACAAGAATATCCAACATTGGAAGATGATTGTTAACCGATTTTTAGTGCATTCCTTGGAAAGCAACCATTTCAAAGCCATCAGAGGCTTCGATAAAAAAGCCACAGTCAGATCTTCCGTAACCGCCTTGCTTGTGCTTCGATAAGTTTGTCAGATATTAGCCAGCAGTACCTCCAGGCCGACGTTGTACCCCGAAAACTATGATTCGTGAACATAGAGGTGGCGCGCTACGCTTAAATCCAGTGAGGAATGCCGCTGCTGGGCACTTGGTCCATGGCGATGAGTCCTTCGAATCCTTTACTCGGAGTGTGACATACTACAAGCCTCGCATGTGCGTGGTGGTCTGCGTGCTTACCCATTCATTGCACGGTCATCCCTCGGGAGCAAAACCACCTAGCTGCTCAACCTAGGTCTCGATGGACAGAAAAGCGTTGCCCGTCTTGACAGGATACAAAGAGGTACTAGAGCTATGTAGTCGAAAGTTCTATGCCTTCCATTCCATCTGGAATGATTCTGACATACTATGTAAACCTACAATCTATTACGTAACGTTTATTGCAACACGTTTCAAAGACAAAACAGTCCAAAGCACGCTTCGTTATCTATTTCATTCGCTCCGTTTACCTCTTCTTCTCGTCCTCCTCCCCCCTCCCCCCCACAGATCCCTCACATCCTCCTCCCGGCTCACAAGCCACATCCCTGCCATACCTTCGCCAAAGACAGAACCAAGAACATACGTGCCAAGTCCCAACACTCTATCCTCCGGCTCCCCGACAAGGCAACGCCGTTGGAGGGGACAATTACGGACTCACTGGGCCCGGGAAGAAGACTTGGTTTACTAAGAAGGGAGCTGTTATATATACCGCCTTTTATTTAACATTCGCGATCTTCTTTACAATAGGCGAAGCTACGATTTGGTTCGGTTTGGTTGCCCATGAGCGAGCAATATACCACCATGGATGGATGTTTCTTCTTGTTCTTACTCATGGCTTTTCGAGGGCGGTTTAGGTGCAGAGCTTGTGAGAGAGAGAGAGGGAGAGAGAGAGGGAGAGTAGGAGGCGTTGTGTAGATGTGATTGGTTGGTTGGAGGTGTGAAGGGATGTTGCTGTGTGGGTAGGGAAGGGGGGGGGGGCGATGACGCTTATGTATACACGCTGAAGTACAATTCCAACCCAGATCGTTTGCGGTGATATTCGTTAAGATAGATTGGTCTCAGAAGACACGAATGGACGCGCAGATTTGAAGGACCTAGGACGAGGGATGTTATATACATTGGTAAATACGTTCTATGATATGAACAAATCTCTCTCTATTCTACATATATACACATATACATATACATCCACCTGACTGTTCCTATTCCTACAGCAGCCACCCAGCAACCGCAGCAATCGCACCCAACGCCGTCTCCACCACCTTCACCAACCCCACAGCGCCCACGCTCAAATCTTCGCTCGATGAAATCGAAGCTGTCTGCACTCCCGACCCCAATGTTCCACCGTCAATTCCTACGATGGATTTGCCACTCCCCTTTGTGCCATTGCTCCCGCTCGTGCCGTCGGCATAGAACGCACTGAGTGCATTCCCAGCCGTCGAGTTCTTGAACGGTGCCTGTTGGAAAAAGAGACATCGATTCGTGGCATCTGGGTCTGGGATCGGCTGGAAAGGTAGGCCGGTGTTGTTGAGGTTGAGAATGGTGCCATTGCCATAGGTAGGGATGTCGTTGAACGCGGAACCGCCGCTTGGGATTCCTGCTCCCACGATGGAGGTGACGTGCTGCTGCGTCGCTTGCGCGATAGACTCGTCGTAAGTGCCGCAGCTATAGTTGGAGCCAGGGTCGTTGTAGAAGGTGTATGCCGTGTCGTTTGCGTGGAAGGCTGGGGGGACGAAAAACATTTAGCCGTGGATTTGATTGTTGAAGGCGCGGTCAAGTAGTTGGTACTACATATAATTATTGCTTCGCTGGCGAAGGTGATGCCGCGATTCAATTGGTCATTGTAGTGTAAGCTACCATCGAAAACTGGGGGGTAGAGCACGTCGGTGATGTAAGAGACTATGCTGCTGTTCACGCTGGGCAGTTAAAGCTCGACAAGGCTGGTGAAGGAGGCTGTGGAGTTTATAGAAGGTAATTAGGGAAGGATACCTTCGTTCGCGTCATGGCCGTTCGTTTTCTTGATTGTTTTATTGAAACGGCCTTCGGAGAGGAGGCGGCCAGGTAGATCAGGGACGAAGTCGCCGTCGAAGACTAGGCCGGCGATGAAGCCGCCGTAGTGGCCACCGTAGCCGATCCAGAGGCTTTTGCCTCAATTCAGAGAGGCCGTGTCCCATATGGCGAGCTTCTTGCAAGGTGGAGACATTGCACAGTTGTAAAAATTGTCGGAAAGCCCCTTGTCGGGATTTTACCGGGAGATCCGTGAGGACTGCCGGGCTTTGAGTTATGGATTGTTAGAACAGTACGGGGCCTTGGTGCCCCCATAGGCTGTTATTTGGAACACGACGGAGCCTGCGCCGGCCGAATCCCCCATTACTGTGACTCGGTTCGGGTCGCCGCCGAAAAGGTGGATATTCTCCTGTACCCATTGTAACGCTAAGCGTTGGTAGCGTTTGCAGTCCCGTTAGCAGTCCCGTTGGCTGATAGACTTGGTCCAATATCCCGCCAAATGCGCCGAGCTATTTTGTATAAGTTGATGCCATACAGTCGGTCTTGAAGTTACGCGGTAATTCATAGCCACATAAACCACGCCTTCACCATTAGCCATACCGGCCACTTTGATTAAACAGCTGGATTCCCGACGCTCTCTTTGGAGCGGGAAGTGTATCCGCCTCTATAGATCCAGACGAAAACAGACGCACCGCTTGAGTCCTTGGAGCCGGTTGGAACTTGAGCACCGTCAAAAAATTTCTGCAGCATCATCACGTCCAAATAGAGACAATCTTCTGACGTCCTAGGGTTCTTGGGGAGAACCAACGTCGAGTATTTAATCGTCAAGACTGTCTCGTTGATTTTCTCAAAGGGGAATGTGGTACGATTTTCGTAGTATGATAGCCACTGGCCGCCTACCGCCACCCAGAAAGGATTGGACTGTGGGCAGACACGTTCCACGCTCTCACTGTTGATAACAGAGCTCTTCGTCTGAGGGAGGATCGATTTGGTGAATCGGAGGTTGCCTATAGGGGGCTCGCCGTACTGCATGTTCGAGAAATCATAGTAGCCACCGGAAGCCTTGGGGCTGTCAGCATGCATGCGGAAGGGAATTGCTTGTGACCATGGGTTGATACCTACGTTGAACGCAATAGCCTGGTGGACCTCATAGTCTAGGTCTCCCGTGGGAAGTGAGTGAGGACATAGAGTAAATAAATACCAATTAAAGAGAACGGCCATAGTACCTAATAGAGACAGATCACTTGTACATGAGAAGACGAAAAGAGAAAAAGGTGAGAATTCGGCGCCGAGAAGGAAGAGTTCTCGAACCAGCTCTCGAGGAGGTACTCACGGTACCTGGCACTGACCCGCCACTACTGCGAGGGGCTGGTAGAGTATCTCGAGTATCAACAACGGCACCTAGCCCCTGCTTTGTCCCAATTGCCTGGATTTGCGATTGGGTTCATGCCGGTCATGCAGTGCCTGATGCAGATTGCTGGGAACATGTCGCTGTGAGCTGAGAAGGCCTGTTCCACTATGATGGAGATGGATAGAAAGGCTCCACGCTAGCTTAGTCATGCTCAAAATGCTTGGCATCTGAGTCTGACGCGCAGAGATGTTGATTATCCTTCTCTTCCTCATATCTCCTACCAGCAGAGTGTTCAGTGACAAAATGGCAATCCATCTGTTCAATGTAGTTTCCCTCGGCTGCTAACTTTGCGACATTCTCATTGGCCAAAGGTGTTCGGAAATTGTCCATTGTCGTATTATCGGCCGGAATATTCAGGTGCAGTGGTGAACGAAGCATACTCTAAGTAATCTCAGATGCCATAAGTATCTTGCTTTACTTTTGCACCTCGTGCTGAATCTCTCGTATGCCAGCACGAGGCTAGCTGCATGCTCTCCACAACCTGCAATGGCCCTGTTGATCTCTAGAGTCTGTGTCAAGTTGGAAGTATTGTTTTCAATTATCACCCAGGTTTGCTAGTAGACGGTGATGGTGTGCGTCAACTACCTCCTCCATCTCCCTCTGCGTTGCATGACCCCTCTTCATCCGGAAGCGAACGACTAGGAACACTTTCTCATTCATCTCTCCACTCTTATTGGTCTGTATTTCGAGATCATACACTGCTTTCTGCCATCTTGCTTGAGCGTTCTCCATCTCTCGAGGATTTTCTCCCTTTACTGGAATCACCACTTCAATTGGTTCCGCTGCTGCTGTCGTGATCTCCAGGCAAGCCTGCGAGACTAGTTGCGAAGATGTCTACGGTTGAGACGACGACATACGCCCCAGATGAAAAGAGGCCCGTGTGCGGTAGCATTGTTCCCCAAGTCAATGGAGTCGATGCTGCCCTTCTCATTCTGGCTACGGTAGCAGTAATTTTGCGACCGATCTCAAGAAAATTGGGGTCAGCGAGTCTTTGGTGGGAGTACGTACTTTCCGAGTCAATATTCCTCTTCGGGCCCAAGTGTTGGGCCTTAAGACATGTCCTGCCGGTCTTAAATCTCGAAATGTCTTCCGTGGTTCGACAACCCCCCTCCAAATACGCAGTCCTGACAGCGATGTTGTAATCCAGCGACTTTGTCATGATGCTTGCTCTGGTACGATCTCTTGGAAATGGAGCATGATTGGTGCCATCTCTGTCCTGACAAATCACAGCTTGCATCCTACGGCGCTTCTGCAGTGGTCTTCGTCGGTGCGTTCTAGTCTTCCCTTCTGTCGACTTTATTGATTGGTACAGATGCTCAACATGGCGTTTTGGCCACCATTTCGGAATCATCAGAACAGGCGATCTCACAATGCTTTCCCAGGTGAGCCCCTCACCATCCTCCTCCAAGGTGGAGCCGACAACAGCCCAAGACCATTGTCTGCTACAGAATCCCCTACGCCGTGACAATAACTCTAATCAAGCTCTCCATCCTCTTCTTCTACCAATGACTTTTCGGTGTCCCCAAAACATTCAAGAAAACGCGTCTGGGTCTTTTTGGCTATCGTCGTGTCCTGGTGTCCCGCTTCCGTCTTCGCCACCATCTTCCAATGCCTTCCCATCAAAGCGGCCTGGACCGAACCCGTACCCTGGCGCCAAGTGCATCAACGGCAATGCCTACCTTACAGCCACCTGTGCCTCCAATGTAACAATAGACTCTATGGTACCTACATCTCGGAGCTGATTCTTCCTATTTGGTGTTGAAGGTGGGTCGCTAGACATGTTTCGGAGCAAGAAGACGTTCAACTCCATAAACCTGTCTCGCAACTCCAATTCCCACCTCAAAAATAAGCAATGCTGACTCCGAAATCTGCGCAGATCCTCATCCAACCGATTTGGGAGGTTTGACATCTCCGCCTCCCCATACGCAAGAAGGTTGCTCTGAGTTGCATCTTCTTCGTCGCTGCATTCTATATAACCGACTCTTTCCCCCTCTTCACCCGTTCGCGATTCCAACTCACTTCTCTTTCTCGCTCTATCCTTTTCACCGGACTCACGACTAATACACCTTTCCACAGCATTTACGGCGCCGCCACAGCACGTACCTGGACCATAGCCAACCTCAACCAAACCGACGTAACCTGGTCCTACGTCCGCCCCATCATCTGTTCCTGCGTCAAAATTTCCGTCGGCATCGCCTGCGCCTGTCTCCCCACCCTCCAACCAACTCTCAATGCCACCTTCTCCCCCTGTCTTGGCAAAGATGCTCGGCTCCACTTCCAAACGCAACACCTACGCCACCAACACGAGCCAAGACTGGCCTGGCACAGGACACTGTAGGAGTCAGATTTGATTTCGAGACCGCAGGCGCCGGGGAAGGATATGGTCAGTGGGGCAGGCTGGGTGAAGGGAGCAAGGGAGGGTTGGGAGACGGGAGCGTGCCGGGAATGAGGGAGGGAGGTGCATACGAGTGCGTGCGCGAGCGTGAACGGGGTGAGCAACCTGAATGACGAAGGGGAAAGCTTGGCGGAGTGACGATGCGATTCCGTTGGAGGGAATCACCGGGCAGAGGGATTGGGAGCGGGATTTGGAACGGCCCGTTCGGCATCCTGGTCACGCTGTCTGAGGAAAGGTGTTCGGCTGAGTTGGGCTGGGGTGTTAAGAATTGGGATCGGACGTGGAGTCGAGTGGAATGGACAAAGGGAAAAGAAGGGTGGGATCAATCAAGGTTTGGGCTTACTTGGGATACCGAAAGATGGTGTCGATTCGTCCAATGGAACGGGAGCGTCCTGATGAGTCTCGGACCGCTGCTGGATTTCACTTGGAAATATAGTGCTGATACCCGACGACTCCATCTATATCCTTTGTATACCGTGCCGTGCTTACGCAGCCCTTGATCTCTCCTGCTTACTTCCTAGCACACCAAAGATGCCATCCTCCCATACACATCTCCAAAACCCACCGTCAATTCACCATCATGCCAGGCATGCTCCCGGGCATATTCTCATATGTCCTATTCCTCCACCTCAGTCCCTCTTCAAACCCACTAGCATCGACCGCTCCACCGCTCCCTTCCTCCCTTTCTCTTCTCTCCCCGTCTCTCCTTCTCTCCTCTTCTACCTCTTTCCTAGCCTCCTCCCTCACGTCCCTCATAACATCCTTCGGCACGGCTTCCTCATCGTCCGCGGATCCAGGACCCCGCGTGTTCCTTTTTCTCGGCCATAGACTTGGCAGGACGACTTGCTGCACCCTTGGCTCAACGCAGCGCTCGTCGATCCAGGCGTGCAGTCTGCTCTCGACTAGTTGTGCGATTTTGGGGATATCCTGTAGGCGGGATCGTGAGCCGACTAGAGAGCGCACGCTTAGATCGAGGCGGTAGTCTGGGAGGAACGAGAAAGCGAGGGTCGTAGGTGTGATCGAAGGTGGCTGGTGCGGTGCGCCGGACGGAGTGCTGGCGGGCGTAGAATGCGAGGGCAGGAAGGATATTGACAGTGTGCCTGAGAAGCGGACGACCGAAACGGCCAGCGCAACGGGCAAGACAGCGGTGAGCGGCTTAGGATAGTTGAGTATAATCTTCGTCTCGACCCCCAACGTAATAAAATCGCTCAAATCCACATCCATCCTCGCCTGCAACCTCGGCCCCTCAGGCCCATTCGTATCACCATCATCCACGGGATGTACCCGACAATTGCTCAGAATCGGGAACTCCTCCCCCAGACTGATCTCCGTAACTTTGATATCCGACAAAAAGCCCGGTTTCTGCTGCCCATTCAGAATCCCGGTCAAAGATTCCAATATCGCGTCGTCGTCATGCGCATCATTCCTGAACTGCGCGATCGTCTGCGCAATCAGGACGTTAAACCAATCCAGACTCTCCTGTTGGTGGGAATCGACATTGTAATACGTCTTCGAGAGAATCGTAGCGGTCGTCAGTCTCGGCGGAGGCCGTAGGACGTGGGAGGCGGAGCGTTGGCTGTTGAGCTTGTGGGGGCTGGACGAGGAGGAAGTGTGAGAGACGGAGCGGCTGCGATCTCGACGTGCGAGGGCGCGTGCTGAGGCTGTGGTTTCGGGGGAAGGGGGGTCGCCGAAGATGAAGAATTTGATGAAGCAGCCGATCAAGATCACGACGGATACTTGGCCGAGTAGAAAACCTTGTGTGAATGAAAGACTGAGGACATATCAGCAAACTGTAGCCCTTATGCGGTATTCTAAGAGCTCACGAGGACTGCTGTGGTGGGACCTGCGGAGTAGCATCTGGAGTGGTGTCAGTCACTCCGCTCGGAGATGGGAAGGCTTGCACGTACGTTGAAGGCTACTCATGCTATCGAAGAGCGGTGGAGTATGCTATATCTACACCCATGATAGATCCTCTGTGATTGAGAGTAGACGACGGGGGTTGTTGAAGTGAACGGGAAGGAAGGCAACTTCTAAATTCTAGCTCTTGAGCGCCAAGACTTTATATATCTCGACTTCGATATAGAGCTGTCCCTTTTGAGCGCCTAAGAGTCTACTCATCTAGAGGTAGATTTGTCTACACCTAGTAAGACCGGAAAATTGCAAACTGGTCAATTCTATTATTCTAATTTGAAAGATGCCTTGAAACATCTTAATAGATACACTGAATAGGAGCATTCACCGTATACCAGAGACTCCTTGTCACAATGTAAATAACCAGGCATCGGCCAATGCGTATGAAGGATAGCTATCCAGCAGCTCTGGTCATCAAATATCAATTTTACACCCAACGCCCTGCTCCTTGAATATTCTCTTAAAACCACCTTTTGCTCTTCGTACACTCCCGCATTAGTCGTCCGCGGTACTTGGACAGGTCGACTTAAGATTTGAATGAGTCCCTAGCGCTCTGCATGCTCGCACTCATTGGCGCTGGGTTGGTAGTCGGTAGTCCCCCTCCCATCTTGGCTTTCGCCGATTGCTTGACCTTTGCGAGCGCATACACGATGCCGCTAATGAACCCGACAGCGATAGCAGAGACAGATGGAATTGTGAGGGGGGCGTCAAAGAATATAAGGCCGCTGAGCGCAATAGGCAATTTGTTGAGAGCGCCGACCATGGAGTATGTGGTCGACGAAGTGACGCGAACACACCAAGCCGAGGTGTACGAGATGAAAACTGAGGAAAGACCGGAGAATACCATGGCTGCAATGATGTTGTTGCGCGACTCAACTGGGAAATTCTTCGCCACGTTCTCGGAAGACCAATTTTCGATGAAGACGGAAGCGAGGAAGAGGATGGGAATTGAGAGGACGTTGTTGTAGAACATAGCTGCGAATCAAATTAGCAACTTGGGCACAACGGATGTGAGATGTCCCATACTGTCAAAATCTTTGAAGTTCGTCAATTTGATCCGCTTTCGCATACCAAGCACATAGGCTGCGCTGCAAATACAATTCAACATCATCCACATGTATCCAGCATTGAGCGTTGAGATCCTCGCCGAAGCTTCGTCGCTTGCGTGCCCAAAGTTTTGCAACGCGTGTTGGATATCTGCCCAAGCCGCAATGACCGAGCTAAGAACCATCAAGCCAAAAGAGAAGAGAGACATTCCGGTGACGGAGCCGCCGAACCATAGCACCTCACCATAGGCAATGAGGATGATGGTCAAGTTCTTGAAGATGGTGTAGACGGGAATTGATAGAAATTGGAGTGCCTTGGTGCTGGTGTATATCATCACAATGAGTGATAGGGATACCGGAAACCCTAGAAAGCTGTCAATTGCTGATATGCCAGACCTGACACCTGGGAGAGCCCACATTTCCTGGCCTCGTCGGAATTGAAGTCTCGATACGTAATAACTCCAAAAGTTTTACAAGTCTGAATAGCAATCACGCAAACCACAGACTAAGTACCCATCAGCATAACGTCTCCCCAAACCCTCCCATGCTGCCACTCACTTGAACGCAAAGCAGAAAGAAGTTCAAATTGAACGACCCCGAAAGCACGAACTTGTTCGTTACAGTCATCAAGATTGAGGAAGCACAGTAGCTGAGGACGGGAAACACAGGATTGTTCGCGACTGCTGCAATCGGCGCTGCTCCTCCCGTAGGAGTCTTGGGACCAGGAGACCTTGGCGGTGAATGGTAGCCGCGCTCGGTTTTCTCGTCCATATCGATGACCGTGTCATCCCTCTTCTTGAAGTCGGCCATGGCTGCTTGCCGGCAGGCGTCGGAATTGAGGAGAGATGGCTGCTGAGGTTGACGAATGGAGGGTACGCAAGCTTCTGTTCAGTCGAGTATTGGCGCAGAGGGTTCAAAATGTCGAAACGATAATGTGTCAGCAAAGGCTGTTGTTTATAATGACAGCCAAGCTCCCGACGAATGTCTTTGGATGCTGATCTGTGTCGGTGATATGTTGTGGAACCTTGAAAATTATGTTGCTGGTGGCTTTTACGGGCTACAGTACGAAACGCTAAAAATGGACTAAGGCAAGGGGTCCACATCAGCCCTGTGTGCTTGGCGCGACAAGCCATCAGAAATGTACCCCCCAACAATTTTCTATTTTTTTTTTGCGACTTTCTTGGATCGAACGGGTGAGCTTTAGAACCTGAGAGCTGATAGGGGAGATTTCGGGATGCATTTCGTATTGCTTGGCAGAAACATCTCGCGAGTCTAGGGCGGTGCACTGGGAGACTGGGTGTTGATGCACAGTGGCTTGGATTGCTAGAATAGGGTGTGTTCCCAAAGCAGTAGGCAGATGGTCTCTGGAACAAAATAACCAGCTCCCGAGCCCATCCGCCCTAACACCTTCTCCAAAAGCCAACATGACCGCCTCGGACGACGAAGACGCCCTACTCGAATCCCTCGAAAATGACACGGAAAACGACCCCTCGCTCGCCCATCTCCGTGAAGCCCGCATCCAGCAACTGGCCTCGGAGCTCAAGGAATCCAAACGACTGCGCAGCGAAGGCTTTGGGAGCTATGACCAAATCAAAGACGAGAAACGTCTCATGGAAATCACGACTTCCACGGAATACTGTGTCGTGCACTTCTACAAACCAGATTTCAACCGCTGCAGGATCATGGATGGTCACCTTTCGGCCCTCGCGCCCGTCCACCTCTCGACCAGGTTTGTGCGAATCGATGTCGAGCATGCGCCATTCCTGGTTACAAAATTGAACGTCAAGGTCCTGCCATGTGTGATTGCCTTCGTTGCTGGTGTGAGTGCGGACCGCATCGTTGGGTTTGAAGGGGTCGGTTATAGCGAGGACACGTTCAAGACGGGGGATCTGGAAAAGAGGTTGGTGGGCGCCGGGGTTCTGGAGAAGGTGAAAGGAGCTGGGGATGCTAGGGTGGGCGAGGTCTTGAACAAGAGTCATAAAAAGCAAAGGATTGGTGGGAATGGTGATGAAGACGACGACGACGACGACGAATGGGATTGAGGGCGATGCGAAGAAAGAGTAGTGAAGGCTGTGTCGAGTATGGCTCGGATCATACTACATGCTGTGCATTGGCAGCTAAGCGTGATGGAAGCAACGCTGAAGCGGAAGCCTTCTCAAGTCCTCGTTCTCGCAGATGGATCTGCGTGGCAGGCTTGTTGGCAGGGAGCAAGATGTATGAAGAAGTATGAGCATGCATATACAGAAGCTGAGCTTTGGCCTGGTGTGAAGTTGGAGGAGTAGTGATACAATAGTGGCTGAGAAGGTAGAAGGGCTGAGTACGGAGGTGACCTTGCCAGAGTCTTCAGCGGACACATCGACGCGCTGTTCTGCTTGCACGCCATACTCGTTCATTAACACACTGTGCAACAATATCAGTACTACTGAGAGCCTCCAAATGCAAGCCATAGAGAATCGATTAAATTCTACTGTATTGCGTATGCAAACACATCCTTAAACTGACACATGCTCAAGCCCTTCTATCCTTCCTTGAGCAAACCAGCGATGGAATTCTCGCGCTCGAAGTCCTTACCATTCGACTCAACATGATGTGTACGTAATGATACAAAAGAAATGGGGGGCCGTGAACCTCAAGCATGCAGAGAGCCCTCGTCTTGCGCAATCTGCGCAACTGTAATGCGAGACGCTCGGTTTTTTCCAAACCATGGCTGAACCTTCATTTGGATCAAGTGTTGAACGACGCCGGTTGTTGCCTAAATATGCGCAAACTTTTGTTGCCATGTCCAAATTCCTGCGTCCTGGGATGGGGGATAGTATATCTTCCGTGGTGGCGGCCTGGAGCTCAGATTTCAACGCTTTTCATGTCATCGACACCATCAACCCCAAGGCCTGTTAGCGCTGACTTGGTCTGTATGTCTTTGTTCGTCGCGTTGCTTAGCACACCAGACATGTCGGCCTCCATCGCTTGGCCCAGAGGCGCTTGTTTATATCCGTCGTTTGGGCCAGTAGGACTTCCGATCTCGACTAGATTCCCATTGCGCTCGCTAGCTGCAGTGTTCTGAGCAAAGATATCTCTATTGGCGTCACCGCCAGTGTGAATCTTTGGTGCTGCATTCTCTTCTGTCACTTGAGCCAGAGGGCTGGGTTTTCCAACAGCGCCACGGGGACTTTGAGTGTGGGTCGGCCCACGATTAGGAAACCTTTGTGGTGAGCGTCCTCTTTCTTCAGTCGGACTTCCGTATGGAGATCCAGTATTAGCGGCGCCATTGGCGTTGGTACCTGGTCCAGAACCCGGCCTTCTTCGAGGGCCCTTTCGACCATACTTCTGATCCATTCTCCAGCGCAGTATATTCAGGTATGCTGGCTCGACAGTGGCGGTCTTGAATTCCCGAAGCTTAAGCTCCTGTGTCTCCTCGTCGACAAAAACCTTTTCACTACTCATGTCATCTGCTACTGTTGCGAGGAAAGCGGCCCATGATCGAGCAACAACATACTTGCAGTCGTAGTCTCGGCCGAAGATGATGATCTGACCCCATTTCCCAACGGGTCCGGGCGCAAGATCGACCGCAAGGTTATTACCGCCCCAATCACGAGCCAATGGAATCCATCCGGGATGGGCGTAAGCTTTTTGAATAGCTCTAGATGGCTGTGAGTCTTGTTTGTCGAGGAGCTCTTGTCGCCAAAACGGGTTGGTTGCTTGTTGTGAAACTGGAACTGGTGCTGAAAACGAGGATGAGGATGCTCCACCGAAGGCTTTTGGCGGGAACTGCGTCTGATTGGTTGACGGGCTTGTGAGATATTCTTCATTGACTACCCGCCAATTCTTCCACTCTTGAACAATCTCCTCACAGTCGAGAAGCATGCAGCCGAAGATAATGCCAGTGGGTCTCCCACCTCTCTCTTGCCCATCATGTACTTGTAGAGATTCGCGTACTTCCATGGGTAAAGAGCAGTCAAGCTCATGCTCAAGCTCGTTGACATCATTCTGAGTGCATCCTTCAGAGAGCTGGTCGTAGAGTTCTTCGTAGTTCTCCTCAGCCCATCGATCAATCTTTTTCCAAGAATGGGCTGCTGGTGGGGGTGGGGGGAGGCCTTCTTGGAAGCTTTGCATTTGTATTTCTCCCGGTGTTACGCTGTCGAAAGGATTGGGTTCGTTTGATTGTTGTCGTTTTAATGCCATGTTTGACCGCATGCCAGGCAAGTAAGGAGAAGTGGGTGACTGAAGAGGACCCGCGCCAGGACTGCCTGGTGCGCGTGCGTCGCCGTTTTGCAGAGCTGGTGTAAATTGCGCGGAGGTATCATCGCCGTACGGTGAGCTCAGGTCTGGACGAGATTCTAGGGCGCTGGTGGCCACTGATGTAAGGGGAGCATGACGGCTTTGGTTAAGAGGCATATGCTGGCCCGTGCGGTAGGGAGAGTCGTGGGACGCATGGCGGTCACTGGAGATCATTGTATGCCAAAAAGAGCGGAACATTCCTCCAAACCTATCCGGGCTACAGATCAGTAAGGCAAAGGCTTTGTAGACGAAAAGGGAAGGGAATAGAGCTTACGAAGGCATGGTTGTTATGATTGCTTTGTTGTCGCAAGAAGAGCTTGCAGGGCGTCAATTCGCAGTCATGTCAAAGAAGATGGGAGCTTGGCCTCCAGTAGGATGATACTCGAGGTGAATATGATGATATTGGCAATGTTTATTTGAAGTATCTCAGGGTCAAGGGTGTGCGGTCATTGCATCAAAGTATCGAGAACCGCATCATAAAAGGAGTGTGTTACTATCTTTGTTTGCCCACGAGTACCCCTGTCCAAAACACGAACCCTACTAGCGCGGTTGCCGCTTAAAGTTGCAAACGACGACGCGAACCAAGCTCCCAAGCCACCAAGCTTATACTCCGTAGAGGTTGCAACCTTTCACTACAACGGTCACCGAAGACTTTGAATAGCTTCACACCACTCTGCGTATGTACGTACGCAATCAAGAGGTACAGATTATGCGGCCTTTGCGCTGCGCAGTACGCCGTTTCAGCCACCTCTATCGCTGCCAAGCCTTTATAATCTCCGGCGCGCGATATGGCCTTGTAAGGTCGTGTAAGACTGGAGCGCAATATTAGTTGGACCGCAACCAAGGTAGGAGAGGTGACATATACGCAACGCTGACAAATAGCTGCCGAGCAAAGCTCTGTATGTGACTGCTTGGGAAGGTCATAGATTCGTTATCCTTGAGAAAGTCGGAGAGGCTCTTGCCTAGAACATCGGTGACTATGCAGATGTGGTTGCAGAATTCGAAACAGTCACGTAGGTGGATGCATTTGTTCTGATTCTGTTCGTCGTTAAGGTACAAAGTCTGTAGCACCCGCAGTTCATCGCGGGCCTCATCCTGAACTCGAGTGATCTTGATTGCACACTTCGATTTTGTCTGCTTGTCAAAGGCTTCATGGACTTCGCCGGAGGTGCCCTTGCCCAGAGGTCTGCCGATACAGTCTGCAAACAGTCATTACTCGGCCGTGCAATGGCAGTCCATTTCCAAAAAGGCACACTCACATCTGTCACCTATGCGCCTATTCTCCTCCGTTACCCTGTAATAGCCTTCAGCATCGTCGGTCTCCCCGTTCACAGTCGCAGTCTTTTGCAAAGTCAGCTTTCAGATTGCTATCTGTATGACAAAGGCCTTACATCTTTGATCGAACGCACATTGATATCTCCAGCCTTTACGTGGGGCTTCGGTGGCGGTATAGAGGAACTGTGGGCGTCTCCCACCACCTTAATCTTCTCTTCCTTCAACTTCTTCTTGATCTTCTTCCTCTTTTCCATCTCATCACGAATCGGTTGCTGAGTCACGCGTTTCCTCTTCTGCCCAACCGCACTATTCCCGTCGTGCGCACCACTGATCCCATGAATCGAATGTGGCCCCAGTGATGTAGGTGCCGTAGTCTGTAGTGATGTGGTTCGATCCATCAAGATAGTGTTGGACTCAATGTTCTCATTCGAGTATGTGCGGGTATGGAAGAATGCCTGTTGGTCCCTTGCAGTATCGTGTGCAGCTGTCTGACTAGTCCTCTTCTTGTTGGCATATTATGAACCTCTCACTGTTGCTGCTGAGGTCGCTCGTTCCCTTTCCAAGATGGCGGCTGTGGTGAGTCGTTACTTATGATAGTGATCTCTTTCGGTGGTTCGTTCTTGTAGAACTCATGGCAATCAGTATACCCTTCTTTTTTTCCTCGACCTCTGCGATGCTAATGTAGACTGTGAAACTGTCATATTGCTAGACTGTGGCTGTCTTGAAGCTGAGGTATTGGAGGCCGGCGAAATGATTGCTGGTGCGCTGTTTGGAAAGTCGTAGGAAGGAGTGGTGATCGTAGCGAGGTTCATCTGATATCTTGGTGAGGTGCTTCTATACCTTAGCCAATGCTAAATAAAATACCGTTAATATAGTTTTAGGGTGGCTACGCTATATTTATATAGACGCCATATCAAAATAAGACGCGATGTCGTCGAGATATCGTTGTCGTCGTTAGCGATCTCGCTATCACTTGTAATGAGGCGGGGAATAGAACGAGGAAGGCTTTTAGGCTAGTTATCGTAGTCCGCCTACATTACTATCTATTAAGACGGAATTTGTATAAAGGATATAGCGAAGTTGGCGGTCTATTATGGAGGTTTCGAAAGATATCGCTATCGCCTCTTATCAGGTAAAGAAGGCTTCTAGATAACCACCGAGGCCCGTAGGCTTTACTACCGCTTAAGGCGGAATTTGTATAAAGGATATAGCGGAATTAGCAGTCTACTATAGGGGGTTTAAGAATACCTCGTTATCGTCATAGAGGGGTTCTATTGAGGATTTTATTGAAGGGCTATTTACTCCGTATTCTTTATGCGATATCACTTCGAAAGCATCTCTAGGTCTCGCTGACGGTTTTCTCTTTATATAAACGATATTACTAATAGGATATCTAAGTACCTTTTTCAGTAATCGCGTTATTAGACTTATTATATATTTAGAAACTATTTATTAAAGATTAATACGCGTTAAATTCTTTAGCTATTTAGTGAATAGATATATCTAATAAGAAAGTAGCTTAATATATCTCTAAGATATAAAAGAATAGCTTTAATATTATTAACGCTAGCTTTAAGAATATTACTAAAATAAGCTTATTACGCTTACTACCCTTTTAAAAATATTCTTTTTATTTATCTAAAGAGATAAATATTTTACTTTTAAGAAAGAAAAGAGAGATAGAGAGCTTTAAGAGAGATAACGATAATCTAAACGCGTTAGAATAAATAGATTTACTTTATTCGCCATCGCTAAAGTTACTATCTTCTTTCTTAAGTAATAAAAATTTATTCGAGTACTCTACTTTTAAGATATAATCTCGATTAATATTCTCGAAGTTGTTATTATACTAATCGAGCTTTTTCTAGATATTCTTAAAGTCTCTATATTATAAGAACTAACGTATAAAACGAGAATACGATATTAAGACTATTGAGAATAATATACGCGAAGATTTAACGATAGCGAGGTATAAGAGAGGTGGGAGAATAGAGAGTGGCGATAGCGAGGTATGGGGAAGACGGTAAGATCAGCCAGAACGTGTCCCCTATTTATTACTGCTATCTCTTACTAATTAGGGGAATGTGGCTGGGTCGGCCTAATGGCTCTCCGGTACTGTACACTAGCGTTGGCTGAGGTTTAGAAGTACCCTCTTGGTGTTTTACCGAAGTTAGCCCGGCTTAATGCGAAAACAATACGCTAAACCTCCACTATGCTATCGCCCCAAGCCGGCTTAAGAGCCTATACCTTTTTCCATTCAGAGAACTAATTCACAACCTTAGCATCCTCGCTTAGAACGTCGATAGAATAGAGCTTCGTACAAGAGGTGCAGAAGGAGGTACAGCGGGAGGTGTGGAAGCATACGCCTGAGGAAGCTGTAGAGTATATATCTAATATGCAGGCGGTCCATATGGATATCCTTAAGGCGCCGGCGAATGGTATCTATACATCGACGAATAAGGAGGAGGTAGCTAATACTGCAGTTCTTCCTAACGCTCTTATTCCTGACGTTCTCATTCTTCACGGATCTGTTCTTAACGCTCGCGACGTGTAATCGATCGCTACACAGACGCAGACATTGAATCAGTCATTTGCAGTTGCAGCTGTTACTTCTAATGCAGCTGTTACTTCTGAAAGATCGCATATTCCTACATGAAATCCTTCGACTCCTCACGATGTATTTTGAACTCCTCGTAATACAGCTTCGCCTCCTCCCTTTCCTACTTCAAAAGCGACCTCCGCGGGTCAAAGGTAACAGCGCCAGTTTTGGTCCAGAGCTTGTAAAGGCTTAAGGGAGGTCAATGAACTGATACATTCGATACGCCATTTGCGATGGCCTTACTCCAGACAAGTTGATCATGATCCATATCATAGTGCTCGCCAGAGTAATCGACAAAGCACCAGCCATTCGCAGACAGGCTGACGTTTCCAGTAGAGGGTCGTTGGTCTGATCCTCGAGCTCCAGTTCCTCTATTTCCGATGTGAATAGTTCCTGCGTCGCCAGTCTTGACTCTTATTCCTCACGAAGATAACGTTTGGCCTCTTATTCACCAAATTAAGCTACCTCGACCTCCCACTCCTCCTTTTCTTGCTATTTATTAGCCCTAACTGGATTAAATGCTGCGATCTAACGGCTCTGTGACTCCGCAAAGGCGTTTTACTACTCGAAATAACGGGCACGAGAGCCTAGACCTCCACCGCAGTAAGCAGGTGCAAACGCTTTCTTACAGGCAGCATTAGTCTCGGCCTCTCCGGCGGCCTCTTTGGCTTTAGCAGAAGCTATCTTTTGCCTCTCGGTGGGTCTAGCCGTAGGAGGCGTTGGTGTAGGAGGTGGACTGGCTGCGTCGATTGGGAGGCATTTCGAAACACCAAAGAATGTGCTAGGTGCGAATCCAAGCACTACGAGCAATGAATTCAAGTATGGGAGATATAAATCATATAAGGCTATTAACCGTAATACACAGATGGGTGGCGAGCAAATTTCTCCGCGCCAAGTATTGCTGCACACGCTAAAGTAATAGTCTCCACGAAAAGTCTATTAATTGAGCTAGCATATATATGGACTAGTCTATAGAGGTATGAACAAAGAATAACTGCAATTTACACTTACCTTAAAGTAGATAGCTACATAATACACACACGAATTACACTCCTCGACTTGTCCCTAATTGTCCTATTTTCCATCTCCTTATATTCGGCCTTATAACGAACACAACGGTACTGGAGAGCCATACTCATAGGCCGATCCAGCCACGCCCATAGTCGGCATATTTGGGCTGCTTCTCCACCTTCCTCAGTATATACGAGAATTTTGCGTATACGGGAGTTCTGCATGTACGGGACTTATGCGTGTACGAGAGTTCTAGTATACTCGATAACTTTGCTAATAGCGATATCGTCTTCAAGAGTATCAGAGAGTAAATCATCTAGGGATGAGTGCTGGCCCAGTTTACATTGCAGTTCGTGATATTTTTCAATTTCTACATTAATAAACATGAAGAGAAACTACGGCATCTTATGAAGAACACTACACAACATCTTCCATCTATACTAAAAAGGATAATACGGAAGGCCGTTTAAGCTAGCCATAAATTATCAAGCTATATCCGCTCCTTTCACGAGCGATAGAATCCCAGCTCCGGAATCTATCATTGGATATTACTGTGATGCAGCCATAGCCCCAGCTCTCCCGACCCCCCATCATCACCCTCAATTACGCGCTTTCTTAATAACGTCTATAATCCATTCAAGCCTATCCAAGCTCAATCCCTCCTACACGTGCCTCAAGTCCAGTATAATCAGTTATACCTCCAGCTCGCAAGACCAACGACAAAATAAGTCACACCCTCCCCCTTCTCCCTCCTCCTTCCTCCTCTTCCTCCTTCCCCTCTCATAACTCATACTCTATACATAAATAATCAAGAAGATCTTACCAGCCACCGAGACGACTAAAGAAGATACAGAGACACATAGATGTTAGCATGCGGTCCCGTTATTCATTAGTCATAGCTGTTTAAAGCTATTTCAGGGCCGTTATAATCATTCCTCCACCGTTCTTCTTCCACATTTCAACGACTCACCCCTCACCAAGCCATCTCCTCATCCTTTCAGCTAGTCACCAGCTCCTTCCTCCTCATTCCTCTTCGTATTCAACATCATCCAGAGTCACTATAGGCAGCATAGGCTGGCAAGAGGTAATCCTGGAGCTGCATCATGGGCGCAATTCTCACCTCACCTCATCCCTACACCACACCCTCCTGCTCGCGTACTAAGATTTATCAAGAAGTCGTACAACGAGGTGTTTCTGACATGGTTCAGCCCTCTTACTACGCAATGTGCAGGGAGTACGAAAAGTCGTTAACAAGTACTACTCGAGTACCCGTACTCACAGATGATACGCGTCTACTGCGGCGATCGTTCACATCGCCTCAGATTTCAGCTGCTCGCTGTCTCTCATTTCTCTCCTTCTATCTGAGACTCATAACGACGCCACAGAGTTTAGCTGTCAAAAGATCTGCATGGCATTTCAAGCAGCCCGCACTCCGCGAGGAGTCATCTAACGAAGGCGATTGCCCACGTCGCGACAGCACTTGGTCGGACCAAGAACATTTGTACAAGGTCTTATTTGTATAGCTTGTGGGTATTTATCCAGTTAGTAGCTACGAATGAACAAGATCTGCCTCTCAGTCTTCGTTCATTGTATGACCTTTGTTTGCTACTTAATCACGATCTGGGGCCTTTTGATCTAGGTTTAGAAATGTATGGCTGTTATGTGCAACGACCGTCTTCTTCCACGTGGCTCAGGGAATCGCGATGTCAAGATCTCATCTGTACTGGCACACAAACTTGGACAGCACATACGAGTAAGGCAAAGTTGAGCCGTATCATCTCATCTTCACATTTTTCTTTCCGTGCAACAGTACCTGCATACGCCATCTCTTTCCTTCTACTACTATTCACATAGGATCTCAAATCTCTCGAAATGTCATGCTCCAAAGCAGGCCATCCCACGCGACATTAAGTCAAGGTGACCAACCTCCCGACTGAATTGCTCGACCTAATTCTCGAACATTGGGCGATCCTAGGCTGTCATGTAGGAAAATCTATCACCCTTATGATTCCCTACCCAGTCTTAGCCGTGTAGCCCAAACCGACGCCAACCTATCATCCGAACGCATATACATAAACGATGAACTCGAAAGCCAACGCAACCTGTCCACGGCGTCTGCAAACAGAGGCATCCTCGGACATTTTTGTTCAAGGAGAGAATGAGAACAAACCAGTGGACCGCGCATGTAAGAATCATGGACGACGCTTAAGGCTGACGCTGGGAGATAGCTTCTCTTATGCAACGCTCGTATCATTCACGTCTGGCTTGACTTTTTTGACTATGGTGTTGGGCTCCCCTTAAAATGAAGGCTCCAAAATCCGGCCACATTTTGAATGCGCCGAGCTGTGTAGTGGCGATGAGCTGGCATTTGATATTGGATCCGGGGTTCTCGGAGCAGAGCTTGAGATACCAACTGGCCAAGTTTCCTGTGTGCAGCAGCAGAGTTTCACTTGATGTTCGGAAATCATGGCTCGACAACAAGGAAGGGGGAGAAAGGGCGGTTGTGACTTTTGATGCGCAGAGAATGCTCGGACGGTTGGAATCGGCTATGGGCGCTGAGTGGAAAAAGCAAACCGAAGCACCAGACTACGCCGCAGGGAGACAGCTTGGAACTTTAAGTCTCAGTTGATATCTTTGATAGGGTTGGACGTGTCTAAGTTCTTCCATGCAAACACTGCCCAGTTCTTTGTCGTCATACGGGTCATGTATCCAGACGGACCTTCAGAATAGATGGCTATGCTTCCTATCATCACTGCTGTGCTGTTGAGAGATAGATGTGTTGCTGCCACATAAATCAGGGACATCGAACCTCAGGCATCTCACGGGCAATGCGACCTCCCAACTCTCACGTCCGAGGTACGAGTATTCTCCAAAATTCTTCTCGGGTCCGGCCAATTAACCATTTTCTCCTCCGTAATGCCCCAACCGTCCAACCTCTCCTGATCCCAAAACACGTAGCCCCATCTCCTCAGCCGAAAGTCAGTATTCTGTATACCATGACTGCTCGCCCACAGCCAGCCAATGGTGGGAACCCGCTCGCTGATGAATTTGCCGTATCTGCCTTTCCATTGCCAAGTCCCCCAACTGACATCTCTCTCATAAGCATCCAAAGCAGCTCGCATAGAAACATCCACCCGTCCGGCCATCTCCCCCTCAGCGATGCGGCTTTCACGTTCATTCTCAGAAGCTGCCGTCATTACTTTATAAAGCTGCTGCGGTCCTAGAGCGACAAGTTGGTCATAGTACCACGATATTGAACGGTAGTAATCTCTAGCATACATCTGTAGACAAGCCACTTCTTCCACTTCATGGATAGGGAAGAGCCCGAAGAAGTTGCGTGCTATCTCTTTTTCGCTGAATGCGGAATCTGGAAGCTCAATGCCGGGTATGCTGAGTTCACGAATGATAGCCTCTTGGCTCGGACCGATGCTCGGACCAAAGAAATTGCTATAAATTTCATACCGCCAGAGTGCCCTGTAGAGTCTATGCAACTCGGATCGAGAGGGTAGAAGAGAGTCATCGTCCGATGATTGAGTGAAAGGATTTCTAGAAAATGTAGCCTTGCAGTATCTGGCAATCAAGCTTGTGAACTTTCTCTGCAGGCTCAGTATAGCGAGAGAGTCTTGTAGCGCAAGACGCCGTCGACTGCCATCCATACGCCCCTGGGCGTATCTCTCTAGGTATTCCGTGACGATCTCAACCCGATGCGTGATGTGGTAGCCGAGCTGCGGTGCATGGATGGCAGTCCATGGGTCCAAAAGACCAATGTCATTCTTCTGGAGGGTGCGAGTTGTGATGGCGTGGAGGATCTCTTCTCGAGCTCCGAGGTAAGCCTGATGGTACTTTGGAGAAGCGTGTACAATGCTGCTGAGAGATGCGACCTCTGGCATGTGACAAAGGATCATGACTCTGATCTCTGAGGGAAGAATTTCAAGGGCTGATGCCCGAGATTGGTATGCTTGCTCTAAACCGTTTGCAGTAGACTCCATATTCAAGGATGTATGAGTTGACCTTGCCGACTGATAAAAGGGACGCGGCGTTTGTAGATGGCGTAAGAACGTACTTGAAGTCTTCCAGCATTTTTGAGGAAGATAGGTAATAGCTCATAGAACTGACACCACCTACTACAAGTTGTACAAGAGATGAGATGCAATCCTACGGAAGAAGTCAGCACGATATTTGTGATGCCTTGAAGATGGGAGGTGCATGTCTTGGCGCATGGCGTCTGGCCCCCGGGCGCTGCCGCTAGAGTAGATCCAGCGCGCCAGCGAGTCTGTCTCCAGGACCCTCCTTGTCTTCAATCCCATCATCAACTAACACTTTGTTATTTTACGAAGGCACTACAATGTCTTCGGTTGTTGCATTTTCTGCGCTGCTGACAGTGTACGTATGATAATGGATTATTGTATAATACCCAACTGTCCAATCTACGGTCCCCTAGAGATACCTGTCATGGTTTCAGCTCTCAACACTACGGTTCCATTTATACTGCAATACAAGCTATAAGCACTTATTCAGTCCATGACAATACCCTACATCTGCTTTGAATTCCAGTATGACCCTCCCTTTGCATCGTATCCTGAAAAGCAGGCATGGTCTACCGGAATTTTCCTGGTCATTCGTAAACCCTGACTGTAATAATGACGATCTTGACGCATTTCTACGACCATGGCTGTTCTTTGGTCTCGTGAGAGAAAGGTTGGGCTTGCTGCTACCGAGATACAAAGCACCTTTCTAGCTCTTGCAGCCGCTGATAAGGTTCTCGTGTTTAACACCTATCTTGAATAGGACACCAAGGTAAGGCTGTCAAGGAAATTCTATGTCGAGTCGTTTGTTCAGGTTGGACAATCAGACTCGGGACATTCTAAGAAAGCGCCCTGGCCAAGGAAATGATGAAATGGTTATGGACCCTGTTCAAGAACCCACCGTCTATGCTCACATTTTTGGGGAGGCCGAAGGATACCAATGGAGGGTTACAGATGGGATCCAGTCAGCTGCTTGGGCCAATCATCGATTACAATTTCGGGTGGCAGGCGTGATGGTTTCCTGCACAGACTCAACAATGAATTGACCTAGGATGTAACCAGCTCAGGGATAGTCATATCGTATCCTAGAATCGTCTTTGCGCCGTGAACCGCAAGATTCAGTGGCGATTCTGGATCCGAATCGAGCAAAATGTTTGGTCACATGCCACTTGCACTGGTGATAGGGATTTCCTACGCAAAGATGCAATGACGGGTCTATAAAACCTGAAAACACCGTCAATGACAGTGGCAGAATTGCTAGCTTAGCAGTCATCTTTCAGAACGCCAGGGCCCTCGTGATCTGGGGGCCACTCAACGAACGCAACAGTACGCACGATCTTCTCGTGCTGGCGAACGGGAAAGCTGATCTGGCCTTGCAAGCCCGCCCAATCACACAAGTCTTTTAATTGCCATGAGCTCCTGCCTTCCACGCAAGGAAGCTTTCCTTGCGGTTAGAAGTTGTGCCGAACAGATCGACGACCTCATTGGAACCTCAAGGAGCAATTCCGACTGAAGATAGAGAGCACTGAGTATTGGCTATCGTTGGCAGAAGGGAATAGGGTTCGAGGTATTGAGATGGCTCGGGAACCATTTTTTTGACTGATGGTTCTGGTGCTAGGTGTAGCTATATGGTTGATGAAGAGCACTATGCGTTCCAAGCTGCAACTATCTGTGAAGAGAAGTCCTGGTATGCAGGGTAGGTTTTTTGTGCAGGCTCGGTGGCTGATGCTTCAACGGCACAACGAGCTGGATACCTCTGTGTTTAAAAAAGATGGGTATGTGGTCGTTATGTGTAATAAGCTTGTTCCTTGCTATCTCCGAGCTCTATCATGTAGTAGTAAGCTAAGTTTGGCCCGGCATGCGCAAAGGCTTGGCAAGTTGTCTACGTGGCAAGTGCAACTGCCGTGACACTCTACTCTCAAATGATTAATGGAAGGGCTGCAATCAAGGCTTGCGTGATGTAGGTGAGTCTTACGAGCCAGACTAAGTTCTTGGAATTGTGCGTTGTTGGAAGCAACAAAAATGACGACGTTGTCTACTAGATGAAGAGAATTGGGAAGGTGTGCTGCATGCATTTCTTGAGTTCCAAAAATACAGATACGATAGAAGGAAAGAACGACTTATGGTGGCCATGAAACCAAATATCTGTGTCTCAATCTTCGTTCGAGCCACATTGTAGACTCGCTAGATAGAGTAATGATCATGGCATCACCTCTCAGAGATTGACTGCTTGAAGAGAAGATACTGCAGGTTCCCGTACTTATCTGCAGTCGCGCTAGTCCTTTGTTGTTGGCGTGAGGTTCAAAAACTCACCTCAGTCAACACTCACATTTACACACCACATCAACAAGCACTTCCCATGTGTGCATCCCCTTCCACTGCATCCACATTGAGCGGAGATTTCGAGCACCTCACCACAACCATGAAGAACCAGCGAGCCAACCTTGCAGATCCAGTACTACTAGAAAAGATTGACAAGTTCTTTGAGCTTGGAATCGGAGAATACGTCGCGCTGCCCCAGGTAAGATTCCATCCCACTCTGCATTCTTTTATGGCTACTAAGCTGCTCAGTTACTTGTTGTGGGAGATCAGTCCAGGTAATATCACGTCTGAGGGAGGGTACAGCTTATCTGCTGACTGTCTTCAGTGGGAAAAGCTCAGTACTTGAAGGACTGACTGGCCTACCCTATCCGCGGGATAGCGGACTCTGCACACGGTTCGTGACGCAGATCACGTTTAGAAGAACTCCAGCAGCGAAGATTGGGGTCTCTATAATCCCAGCTGAGAATGCGTCGTCTGCATACGCGGAGAAGCTTCGGTTGTGGCGCAAGGACGACCTCGTCTCACTAGAACTCCAGACTTTCGCAGACATCCTGAAAGAGGTAGGATCCACTGTTCTCGTCTTGCGATGGTCCACTACCCTTGATAATTCTCACTGACCAGCATCGTCCCGCAGGTTCAGGAGCTCATGGGGCTAGGACAGGCCGACAGTGGCGGCAACAAGAAGACCTTCGCCGATGACGTTCTTAGGATAGAAATATGCGGGCCTGATCAGGAGCACTTAAGCGTGATCGATGTCCCCGGAATATTCAAGAAATCCACACCAGGAGTGACAACGAAAGCTGATATGGTCATGGTCCGCAACATGTGAGTCTACTTTTTGGGGTAATCCCTTTCTTATGCGTGCCGCAATCTGAGTTGTGAGACATGTTTTTGGGTGTTGTGTCTCTTCGAACCTGCCTCATAGCTCGGTGTCCGTCTTGAAAAAGGCATGCTGACTCGGGAAATTTGAAGGGTTACTACTTACATGCGAAATCCTCGCTCTGTTATCCTCGCGGTCATCCCGGCTAATGTGGACATCGCTACTCAGGAGATCCTTGAGATGGCTGAGGAACTGGACGTCAAAGGCGAGCGAACTCTCGGGGTCCTTACCAAGCCAGATCTCGTCGATAAGGGTGCGGAGCCTGCAGTCATCGCCATCATCGAGGGGAGGAGTCACACTCTCAACCTCGGGTGGTGTATCGTGCGCAACCCTGGCCAACAAGCATTGGCCAATAGTCTGTCCGATGCAGCAGCCAACAACCGACATGCGACAGAGAAGGCGTTTTTTAAGAGCGAACAGCCGTGGTCAGATGTCTCTAAAGACCGCGTGGGTATTGAAGCACTCCGAATTCGCTTGGTCGAGATACTTGCGGAAATGATAAAACGAGAGTTCCCGAGGGTACGTGTCGCTTCATTGCACCAAAAACATGGGGAACCTACCTGTATCTGGTCTGCTGTATATGGCAAGGTGTATGTTACTAACGCGCTATGACAGGTAAAAGCCGAGATTAGTGCAAAGTTGAAGCTTTGCAAGCACCAGCTAGATGCGTTGGGCCCCAGTCGAGCAAGCCGCGATGAGCAGTATAAATTTCTTCTCGAACTCGCCACACAATTTCAAACCATCACCTCCCTTGCTTTGAAAGCTCATTACGGAGGGGACGACGTTTTTGACACTACTCCTACGTTGAGGTTAGCCACAGCAATTGTCAGCCGAAATGCCACCTTTTCGGACGATGTATGGCAGAGAGGGCACGCAATGGCTTTTCACAAAGACAAAGATGCGAAGGAAAACAACCCTTCCCAATCTCCAGCCCCGTTCGGCAGTCCCTCCCCCTTCGCCAGCCAGGTACCAACCACCTTCAGCAGTACCACCGCAAAGAGCACCAATCCTATGGCTAAAGCCCCGACGAGCACGCCTCATGGGTTTGGTCACGAGTTTAAGAGTGTCCGGTATGAGAAAAATCATGCTGAATTAGAGGACATAATGCAGGATGATAGCCTGATTCCTCTGCCCAAGGTCTTTGGCATCAAGCAATGGCTGGAGAATGTGTACAAGAGCTCCCGCGGATTTGAACTGGGCACATTCGACGCATCCCTGTTGCCCATCATTTGGAAGAAACAATCTGCCAACTGGGAAGCTCTAGCCCTCGGATACGTAGATGACATCGTATCACTAGTACATTCGTTCACTGTGGACCTGTTGGCCAAGATCTGCAGGGACCCACGAGCAGGTCAAGGTCTGCATTCGGTACTACTGGACCAGCTTACTGACCGGTACAAGAAGAGCATTGACCACACAAAGTTCTTGCTGGCTGTTGAACGATCCGGCACCCCAATGACCATGAATCATTACTTCGCCGACAATCTCGAGAAGAGGTAGGCAGATAACCCCCAATTTTTGTCACATCGTCGGATGCAGAACCCTTCTTTTGCTCCTACAGCACCCTTGATTTTGAAACAAACTCCATCGTGTTTCGGGAGATTACCACCTGTATTTGCCTGAGCCTACTCACACAGTTCCCCTTTGTTTGATTTGCTATTCTGGACTAATGACTTGTCAGCCGCTCCGCCCGTATGAAAGCTACCATGGAAAAGATGGCAACCTGTACGTACATTCCGGAGCTATTCTTCCCAATTTTGCATCAAAACCTGAGTCGCAAGAAACTTGTTGGTAGCAGAACGCTCTTTCTATTCTGGAGACCTGTTATAAATGATGTGTCTTGCCTCGAAAGAGCAATGCTGACTCCGAAATGTGTGTAGGGGACCCGAACCAGGGAAAGGTGGTCAAGCTCGACGCAATCCTCAATCAAGGCGTCACTATCGGTAGCAATCTCAAGCACACAGTCGACGATCTTCACGATATCCTCCACTCATACTACAAGGTTGCCCGGAAACGTTTCGTGGACATTGTCTGTATGCAAGCCGCGGATTATTTTCTTGTGGCCGGCCATGACGCGCCAATCAAGGGTACGTATTTTCGGAGTCCATATTTCCTCTTCTGGACCAGATCTTGAGCCTTGAGACATGTCTTGAGAGTGTCTACCCTGTAGACGTGTTCCAAGGCTCACCATACCCCCTCGGATAGGCAATGCTGACTCTGGAACACAATCCAGTCTTTTCCCCAAAATTTGTGAGTGAATTGACCAATGAGCAGCTGGAAGCGATCGCGGGAGAGGATTTGGTGTCCAAGAGAAAGCGGGAAGATTTGAAGCGGAAGATCGAAAATCTGGAGAGTGGGAAGAAAATTGCCTTGTCCTAGAGACGGATGTCGGGGTCGGCATGTCACTCGAAGCAACGAGGTCAGGTTAGCATTTGTGGTTGCAAGGCGTCATTGGAGGTAGGTCATGTTCAGACAGTTACAACGTTCGGGGTATGAACCATTCGAACGCTCAACCGCACGATTTTACAACAATTTTCTTGGTCAGCGTGCTCAGTGTTGACGAAGTGACCCTCAATCCAGGTCACGTTCTTGGTACCAGGTCATGTATACACCAGTGAGGCCTCCTCGTTCATCATTGCTTTCCTCGTCTCACCCACAGTCTATGGTACCAGTCTCATGCAAAGGCGTACTGGGTCTGCGCTCATCCATCCGTCCCACGGTGTTTGGGAGCAGCCCTTCATATCTGAAATGTTGAGTGACCTGCACGCACATCCTGCCAGAATACCAGGCTGAGGACGTTTTTTACCACCGCCCAAACGATACGAGCAAGTGAGTCCTGTTACCTTTGAAAGTACGGAGCATCTTCTTCTTCTGTCTCTTCTGCCTCGTCTTCTGCCTCCCTTCCCGTCTTCCCTTCTGTCTCCTTTTCTGGTTTCTCTTTTCGAGCAACATACTCCTCTTGACCGATCTCCTCATTTGAGATAGTTTCATTTCTTGTATTAATGGCTTTTTGTAAAGCGACCTGCTCTTCAGGTATGCTCTCCCCTTCCAGATTGACCTCCTCCTGCGAAACGATTCCATGGGCATAGACCTCTCTCCTAACCCTTGAAGTTGTAGACAGCGTTTTCACTCCGCCAATAACCGATTGGGTAATCACGGTCCCTTTAACTGCATATCCACCATCCCGTCCCTCAATCCAGACGTCCCAGGTTGCGGTCCTCCCTATTTGAATCCCGCCTTCTCTTTTTCTAACGCATATTTTCATCTCCTCCTCTGCATAAAGAGGTGCCAAATTTCTATACTCGACATGCGTTATTTTCCCAGGCGTTTTCTCAAACGAGAACCTGCCACGATCCGCGAGAGTCTGGAGATGAATTCGCAGAACCTCGATCATCAGCACCACCGTTAAAGGCCCTTGCACCAGCAGGTTTCGATACCCTTCTACCTCACGGCAGAATTGCTTGTCAAGGTGAATAGCATGTGCATTGAACGTTAGCGCTGAGAACCGGAATAGTAGTTCTCGAGTTGGAACTATTGTGTGAGAAAAATCAGGCGTCTCTGTCGGCTTCAAGACTTTGCTCGAAGATTGACTGACAACCGGAGTGCTTTCTGGGCGATTATCACGCATGAAAACTATTGACCGCTGCTCGCTAATACGTAGCTCCCTGTTCGGCTGGCCCTTGAGTTCTCCAGGAAAGAGACCAGCAAATATCACTCTTTCAATCCTAACGAAAGCCTTCTCCTCCCCTTCCTTTCCCCTGATTTGCACGTCCGCAATCGACTCATTGCAATGAAACGGCTGTCCATCCACCTGGATATCCTGTACAAACGCCATACTGCCACCTGCCCACAGTCTTCGTGTAAAGGGAGGCCCAGGAGAATGCCAAGAGTCAGTGCCATCTGGAAGGAGAAGGTAGGGAGGCGGCACGAATGGAAAGTAGACGAGATGGTGGGTGGGATCCAGAGACGTATCACGCGCGCTTTCGTCTTGTCGTTTCCGTCCTCGATACATGGAAAGTGTTGGAACCTCGCTGGAAGGAAGAAAGGTAGCCAGGGTCTGTCTGAGAGCTCTGGTTGGTGTCGGCGTTATGTAGTCTCTTGCGTATGGAAGATGGCGTGAGATCATTTTCTCGCGGAGATTGGAGAAGTCGGAGGAGTACCGGGGAGAGGGAAGCCGATGGAGAAGGAGGTAGACATGGCATCTTTTGGGTGCGTGGAAGGGACGAGCACGCCGGAGGGCGATTCTGGCCGCCATTGAAGAGCGCGAGCTCGAAAGTAGCGGGTAGTGGATCGAGGAAGCTTCGATGCTCTGGCGGAGAGAGAAGGAGCTCCCAGAACTCGGCGAAAAGAAACGCCGATGGCCGTAGGTTTTGACGTACAATCCAATGGAAAGCGACACGTCGACAGAAGCTCAGTCACCATGGCCGACGAGCTTCTCCAGCAGGCTCAAGAGCTCTTGGAAGGACAGATTGTAGGTCGCTGCCCAGCGTCCCGACTCTCATCGAGATTGACCGCGTGTCCAGGATTTCGAAGGCCAAAAGCAAACCGAGCTCATTTCCAGCGTCCTTCTAGCTGTCTCCGGTGTATGTCTCCACGTTTCGCTCTGTTCTCGTCCTGTGCAGGAACTGACATCAACCTGCTATAGCTCTTCGCATTCATACTCGGCTTCGCCCTGCAGAACATCTACGTTACTCTCTGGACTGGCCTTGGGGGTGCCGCATTAGCATTCCTCGTGGTGGTACCGCCCTATCCTTTCTACAACAAGTCGCCCGAGAGATGGTTACCAAGCGGTAGTGGGATGGCAGGGTCGGGCATCGAGATCGATGGGAAGAAGATAAATTAGGGCGGCAGGAGAGACGGGAAAAGGCCACATAGCATGCAAGGCGTCAGGGGCACAGCTTTAGAGCCACAGAATCTTCTTGGGATGCTTTGGCATGCATAAGTGGTTCATCAGAACCGTGATCTAGCTGAGGAAGGTCTGTCATTGCTCATAAGAGCGGCAGCCGTTGCCTTCACATTTCAATATCTATGCATTGCTTCGTCCCATCATTCCTGATCTATGCAGCTTTGGGCCCCGAGGCTCTATGGCATGCTTGAGCGCTATGCTGTCTCGCATATTGTTTTGGCCGCACACGATCTCCTCATCGTCCGTATTTCTGGAATTCCCAGTCTCGGTTGTCCAAGGGGCAGACCTGTCGTGTCTTCAGCCAGCGTGAGATGCAGTGGAAGTGGAAGGCGTGCTGTAGAAGAAAAGGCGTCAGCTTAAGCAACCGGACGGATAGGACCAGACTAACATTGCAGATTCCCCAAGCAACTGTGCACTCTTCGCTCGTAGCTGAAGCTTGGTTGGCCTGACATTCGATACCTTCACGAATCTATTAGTAATCTGCTGTACGCAGGATCTGGAGCAAGCAGTCACATAGATCCATGATATGGTTTCTGCATATGGCACAGTTGTCGACGACGATATCCCAAGCCCACAGAGATACAGCGTTCCACTAGACATGATCAGCTACATTTCTTTGTCCGGACCGGAAGACGGTATCACCTTCTTGACCTCAAATCTCTTCTTGCCATCGGAGCCAGTGTCTGCTCCAGACTTTGCTGATCTGACGACACCCTTTGGCTTTGCTGGAGCTGAAGAACCAGCATCAGGCATCTCGACGTCCGCCATGGCGACTTATACGGTTCACGGTAGCTTGAGTGGAGAGGTTGTTGTAAAGCGCGATGTCTGTAGCCCAAGGAAGGCGAAAGGTGGAAGGTGGAAGTGGCGGTGAAATTTGAAGCAATTCCGTGCTGGGTGTAGAATTCGGTAAGGGCCCGATGTGTTAAGGAAGTTGTGTGGACAAGGTGTCAAGCAGAAGGCTCCAGCAGAGAGGCGATTAGGTGATTTCCTTCGCTCAGATTACCTTTACCATTATTGTGAATAGACCTCACTATCTGAGATTTAGTCGCTTGCTTTGTGATGGGAGTGCAAGTGTTAGGTGTTAGAGCAAAAGGTGGTTTAGGTGACTCTTGAGCTTGATATGTTCGCAATGGGACAAGCGCCGCCAAGCCCCCGCAAATCAAGCCAGCCCATCATCTTCAACACTCTCTTCGTTTCAACACCTTCACAACTCGCCATCATGGACCGCATACAACGCTACATAAACCCCTCAACCTCCCTCTACCGTACACCAATACACCCGCGAACATACATCAAACCTCCAGACTCTCCCTTCTCCTGATCCACCTCTCGCTAACAAAGCTGCCCTCACCAAGATAGTTCAGCTGCGGTTTGAGACATTCTAAGGCTTCTGGCCTATCGTTCTTATACGACCGAGTGACAATTCACTTTGTATTGCCAATTCAGCTCCTCGTACATCACATACATTGCTCATTTTTACAATTTTTTTCCCAACACGGCTGCATATTTCTAAGCCACCACCACCCAAGCAATGCCTCCTCAACAGGCAGAAACCTCCCAGAAGAATTCTCGAGGATCTCGACGTCCTCCTCGAAAGTCGGCTAATTCCACAACATCCCATATCTCCTCAAACCAAAACGATGCCGGTTTCTCAGCAGACCCAGGTTGTCATGTGGGACCTGATCAGCCAACGCGCATCCTTCGCCGAGGCGACCACGACGTTACGTCGGATGTCAGTGTCGTCGGCAACCTAGAGCTTCCAAATCCGACCACCCCTCCCCGGCCAAGGTCGATGTATGACGGGTTTTCGAACGGGCAATACCAAGGCAACCAATCGGCTCCTGACATGAATCAACGAAGAAAGAAAAGTCGGAAGTCGCAAGGAGGAGGAACCACAAGAGCATCAGGAGTTCGAAGTTCAGACCTGAATCAAGCTCCAATCCCAGCGTCTCCTCAACAACCTCTCACACCGAGCCGCCCAAATGAGACCCCTGTGAAAGCATACGCAGGGCCCACGTTTCATGCGTCCCCAGCGGCTTCCTCATTACCCATCCCAAAATTCTTCTCTAGATCGGTTCCCAATGTGGACAAGACCTCAAGCCTAAAGAGTAGGATGGAGCAAGAAACAGTTGACACGACGTCCGAGAGCGACAATTCTCCCTTTCTGGAGAACAGCCACCCGACCCATGACCTTCGAGCCCGGGAAGATTCACAAGATTCACCCCTTGACATTTTCTTCCAAGCTGACAGGGACGCTAAGACCAAAGCTCAGGTTAGAAGCCCGACAGGCTCGAATAGCTTGCGGTCAGAATCACAGAATGATGTTCGACATCATTCGCGCCAACCCACCGACAGTTCCCTCGGTGGAATGTTTCCTTTGGAGATGGATGGGGCAGCATCGGAAACCTCGGATAGTACGAATAATAACGAGCAAATCACCCCTACTCCCAAGGCCATGTCGGAGGCCGATTACAGAGATGATCAGCGCAAAGCTCAAACCCTCGAGCTCAAGAAGTTGCTCTTCCCTCCCAAGCCTCAACGCCCAGCATCGTCTACGCCTCGCTCAGGTACTCCTTCCCAAGGTCTTAGTTCTCCTTCACCCGGAACTACACCTCCTGGAGGCTCTCCAGGGCTAGTCCCAGATGCAACGAGTCGAGACCAGCAACGGCACGCTGCTTTGCTCGCTTTGGCTCAAAAGCAAATTTCAGGAAAAGGCAACCATAACGTGTCTGCAGCTCAGCGACCGCCTTCTTCCAAGCTTTGGAAAGAGATTTCAGTTCCTAGCTCGCCAGGGGTATCCGAGCTTCCAACCACCCCAACGCAAACTCGTGTACAGAAGACATCTACCAACATCAATGGCCATGCACAGCAACAGCAAAATAACTCTGCCTCTCCCTATTCTCCCTTTTCCTCGGCCTTCACCCCACCAGCTAAGTCTCCTGGCGGATTTCAAAGTACTCCCTCTCGACATTCCAAAGATGCAAAATCAATTGAAGAAGATCTTCGGCGAATCTTGAAGCTTGATGTTCTTGGCGGTGATTCCGTTACTGGTGTTCAATCTTGACGAACTTTTTCACGAATGGATATCTATTGTGTTTTGCGGATGCTTTTCGAAATACAAGTGCACATGACATACTAAAGAGATACCAATGGCGCATTGGCGGCCGATGAGCTTTTCTTTTCTTATGTTGCAAGCGTTTACAAGATCGCCCTAAGGTGTTCAGTGACGGACAACTTCCAGTGACGGCCGTATCGATTCGTTGTCCGATGGTGCCTCAATATCTACTTTTCTTTGGATCTTATCGAACTCATACCCCCAGTGTATTTTCAGCAGCACGGCTTTGATGGAGCTCTATCGATGGTGACGGCGCATGGCATGGGACCTGGAATGGGGGTTTACCACGGGCTCCACCGTGTTGCCCGGGGGTACTGGACCGACGAAAGACGTTTTCAGGATAGGACAGCAAGACCAATAGGCATGATCACTTTCTTTTTGCAGTAAGCGAACGAAGGCGGGGACTTCCCTCGCTACTCAGGTGGCTTACTGTACACCAACGACCGCACTTCTGCACCAATGATCACCTCATTTCAATGTTTCCGGCAAAGATCAGATCAGTCAGCGATCGAAAGACGTTCTTACATCAAAGAGCGCCGTCTGTGCACCTCTGCACCACGTTTTCCTTTGTATCACTGTTGAAACCACGGCAGTATGGAAGAAGGATCGCAGATGGAGAACCTATGTGGCGGAATGTGGCCTCGGGGTCAACGAAGGCAAGGGGTCTGAAGACCAGGTCATACAAGTTTGAGTCCTTTCCAAGCTACTCTTCAGACGATCTAGCTAGCTATCTCTGAATGAGTAGGAAACCAGAATTGAAATGCCAATATAAATACACTGTGCAAATTTTTCTCATTTTCTGACTGTATTTTGCACATGAAACGCATGGCGTACCGAAAATGCGTTTACATATATAGGTCCACCACATTCGCAGGGTGAATATACTGGAAACAGTGAGCTAAACTGGTGGGTAGTGTCCGGCCTAGATCTGGTATTCACAGGTCCTGAGATTTTGTGCGTTTCAACGTGACTATCTATTGATCTAGGATCCTTTGAGTACGCGTCTGCCAGCCCTTCCATAATAAAAAGAGTACCGTCTCATCTGCCACCAATATCAACCAATCAACCACCGCTTGAGAGGTCTTCTCTTCTGCGGGTAAGCTGCATACCATTCTTGGAGAATACAGCTTAGAGGGCGTGAGAAACTGTGGCTCGCAACTTGCAACCCTCTTGACTCGTCTAAATGCGGTGCACGCCGCGTGTCGGTCTGACCTTGGCTGGAACGTCACATGACATGACCGAGGCATGTTCTGCCATGATCTGCATCGAGGGAGCTTCATCTTGTCTTCTACGCCTATGTATAAAATGCTCGGATCTCTTTGCACTTGGATCGCAAGCCTGGTAAGGAAGATTAACGCAGTAGTCTTGCCAGAACATGATTCCTCGAAGTGGGAGGGAATAGAGGGACTGAAACGTGCGTAAGTTCATCATCGACGTCGTTAAGAAATGAGGCTCCCAGCATTTCTTTCCACTCCGAGTGTTTAGGAGTCCTTTCGGAAAAATGCGCCTCGATATGATGGGTAAATCCGGTGGCAGTGTTGGTACTAGCAGAGGCGTTCATGAGGCCGAGTTCCTTGCTGGGGTATTCCTCCCCAGTCTGACGGATGTATGGCAGACGACGGTCCAATTCGAGCCTACAAAAGTCTGCGAAGCTGACGTCTTCATCTGAGACCTCGGCTTTGTAAAGATGCCTCTGGGCTTTGGTGCTGGTTTTGAGACGTTTGCAAGGGGTTCTTTCCCGCTGTCTGTTGTGTATGCATGATCTTGAAACTCAGGATCTCCCGCCTCGAGGTTTGGAAGATGTCTTTCGCGCTCTCGGGCTTCTTTGCCTGTTGCTATTGCGACTCCTGGATAGTGCCATTGATCGTCTCGCCAGCACATTACGGCTTCCCTGTATCTGAGGACATAAGCGTGCGCAAGGTTGCTTGCCTATGTCACGTTACTTTCTGTTGGCTGCTGTCCAAACCCAGAGAAAAAATGCCGCCTTGTCTTGATTGCAATTGTCAAGTTCTTGCATGACAGCATAACGTACGAACGTGAACGTTTTGCTAGCGACAAGCCCTTGTGCAAGCGGTACGAACTGATCAGAGGCCAGGAACTGTGTTGCTACAGTTGTTTCAATTCCTCTCTTATTTCCTGGCTTTTCCTTGCCCACGCGGTCCTTATTATGCAGTCTCTTGGGTAGTTCCCTTCAATTGGCAACCACAAGCAGCGGCACTCTCCACACGCCCTATCAAAAGACAGGCATTGTAGTTGCTGATATCAATGTTGTCAAGGGTAGGCCCGTCCGGGCTATCAAACCCAAAAGGTTTCGGTCACTGACTATATGCGACTGGGCTGGACTCATGTCCGTTATTGGCCTCCAAAGTTATTCGGACAGAATTTTGTATTGCCGTCACTTGGTAGACGAGTCGCTTGTAGCGGCTTCCATAGGGCAATTCGGCTGCACTGATTTGGACGTCATTGGCGGTACGACGCTTTTTGTCTCATGAATTGAAAATCACGTTCTTCATTTCTACTACCACTGAGTACTCTACAGGGCAACCGAGGCATGCACTGTTTCAACTCGTGACGAGATCTAGACGCCGAACCATGTACATGCGCTATCTCTCCGTGACCATTCCATCCTGGGCTTCAGCCATCTTAGCCACGCCATTACAGGGCCCAGACGGTCAGACCATCGAATTGTCTAAAGCTCCCAACCTCACGACCCTGGATCTGTTGCTCCCTTCGAATGCATCTATCCAAGACCTCAACGCTTCGAGCGGGAACGGTTTAGACATTCGATGCGACGGCGCGAGGTATGGCTTCAACCCGTCGCTGTCTGATTGCGAAGGTGCTCGATCATACATTGTCCCTGACTCAGAACAATATGTCTTTGGAGAAAGACATACTGGATTGCCGACAAGTACTTTTCCACTTCCGTACATTATCATGGGAGGTACGTCAAAAATGGCAGAGAAGGTTCCACTATAATCACTCTCTTAACGGGCTGTGCGTACCAGACAAAGCCGAATGTTTCTTCCAACCCATAAATATCGGAGGGAGTGCCACAGCTCGCGCAAGTCTAAGTCAAATCCGTAACGCAGCATCTGCTCTTTTCTTGACATGTGCGTCAAACGATCCCTCACAAGGTGGCATTGTCAGTAATATAGGTAAGAATCGACCAATGTAGCTTTCTGAAGTGAAAACTGCTTTCACAGGACACTCTCACATCGTGCTTGACACTCATTTTTACCCAGGTGGTGACAACAATATCGCCGTGGTAATGGGCGTTTTCGAGCCAAAGATACAATGTCGAGGCAACTTTGATACTTCACTCTCCTGCAAAGATATCTTGGCCGAGATGCCAGCAACGACGGAATTGGAGGTATTCGGTCCCCACGATACTCCATTTGTCAAAGAGATTCTTCCCCAGGAAGTCGCCTCAGGTAAGGCGCCACCTGAGTGTTGGACCGGCTCTCACCCAAGCTGACAACAACGACCACAGGGGACGACCAGTGCATATTGAGACTGTACTCTACCGGCAGGTCTGACGTGGTTGCTTGGTATAGGATCTGGGAGGCTGTGGAAGCTACATTCGCTATGTGCGGGAGGTTTTTACAAGGGGGGAGTTATAGAGGACTTGGTTGGTTCTCTCAAATTATGATGAGAGTTAGAGGAGAAAATTGTAGGCTAACCTGTCATCTAGGCCAGCAGGGCAATGTTTTTCTCACATTGGGAGCTAGATCTCCCACTGTATCGACAGGCAATCGGTCCGATGACGCTACAGCGTAGGCTGCTATGAGGAACGCGGAGCAATTATCAGTTTGTACGCGCATACTGCCATGTCCTTCGCTATAGCATCTTAACGGTCAGTGTCCCGCTCCAGTAGCGCTACGGATTGAAATGAAGACGCGGTGCAGAGACACCCTTTCAGAGGAAATGCAGATTGGTGAAAGAGGCTTTGAGTCTGCATAAGCATAAACATAGATCAATTAGTAACCCCGTGCACCGATCTTCTCACAAAATCATATCTTATGGGTGGTCAAGAGATCAGCGAGTGCATTCGCAGCTCTCGACCACTTGGGCATCGTCTTCGATCCATATCCTGTGTAGACTTAATTCTACCGCACGTCTCCAAAAATTCTACGTCATTTTCTGTCTCGTCCGCTGGAGGCAGGCTGGCTATCAACTTGCTGCAGATTTGAGGATCCGCGGCTCAGGAGGTTCTCCCTGCGTCATACAGGTCCTTTGTAGAGATAGGTGCAGTTGCAGAGCGCCTTGGAACCGGCACAAGTGTGAGGCGTAATGGTGGCCTCGACCCTTTGCGTCGTGCTTTTCATCGCGGATTTGAGACACTCGTGTGCATCCTCCACGTAAAAATCGAAGAGGAGTAATCTCTTTCGGACAGGATTCTACTATTGAGCTTCACTCTGACACTACCCTGACACTACCATACTTGGACATTTAATACAAAAGGTTGATATTCAGACCGCAAGGTTTAGGTATATCTGAATGAGTAGTACTATTGGTATGACAGGCAGTGCAAAGATCTGTCATTGATTTTGGCGCTTGTTGGAAAATGATCATGAACTCAACGCCTACCAAAGCTTGCGCGAAGAAGCAGCTGAAGCATTCCAACCTGAAACAGATTGGACGGACCCAGGCGCGTTGCAAAAGCTGGTCCGCATAAATAGTACTATCCGTGAGAGCCTGCGCCATAGTCCGCTGGCAGTTCGGGGGGTACTGAGAGAGGTAATGCCGAAAGACGGTCTTACGTTGCCGGACGGCAAGATTTTTGCCCGTGGCACTTGGAGTGGTGTACCTGTGCAAGCTTTGCAGGTGGATGATAGATTTTACGAGAGACCGGAGGAGTATGATCCTTTTCGGTTTGCGAAGACGGCAGGGGACACGGAGAGGCTGGAAGCCATTCGAATTAGTGGTATCTTTTTGTCGTTTAGCTATGGTCGTACTGCCTGGTTGGTGATCCTCTTATTCCCTGTTCTGATCCTTGTGGCCAGTGCTGCCGTTGAGTAGTCCTGGTCGCTGGCTTGCTATTCACCTGCTAAAACTATTAGTCGCTTATGTCACACTCGACCATGACATCGAGCCAATGGAGAAGCGCCCCAGGAATATAAACCTCGCTGATGCTGATCTCACCTCGTTCTGTACTCGAGTTAGAGTGCGTAGGAGAAAGCAGACTACATCGTCGTAGATGACCTTCCTGACGAGAATCGCCTGTAATAGCGCCGGAGATGCGGAAGGTGCTGGTGCCGATAAGACCTGAAGCCTAGGTCGCTACATATGTTCCTACTTACAATTCCCTCGGGGGGAATCATGGTTCAATAGACTTGCATGCGGTCTGTTGCCTTTCAGGCTTTGGGCTTATGAAGGAGTTGACGGCTGGACCGCGTTCGGAGGCTCATAGTCCTGTCACGAAACGAGAACTTGCATCACTTAGCTAGATACAGACAAAGATATATGCATCTTACCCAAACATCTCGCACGTAAAACTGTTTTTCTTCTGCACGGTAGGACTTCTCTTAGCATTGTCAGCCTTTGCTCTTCATCATCTGTAGACTTGCAACTTCAAGTCGAAGCTTGGCAGATCTCCGCACTTTGGTGGTTGAGTTGCCAGAAGAAGCCCGCGTGTCGAAAGCGCAGCGCTTGTTGCAATTTTCGTTTTCAAAAAAGAGTTTGTTTTCCTTCGCAATGAGTCGCGGGTGAGAAAAGGCATTCAAAGAAGGGATGCGCAGACAACGCTTGCTCCGCCAATCCTATCATCTCGTCTATTCCAGATGCAAGGGATCTGTCTTGCAAATCCTGCGCACCAAGGTCGAGCACGCAACAGCCTTGCAATGTTTACAGTCTTCACCTTGACTGTGCAGCTACTCGGTGACTACTTGGTTCTATACGCCCCAAATAGCATGCTGATCTAGGTTTTTTGCTCCCACCGCGCAATAGCTGGTCACAAAGGGATCGGCATCATTTATGGAGCCACTCCGTCCTGCTCACCTTGTGCAACGGAAATGGCATCTGTGGCTTGCTGCGTAGCCCGTGTACCCGTTGCTGTCCAGCAGCTGCCGTATGACAGGTGACCGGAGAATCGCAGTTCCTAAGTAGTCCAAGACGTCGAACGTTACAAAGTTCTGCTCCCGAGACATGTTCAAGGCGTTCAAAACGTGGTCCTGTCGTACGACCAGGTGACTGAGGCTGGCAAACCAAGCGCTTACGTGCGGCAGGATATTGGTCTGGATTCATGGCTCAAGGTATCTTCGTCCCTGCGTATTCTCGGCTCTCGCCAATTTCACAAACATCAAACACGCCCTCTTCAGAGATGGCACTCTTTGCAAGCGCCCTTTTCAGGAGACGAGGAGGTTCTAGGACATCTTCATATGTTAACACCCACGTTCCCCAATGTATGCCAAGCGCTTGTTTGCATTTGGTATCGGTAAATATATTGACGCTGTCGAATGGGTTCGCATGCATTGGTGACATGATGCAGCGAGGGTCGTAGGCTCCAATAGGAATCAAACCCAAATCAAACGGTCCTCTGAAATCCCCAATCTCCTTGAACCTATAATGATTTGGAGTCAGCAGTGCTTCTTAAAGGCAAAAGCCCGAGCATTGACACAGCTCGAAGAGGTATTAAGAGCTTTTATATTGCGGATCCTGTCTCGCAACTCAAATAGTGGTCGGAATGGATTCTCTGCACAGAAAATGTACATACGCAGGGCAATGAGGCAAATTGTACTTTTCGTCGTAATCGTCTTCTCCGGTAGGAAGTTCGGGGACGGTGCGGTATCCGGTGTCACCACCGAACCAAATCTTTTTCCCTCCACTCGCCACACACCATGAAGCCCATAAGGTATGTGACTTGTTAAACGGTGTCCTCCCGCTGGTATGTTGGCAAGGCAGGCACTCTATCATTGCCTCAATGTCCCCGCTCTTTCCTACGCTCACTGTGCCGTCTACATCTTCATGCTCCAGCTTCTCGCTCTTTGGCTGCTTTGACAATGTAAACTGGCGTGACTGCCACCAGTCAAGCTCCGTGGCGTTGTGGACTCCCGCCTTTTCAAACCACTTCTTATTGCCTAATGGCGCGAAGAAGTGGACATTTGGATGCCTCTGCTTGATCTCTAGGATGGTTGGATGCGAAAGGTGATCGTAGTGACTGTGTGAGATTACGACAAGATCTATGAACGGGATGTCTTCGATGTGGCACGGCAATTTCGTGTACCTCTTCGGCCCTATGAAGGTGAGCGGCGAGCATCTTGCTGTAAAGACTGGGTCGAAAAGAACACGCAGTCCGCTAGGGAACTCGACGTAGTAGCACGCATGACCAAGCCATGTCGCACGTAACGCTGGTGTCTCTCGCGTGGGTAGAAAGATTGGCGTGCGGACGGGCACAGTGGGAGGTGTTGTGTCGGGACTCTTCATCTTGCCTCGGAACTTTCGCCTATACACCGTAAGCACTAATAAGCAAGAGAGAATATAAATATGAGGCTGACACACCAAAGCAGCGCCCGCAGTATCTGAGGAACAGTCTGCTCAATGTATGAGTCCCAAGGGTTCAAGAAACCTTTCCCATTCTTCAGATGGTGCCTCAGCTGTTCCGTGTCCTTGGGAACAGCGCCGATGGACCGCATTGGAGACGAGATGGTCGCGTAAAGGGCGGCCGAGGTTGATTGTGACTCCATCTTGCTGCTGGTGTGGAGTTGAAGTCTCTGGACGTGCTGACATGTTCTTCGACACGAGGGTAGCTCTTTTGGGATGATGATGATATTGAGGAGATAGCGACAAGTTGGCATATGTACTGAAGGCACAGCAGGATGCAAGGAGACCTGTTATGTATCTCGCAGACTTCAATTATCGTTCAATTGGAGCAGAACGGCGGGAGTAACAGCAAAGAGTGATTGTTTACCTGAGATGGCAGGCGCCGTCGAAGCGAAATCGCCGTGGCTGCACGTTCATTCACGGATTTAGCGGGTGTAATAAGGACAGAGTAGCGCCTATCGCTTAAGATGCGACGGAAGCCCGCCTCTCCGTTCACGTGATCGGAGCCATTCCGCTTTAACGCCTACTGAGGTTGGATTCACCTCTCTCGCTCTTCTCGTTTTAGTATCGCATCATATTCGAAGACTACTCGTTTCTTAGAGCATGGTATAGTGTTCCACACCTTCGTAAGTATGAATCATGACCTTAAGCTCAATCGAAGTGACCTGGCTGCGCTCTAAGTACCACCTTGCGCTTTGAAACATGACACGCATCTAAAAGGTATGCATTCAGCGCGACAGTCGCGATCATGAAGCCAGTGGCCTATGACTGTGCCAATGATGGCGCCGGTGACGGGGGCGAAGTAGAAGAACCCTGGAGTGAGACTAAGGCTTCTCTTCTCACTTACGAAGCAGTGGCGTCGGAGAAAATGGACGTACCGAGATTGTAAGTCGTGAATCTGTAGATCGAAGTCAGCCAAATAAAAACAATTGCGTTGACGCCAATTGCCCAGGCAAAATTAAGGAAGTGATAGATGGTACACAGGAGGACGGGAAGCTTGGAGATGGCAATAAAAGGACGCATTAGAGCCTGATAGAAAGTCTTTCTGAGACGGCGGCCTGCCCATTGCTCGAAGCCCACGAGTCTAAGCAGACGCGTTTGGGCACTGGTTGCTGATCTTGTGCGAGCTTACGGTTGTAAAGTGTTTCGTCTATCAGGCTGACAACGAAGAGCCAGCAAAGAGCCGAGGGACCGGTGTTTACCCAAAACGCGTTGGGTCATGATTCTTTGTTGATTATGAATGTTGTGATCAGAAGGCCAAGATAGGACGATGCAATCATGCCACCGGGCCACATGTTTGATATGCGCCTAGGAAGAGATCAGCATGTTGACCACGACAACGTCAGAACGGGCCTGAAGACTGCAACGTACGGGTGCTCGTGGAAGATAAACACGTCGCGGACGAACATCAAGCCGCCCTAGATTGGAGGAATTCGTGCGTGCATTCCCGATAGGAGTTTCGAAGAGTGCTCACCACTTGGGCAACGATAGAGAGAAATCCGTTCGAAACGGGCGCTGCCAAGTAAATAATTCAAGCTCGTTGCAGCCTCGCACCGAGCGGAAGTGCCCAGGGATATCGATGTGAAGAAGAACAATGTTGGCAGTTGGCCAAAGTAGGCGGACAGAAGCACGGTAAATTGTCCTCCCGCTTCCAGGCAGAAAATATTTCTGACCACATTACATTGAATCGAATCCTGCGACTTCGCCCATTGCCTATGCTTCACTAACAAGCCTTTCAATGGTCTTCTCCAGCGTGACGCACACAGCGTGTGGAAGCAAAGCAGCGACACCGATGCTCGATCCAAAATCTGGTATGAAAGCAACCACAGTGATAACAAAAAAGCGACGTGACCTGTATAAGAGCGATATATTCTTCCAAGTAGGGGCTGTTTGGAAAAGTGCTAATACATTACGTTACAAGGTCCTGTGTTTGGCAAAACCCTTTCAATCCAGCCGTTCTCCGATGATCTTACCTCGGGCAAGGTTAGGAGATACTAAGAGTCTAAGAGGTGCCTCAGACAACTCCACAATCCTCCTCACTTGCGCACCTTTATCCGAATCCCCTTACTATCCGCCTTGGGATACGGCACGAACCGATCAGAAGCCATGTCGGTATCGCTCCGATCAGTCTCGAACAACTCCCACCAGCCATCCTCCCCATGATCCTCCTTGCTGCCGAACCGGCGCCAAATCTCCGAGAGCAACAGAAAGAGCTCGGTGTACGCCAGCTGCATCCCTAGACACTGCCTGGAACCCTGCGAGAACGTGATCAGGTAGCGCTTGAGCTGCGGATTCTCGATGAAGCGCTCCGGGCGGAACTGCATGGGGTCGGCAAAGACGTCCGGATTGTGATGGATGAGGGGCGCAGCCATGCCGACTGGGGTCTGGAGCGCTGGTCAGGACGTACGTGTATTAAACTTGGCGGGTATAGGAGTTGGAAGTGGAGGGGTGATACTCACCCCGGGAGGGATGTGCCACTCTCTCTTGCCGTCGTCAAAATTCATGACTTCGTTGGGGCTGATGCGCGTCTGGCGTTGGCTGGTGCCTAGTGCGATGCGAAGACCCTCCGTGATGACAGCGCTGAGGTACGGCAGCTGCTCGATATCCTTGATTGACAATGGCGCGGAGACACTAGGGAGGGCAGCCTTAAGCTCGGTTCTCAATTTTGCGAGGACCCTCGGGGTGGACAGGAGATGGACAGTCATGATCTAGGACTAAAATCAGCACTCACAAGATAAAGAGGGCCGTGCTCCCGTGTGGCGCACACTCAGAATCCAAGACGTGGTTTCTGTGCCTGCGATCGAGAAGTTCTGAGCCTCCTGGAGCAAACGCAGCGGTTTTTTATCCTGCTCTGATAATTTGCTATCTAAGATTTCGTCGAACACCGTTTTGTTGTCCTTCCCTTCATGATGGGACTTTGAGACTCTGTCAATGTTGCTTAACAGTTGCTGCAAACGATTTAGTTTTGTCACCTGAGTAATCAAGTCACTGCGATTACCATTCTGAACCGAATAAAAGTACCGAATCCGGGGTTTATTTTCAATACGAGCCACCGAGGCAGCCTGGCGAAGAGGCCCATAAACCACTTGAACTGCACCGCAAGAGGCCCAAGGTCATGGAAGCCGTCAATCTACATTCTTCTTAGCCATCGAGATCGAATCCACATCGTCTGCGACTCACCATTTCGAAGAAGACCTTGTTAAACTGCGGTGCTTGCACCCAATTCAAACTGAAGCCATATGCATATTCGGAAATCACATCATTAGTAAACGCCCCAAACATGGGCAGCAGACTGATCTCCCGGCCATCATCCTGGAACTCCCTCAACCGAACCAACAACTTGTCCAAATTCGTCCTCATAATGGGCTCCAGCCGCCTCACCGACTCCTTCGAGAACATCTTCGACATCGCAGCCCGCCGCGTGCGGTGCAAATCATGATCGGCCGTGGCGCCCGCGGCCTGCGAGAAGCCAAACACCTGTATCATGCGCGGGTACTTGTCCCTGCGACGTCCGCCGGCGGGCATCAGCTCCGGAAGGAAAGAAGGGTCGTTGATGTGCAGTTCGTCGGGAGAGACGCGCACGATGTGGCCGTATTTGGCGTGCATGTCACGGATGCGGAAGATGTATTGGCCGCCGCGGAAGAAATCATGGTAGAACTCGCACCAGAGGGTCATTGCTGCGAGACGCGGGCCGGGGAATTTGGCGAGTGGATGCAGAGTGAGGCGGTAGGTGTAGAGGAGGATGACATAGAGCACGAAGGAGGCAGCGACGACCGTCAATGGCCAGGCGACGAGAAGATCGAGGGCAGGCATGGTGTTGCAGATTCAGTAACAGTAGGGCCGAGAGGCTTGGGATCCGCTCTCCTTGCGTGGATGAGCAACGCAGGTAAAGAAAATGAAGGAGAAGCCAATTCAAGGTGAAACTCTGCTGGATGTGATGTTGTGTGAGTGGCGTTATGTGAAGAAAGTCTATACATATTGATTGATAATGCGTATTCGCTGTTCGGCTCCGATTTGAAGTCGGCCATGATAGTAAACATTTCGGTGGATTAATGTCGCTCCGACTTTCAACACAGCGCTTCCGAATAACAAGATCGACTTCGTTATCTTGCAAAAGGCTCGAACAATTTTCGTACATTTTCGGCTTTCGGTCTTTGTGCGCGATTGCATTCGACCGCCATACATGGCATAACTCAACTGGCTTGGTCTGCGCATCATTTGGAGTCTGCGTCAATTAGAGGTCTTGTGGGTGCCCTGCTCTTCTACTATTGGCGAACTGTCTTTCGTGTCGATCAATGCTCGGTACCGAAAGCACGGTGCGAAAGGCAGGAAGAAACGAACGGTGCTTCAAGGGTGCTGTAGCTGAAGATCTAGCATACATGCACCTTCCATGCCTATTACGCCGACATTCCACCTTGTTGCGGACGAGGACCGTATGCTGGTGAAGGTCGCCGAAGAGCGAGGGGGGTAATCTTCCATCCGATGCTCGGGAGCTCTGATGCAGCTGAGTCGGGTCTGTGAATTGATGAGATGCATTGTGGTGCGCTACTTTGCTGCGGTGTAGTTCAGACATGGAGGTTCTATAGGCGCCCTTGAGGGGCACAGGTGTGGCAGATTGATCTTCTCACGTTGTCTGAAGTAAGACATTATCTGGCCGACGTCTCTGGAAGGGATGAAATAAGCAATATTGAGAGTGCATTTTCTGGTGACAGGCTACCTTACATGTTTGAAACCACCAAGCGTAAGCTCAATTTTGGAAAAAAATATCTCAGGATGACAAATTTCACACCAGCTTTGAGTTTATGACCACGCATCGGTCGCAGCTTTCATTGAAGACTGAAGGGCATGAAGCCAGCAGCTTCAGCCGATATGTTGAATACTGGCTTTGCCACCGCCATCCTACACTAAAGCCTTCGCCTTCAGCTTGACCATCAACGCCTTGGGTTCAAAGACGAGGTAAGCCTTCTGATTCATCCAGTTCCCATCACTAGGATCAGCCATCTCAAGATCAAAGTTCCAGACCATCTTTGAGAGAATCATTCGTGCCTCTGCGAGGAAGACCCTGCCATCGAGAATTAGTTCATAAAGAGCGCGAAAATGAAAGGAAAAGGGTTTGTGCTGCAAGACGTCTCATCGCAGACTTACTTCCCACCCATACAATTCCGCCCACCCACCGAAAACGGCTGGAAAGCCTGTTTATCATCCTTATCGAAACGTTTTTGGTATCTCGAATCGGTTTCGGGCAGGAATCTTTCAGGATGGAAAACGCGAGGCTCTACCCAGTTGTTGGGATCGTTCTGGATGTTTTGCAAATTTACGCCGATGATATTCTAGGCGCAGGTCAGCGGCTATATGCCTTCTACGGATACAGCTAGAAAATCGATGCAAGACAGAGGAGGCACTGACCCCTCCCGGAATCCAATGGCCATCAATCGTTTGGCCTTCTGGAGGGATAACTCTCGGAAGGTTGATAGGCGTAGGATGATGGATGCGCAGGGTTTCATTGATAACAGCCGTGAGATATGGTAGATTCATAGTGGAAGGGACTGTGATGCCGGCCTCTGACTCAAAGCTCTCCCGGACCTCTTTGGTAAGTTGCTTCAAAGTCTCAGGGTAGCGCATCAGAAGATAAGTGGAGGTGGCCAATGCCACAGTAGTCAATTGGCACCCAGCAATGACGACGGCAAGTGCGTTTGTGTTCAGCTCTTTCCTTGTAATACCCTTCTGCTGCGTCTCGTCCAGCCTCCCAACAACAGGCGTGATGAAATCCGATCTCGACGGGCCCAAATCCCCCATATCCAATCGACGCGAGATCTTGTCCGTTGCGACTTGCCAGCTGCGCGCCCTGTTCTTCGCCGTCAACCGAAGGAATATCCATCCGAAAATCTTGTCGATGGGATGGAAGCGGCTCAGGCTGTTTCTCACCGAGCCAAACTTTGCGCCGAGGAAGAAGCCCAGTATCCAGGAGTGCTCATTGTCGCCCTCTAAACCATAGAAGGATTCTCCAAACGTAAGATCTGCGATGATGTCCAGAGTCACGTATCCGTAAAACTTTGCCATGTCAACTTTGCCTTCGGGGCTTTTGCCAATCTCCCTGTGAAGTCTTGTCATCAAAAGATTGGCATAAGAGTCGATGATTGGGGTTTGGTCCTTCAATGCTCTGTCAGAAAAGGCGTTAATAAAGGTTTTTCGAATCCGTTGGTGCGTTTCCCCTGCAGCGGTGAAGAGGGATTCAGCTCCGTTCATGGGTGGTGTCTGGCTAAATGGATCCTTTGGCAAAAGTGGCTTCGACGTGTATATGTCCTTCCACGCGCCAGAAGATGTAGTGGCGATCTCGTCTGGAGCGATGCGAATAATCGTCCCGTATTGCGCATGTAGTTTGCCAGTGAATCGCCATGTGTTCCCCGTTATTGTAGAGTAGATGAGGGGCAAGCGTGAAATTGCTGTCATCTTAGGTCCTGGGTACTTGGACAACGGGTGGAAATAGATGTTGTAGATGGCGGAGACGACATAGTACTAAAGATGCAACTCAGCTGTGTCTGCGGTGGTCAATATATTGCGTAGATACCTACAAGGACCAAGATGGCACCGGTAGTGCTCATAAATTGGCTGGCCGAAATCGCCAACGGAGAAGACATATTAGAGAGTGTCAACATTTTGTCAAATCTGGCTCGTATTGAGCATCATCGCTAGAGCATAGAGATCAGAGAAAACGAACCGTTGTGCAAAAGCTACACTACACACTCCAACTAATCGCTTTGGTCGGTGATAATTCACGAAACGACGTCGCAGTCTTGATTTTACACCAAGTCACACATGCGCTTGTGTTCAAGCTATTACCGAGCCTCTCTAATATGATCCAAATTTGACCCACTCCTGTAGAAGCGCAGTCCAAGAAAGGGGTACTTTGAAATGTTGGAGACCACTCTGACTAGGTATTGTAATCCAGGCGAACACTCAAAAAGATGGAAGTAAGTCGCAGAGAATTGATACTTCTCGCGAGGTATTGATTGTAATTCCACCATGGAAGGGGCATTCGGATCTTACCAACGTCCCAAGCCAACCTCCGAAGGACATGCATTATGCGCTAAACCCACCGAACCCTGATGCAGGGTGTACGAAAATCTTTTGCACCGAAAACGAAGCCGAAGGCACCATTGTCTCCGTGCTTCCGAAGGTTCTGCAGACTTAATCTATACCGACAATCATGCCAGACGCAGTTCCAAAGCCCGACGGACCACCGAAATTGGTGGCAAGGGTCTTGGTACTGTACTAACGCTTCGGAAGAAGCAGTACATAAGTGTAGATAGCTGCGAATCGATGGCCGCCCAGTCTCCACCAACCGGCACAACAACATCCCAATACTTTCAATTTTGTTTCAACAACCCGTTGACGCTGGCGATGTCGGCCAACCCAAACGGCCACCCAATGGCCTCAGTAGCGGTATTCTGTCCGCAAAGCAAGGCTCCTGGGGAGAGCTATCTCAACGAAGTACACTCCTTCCTCCGCCACAGCGAGTATCTCGAACCATTTGTGCAACGAATGCTTGACCTTAAAGACGTCTGGACCATCCTCGCCAACGAACGACAGGACATTGCCGATCTGGGCCAAGGGCCCCGATACATTCAGAATCTATCAGAATGGTTCGCCACAGGAAAGTCATCCCAAATCGCCAACTGCATGTCCGGGATCCTATCGCTTCCGCTGCTTGTCGTCATCCAGATATGCCAATATTTTCAGTATCTGGAGCTCCATGGGATGTCACACTCCCAATTTATGGCACAGCTCCGAACAGGGGGCGGCATCCAGGGGTATTGCGGAGGCCTACTACCAGCCATTGCAATTGCTTGTTCTAAAACCGAAGCCGAGGTTGTAGAGAACGCGGCAAGAGCAGCGCGAATCGCGCTCGCAATTGGGGCTTACGGTGAACTCGGAGACGATGAATCCGTGCCCGGAGCAACGACCATTGTTGTTCGCACGAAACGAGTCGGCCAGGGAGATGAATTGATCCGAAAATTTCCCGGGGTGAGCTCCTCGAATGCCCGCTTGTCTCCTAGCTCTCATCACAAAGCAGGCTTTCTGACAAGTGCGCGCAGTCATACATATCGGCAGTCACAGATCCGAAAACAATCAGCATCGTCGGCCCAGTGCCAGTCCTCCTCAAGCTACAATCTTACGCACGAGAGCAGGGTCTGCTCGTGCAAGAAATGTTTATCCGAGGCAAAGTGCACAACCCCGAGAACTTTGAACTTGCCTATGAACTTTGTCAGCTGTGCGACAGGACCGAGATCCTTCGGCTTCCTGACGCCAGCAACTTGCAGGCTTGCGTGAGGTCCAACAAGACGGGCGATCTGATCACAAGAGGGTCGCTCACACACGAAACAGTCAACGTAATCCTCGCGTCACGGTGCGAATGGTATACCCTCCTCACAGAGTTGGCCAAGGACCTTGATTTGTCCGGACGTCGAAGTCACACGTTTGCGACATTTGGAATTGGGGACTGCATTCCGCTATCCCCATTCCATAAGCTTCAGCTCCAGATCACAAAGGTGGATGTGCAGTCTCTCATAGCCGAAACCATGCATAAAGTTCGAACAAACAGATTGGAAGATGGTTATTCTTACCCGACAGATGCTATTGCCATCACGGGTGCCTCATGTCGACTACCAGGAGCTAACAGCATGGAGGAGCTCTGGGATCTCATTTCCAGCGGTAATTCACAACATACAGAAGTCCCCACGGACAGATTCGATCTGCATGGGAGCTTCCGCGCATCTCAAGACCGCAAATTTACTGACAAGCGCAAATTCTACGGCAACTTTGTTGACCAAGTAGAGAATTTTGACCATACGTTCTTTCGCACCAACCCCAAAGAAGCATTGAATATGGATCCCCAACAACGCGTACTCCTCGAACTTGCCTATCAAGCCATAGAATCAAGCGGCTACCTGGGCTCACATCGGCGCGAATCAGGAGATTCTGTTGGTTGTTTCATAGGCGCCAGCTTCGCGGAATATCTCGACAACACAAACGCTCATCCGCCAACAGCATACACGTCGACGGGAACAATCAGAGCTTTCCTGTGTGGTAGAATTAGCTACTACTTTGGCTGGAGTGGTCCCTCTGAAGTGTTGGATACGGCTTGCTCGTCGTCTCTGGTTGCCATTAATCGAGCCTGTAAGGCTATTCAAATAGGCGAATGTACCATGGCTCTTGCAGGAGGCGTTAACATTATGAGCGGGATAAACAACTTCCTGGATCTGGCCAAAGCCGGATTCTTGAGCCCTACAGGCCAATGTAAACCATTTGATCAAGCTGCAGATGGCTACTGTCGTTCCGAAGGTGGAGGGATGGTCGTTTTAAAGCTTCTCAACCAAGCATTGGCAGATGGCGATCAGATTCTCGGTGTCATCCCCGGCATAGCGACTAATCAGGGTGGACTGTCTTCCTCCATCACAATTCCGCATTCTCCCGCACAAAAGAAATTATATCAGACCGTCTTGCGCCAAGCCGGCATGAAACCAGACCAAGTTTCCTATGTCGAGGCTCACGGGACAGGTACACAAGCCGGAGATCCGTTAGAGATAGCTAGTATCCGCGAGGTGTTTGGGGGACAAGACAGAACCGACCTGCTGAACGTTGGCTCTCTCAAAGGCAACATCGGCCATGCAGAGACCGCAGCAGGTGTAGCCAGTCTGCTCAAGATTCTCGCCATGATCAACAAGGCCAGCATCCCACCCCAGGCCAGCCACAAATCTCTGAATCCCAAGATCCCTGATTTAGGAGTGGACAAAATGAGCATTGCCTCAAAACTTACTCGATGGGATGCCGACTTATTGGCGGCCTGTGTGAACAGTTACGGAGCAGCAGGAAGTAATTGCGCCATGATCTGTTGCGAAGGGCCTCCACAAAAGACAGAAGTCTCCAAGCAGTTCACCACAGCTGAAGCCGAATCAACATACCCATTGATCGTAAGCGCAGCGTCTCAAGAAAGTCTGTACGCCAATATCGAAAATCTGGGTAAATACCTCCAAAAGATAACGCCAAAGCCCAATTTGGGCGATGTGGCATTTACACTCAGCAAGCGACGCAAGCTTCACCGTCAAATCTTCGTCACCTGCACGTCCGACATCAACGATTTGGTACAAAGTCTCAAAAAGGAGGCTCAAATCTCTTTCGAGGTGCCACAAACGCCAAAGCGGGTTGTCCTAGCTTTTGGAGGGCAAACCAAGAGAACCGTGAACATGGAGAAAAGCCTGTACGAGTCTCACCCACGTCTGAAGGACTACGTCGATGAATGCGACAAGATCGTTACAGACCTGGGGTTTCCCACACTCCTGCCCTCGATATTCCAATCAGAGCCGCTGACAGATGTGGTAACGCTGCAATGCGGCACCTTCGCCATGCAATACGCATGCGCCAAGTGCTGGATCGACGCTGGTCTCCAGGTAGAGGCTATTATTGGCCACAGCTTTGGCGAGCTGACGGCCATGGTAGTCTCAGGTGTCCTCTCACTTCGGGATGGCCTCAAGCTCATCGCTTCTCGGGCATCGTTGATGGTAACCAAATGGGGTCCAGACAGGGGGACCATGCTTGTGATCCACAGCAGCCGCGACACTGTGCAAGGCGTGATCACCACTATCAACGCCGGTTCAACAGAGCCAGAACTCGAATTTGCATGCTACAATGCTCCATCAGTTCAGGTCGTGGTCGGCAGCTCTCTCGCCATTGATCGAACCGAAAGCCTGTTGAACGCGGACCCGCGCTTCTCCGGCATCCGAAGCCAGCGGCTTGATGTGACCCATGGATTCCACTCAAAGTTCACACAAGGCATTCTCGATGATCTCGACCAGGTCTCGATATCACTGACCTACTCTAAGCCGGAAATTCACCTGGAAACCTGTACTGCCGAGCCGAGTAACCACATATCAGCGCCAAGACCTTCTCAACACGCGCGAGAACCCGTACATTTCTCAGACGCTGTCCGAAGAATTGAAGAACGTCTTGGGCCCTGCATCTGGCTGGAGGCTGGGATGGACTCACCGATCATCCCAATGATCAAAAGAGCCTTGACCGCGCCAGATGATCATTCTCTACAAGCTATCAAGATGTCAGATTCTCAGGCGCCTATGAAGATGTTGTCCAACGTGACAATGAACTTCTGGCGCGAAGGGATTCCAGTATTATACTGGAACTTCCTTCCGTCAAGAAGGAATGCCTTCAAGCAAATCTGGCTCCCACCGTATCAATTCCAGCCAACAGCCCACTGGCTCAAGAACATCGATCGGGCCGTTGAGGCTCAGAAGAATGCCGTGGTCGAGAAGACGCCAACTGTAGAGAAGATCCAAGAACCAGAAGCGCCATTGAGACTGGTGAACGTTGCGAAAGGTGCGAGCAAGAACGAGCGCTCCAGAGAATTCGACATTTGCATGGGAACAAAACGTTTCACCAAGATTGTATCTGGCCATGCAGTTCGACAGAGACCACTATGTCCGGCGTCAATGTACATGGAGTGCGCAGCAATGGGCGTGCAGCTGCTCCAAGGATTTACGGAAGCCGGCACTCTTAGCTTCCTCGACGTGTCCTTTCAGGCAGCTCTGGGTGTCGACCTGGCTCGAGAAGCTTCCTTGACACTCGA